TGTTTATCCGATGGTGTTAATAACAGATACCAATCCTATTACTAAAATAAACTCATGGTGTTTGGTTAATTAATGCACAATGGAAGCATATATGCCCCTTCCATTAGAGATCATAGATTTTAACAATTGGCTAATCGATCTGAAATTTAGAAACCACAAAAACAAAATGAATAGTACTGATCGAACACGCACAGATGAATACCAAAAAGATGTGAAGTCATAAGCATGGTTTTATTATTACTGTATATTACACCAGATATTTGAAGCCACAACGGATGGGTCGATCTTGGTTTAGTTTTGAGTCATGTTTTGACTCGATTTCCGGGATATTTTTCTTCTTCATTTTTCATCCAACTAATTTCTTACAGTTTTCTCCTTTTTTCCATTTTAAACATAAAAATATATATTTAGTAAAAGATACTACATCCATTCTAGAAAAAAAGTATTATTCTCTCCGTCACATAATTATTATCCAGTTTGGGTTTTACTTCTAGTTTAAATTGCACTAAAAGTGAAATGTGAAACTGGACAATAATGATTTGTGACAGAGGGAGAATCTTCTAACGAAATTCTACTTACCTTATTTAAGTGTTCATCAGACAATATATAGTACATTGTCTAATACTCTTATTTCAGAATATAGCTAGGGAGTAGTAACTAGCTAGACCAATCCCTGTATACCACCATTATGTCTACAGATAGATCCTTTGGAGGATGACAAATATAGCTGCAAAATTCAACTTTGAGTTGTAGCGACTAGCAACATTTGTTCATATCCTATAATAGATGATGTGTGAAACCCCACGCTCAGAATAGTTATTGGTAGAACTAGGCTACTTAGCAATCAACCATGAACATTAAATAAAATAAATATTGATGTTAATTAAAGATAAAACTGTGTTGTCTATGTTTGAGAATTGAGATAAGTTTCAATGGGTTTTTATATTATTAAAAATATGTAATCAATGTCAAAATTAGATTGTAAAAATTGAAGAACTGATGAATATGACGATCTTAATATACATTGAGAGCGTGAAAATTTCACGTATCAGAGGAATTATTTGTGCAGGAGTAGAGAGGATTGACAAACTTCAGAGGATCGATCGATGCATGTCTCTTTTACGGTTTTATCCATTAAAATTTTGTATATGATTTGTTATCTGTTTTATCAATCTCTATGTATACCCAAACCAAACAAAATGATATGCCATGAACCGAAGAAGTATATCCACCTGCTAACGAAGCAATTTGTTCCATTTATAATTTCTTTTGTTAATTAATTTTTATCTGATACTACTAATTTAATTTTAATATCTTTAACATTTTGACGAATCTCTTAATTAAATATGAAGGGCAGGGGGCATTGTCAAAATGGTAAGACACAAGAAAGGGATTAGAGTTTGGTTTTGGAATTAAGATGTAATTAGTTGTGTGTGAGCGACATTGGCAGGAGGTTTACAAAAGATTAAATATCTCTATTATATAGAAAACAATGGTGAATGAGTGGATACATCTCAACGTTTACACCAGTGTGTTAATTCATCCTAACGTTAAAAATTAATAATGACGGATCTTAATTCCTCCGCACTTGCATTAATTAAGAAGATAATATAAGGTGGCAGGGTTCTAGGCCGCGGCCGCAAACACGGCCTTGAGCCTACGCGCACCGCATGAATGGCACCTCCATCTTGACGGCCAACATCATTTAGAGTATGGGAATCAGAAATATAATCGTCTTCCCTCCGCCAATGAACCACAACTCATCCAACTCTAGCTCGCTAAAGCAGCCATGACTTTTCCAAGTGGCACGTCCCTTTTCATCGTAATGTACACATCTTTTACATCATCTTCTGAACCACGAACTCCGTATCGTTATGTAACCTTATCGTAATGTATCTGCTCTCCATTTTTCTTCACTGATTTGCAACCAAGGAATAGGAGGGGAAGAGAGTCGGAATTTTAAAAAAAACAAAACAAAACAAAACAAAAAACAAAATTTCCGGAAAAATGGGTTGATTCTATTGTGATTTTTTCTTTTGGTTTTTTCGGAGGAAAGTGTCTGTAGGTAAGTATTCGAGTTAGGAATTTTACTTTACGTTTTGACTAGTGTTGGGATTCTGTGAGTTTGAAGTACTACGTACAATGGATGAAAAATACTATGCAATTTTTCCACTTTCCAATGAGCATTTGGGAGATGTGGTTGAATCACTTCATTGACCATGCATGAGCCAAAAAAAAGTAGGACAGGAAACCTAACTCCTCAATTATAAAATGACTTTTGAATTTTCCACCGAAGCTAAAGTATCGAAGTGTTATCAGTAGGTTATATAATTGGGAAATTCTTACTAAGGTGTGTATGTTTCAATATTCCTAAAAAGGGTGTGGAATTTTTGAAATTCCTCTCGAGGGCGTATTAGGCTCCGTTTGGTTAGATTGAATTATAATTGAATTAGAATTATAATACTATTGAATTGAAAATGAGATATTAATATTGCAATTCAATCTTAATTCTTTCGTTTGGAAGATCGTAAGAATTGACTAGAATTAAGGTTCTAATACTAATTCTTGTGTTTGGATCCTTATAAATTTATAAAATCTAGAATTAGAATTAGTTTTTTATTATCTACCTACAATTAAGTATTTTATTTCATTGAATAAAATAAATACTTAATTTTATATATCAAAACAATTTATTACTTACATATATAAGATAACAAAAATAAATTTATCATATACATTTATATTAGAACTTTTGTTGTTTGAGTAATATATATCAATTTTATAATTTATAGATACATACATATTTGTGGAAAAGCTTTTTTTATTATTACGTAAGTATGAATGTGATGATTGGAATTCTCACAAGTAACATGTAGAACATCCTTGTTCCTCTCCTTTTTATTATTTATAAATTTTTAATCTTTAGTTTTTTTTTTTTGGATTTTAGTGTAAAATTTTTACATAGTTAAAAGTAAAGACCATTCATTTATGTATAAATTAACATTAATACATGGTGCTAATTAATTATTTTTTATTTTTAGTATATAATTACATATGGAATAATATATATTTCGACTTTTTGAAAGCTTACATAATTTTTAGTGAAAAAAATTTCAAGTATAGTTCAAAATACATTTGATAAAAAAATGTTAACCAATAGTTAATACCATCCATTTTTAAAATAAATTACAGGTGTCGTTATACATTTGATAGTTTTGTTAAAAGAATACTAATTTTAATATATAGATCTCATTAATAATTATTAATATGATTTACACCTCGTTTGCACCATAAATAAAAACATATGTTAATTTAACAAAATGCAAAAAAAGGAAAAAAAAAAAAAGAAAAAAAAAAGCCCAACGCAACGCTAAAAGAAAAAGGGGGAAAAAACGAAAATGAAAAAGGCAAAAAAAACGCATGTGCAGCGCTACACAAAAAAAAAAAAAAAAAAAAACCTCAAACTTAAAAGGACCCGTTTTGTTATAACCCGGAAAACGACCCGTATATGGCCCGCGTTTTTTCTAAAGCTCCTAGAGTTCGAATTGCAATTATTTGCTCCCACAAAAGAATTGAAAATAAAGAATTGAACCTCATCTTGAATTATAATTCTAATTCTGGAACCTCTATTTTTCAGCCAAACACAATAATTGGAATTGAGGGCCTCCAATTCCAATTCTTGGGTCCAATTCAATCCAACCAAACAGATTAATGTTTTTAATCATTAAGTATTTTATTTGTGACAATTGTATCCTTTATTTGATGAACATTAAAATCTATACTTTTAAAAAAATAATAAATACGACCTTAGAGGCGATTTTCTTTAGAAACCCAAATCAAAAAAAGGTAACTTCTTTGGACAAAAAAAGGTTCAAATTCTATTTATAACATAATTTTTTTAAAATCTGGAGATAAAAGTGAAAATCTAAAACTCTAAATTATAAATATTATTATTAACCTAAAATCTCCAAAAAGAAGGGGGGAACTGATATTGAATCAAAAACCTTATTTCAAAAAAAAAAAAAAAAAACTTTCTTACAGAAATAATAATCACCTATGGGGATAGAGGAGGGCTAAGGAAGCTAAAATTATTTAAACAATTAAGAGCAGAGCTGAAAGTTGTTTATGGCTTCATGAATATTAGGGGGAAAAAAGATTCCATTAGAGATCATGAAATTAAAAAGAGAAAACTTTATGTTCTTAAAGGGAAGTATAAATATTATTAATAACTACATTAAGTATAGGGTACATTTGTCATTAACAAAGTATTGAATGACTAAAAGCATTATTACGCCCTTGATGAGAATTTCAAAAGTTTTATGCCCCTCTTTAGAAATATTGAAACATATAACGTCGTTAATAAGAATTTTCTCTATATAATTTTCATATAATTTAAAATAAAGCAACGATGTTTCATCTAATTAAACGCTTCTGATACAGTACAATATATAGGTGAATTACGTTGAAGTTCATTATTTTCGCTTATCAAGTGTTTCAAACAGTAGGCATTAATGTTGCTATTTAATGATTCTTTATTTAAAAAAAAAAGTATTCGGATGATGTTTTTATAAAGAATTATTAGAAGGGAAAACTGAGAAGAGGCATTATCTGATTGAATTGAATTCGTATGACTTTCGTCACACTGATTCTACATCGTTTCTTTTCTTCACCTGCACTATCGAAAAGTTTGTTAATAAAAAAAATTGATTATTACAATAATTAAACTACATGATCAACAAATAAACATATAATAATTTGCACTACTTAAAACCAATTTATTATACAAAAATTATTAAAAAATAAACAAAAAAAAGGCCCAATTCAGTAGAAAACCAAAACAAACAAAACAAAGAGAAAAAATAAAAAATAAAAAAACCCAACACTATCCAAGCTGAGCCCAAAAACTAATAAAAAAAAAAAGTGGAGACTGATACTGAATCCCCCCAGCCGCCACTGCATAGCAGGTGAACAGTGCTCCGGAATACATCCAGGGGCCCGGATCAGGGCTGGTAGCGAAGGCGTCGCAGTGCCCCGTTCCGGCATTCCTTCCGGCCCCTCTTCAACGCCACAGCGGAGAAGCCGCCGAACTGCTCAGACCAGACGTCAATGACATCTCCATCTTGGAGGCCAATGTCATTGGGGGTCTGATGTTCTCGAACCCTCTGTCCTTGAAAAATAAACCTCACAGCATCTAACTGGAGACCCATATGGTTGCAATAAGCAACCATCATTTTACCAAGCTTGATATTTCTTTTAATCTTCATAGGCACATCTTTCAAATTCTGCTTGTGCACACATATCACTACATGACCGCTGCTCACACTCCCCACTGATTCTCCTTCCCCTTCTATCTCTGATTCCTTTGGTTCCTCGTGTTCTTCATGTTGTTTCCCTTCCTTTTTCACCATTTTTTTTTCACTGATTTTACACTACTAGTAGAAGTTAAAAGAAAATTCAGACTATGTTTTTGTAAAATACTTTCCCTGGGGGTGATAAACTGGGAGATAACGTCCCTCTATTTATTGGCCAAGAGAAACCATTTAATCCGCCCAAGAAAGAAGCACAAGGGTCAACATGCTGCTGCATTAAAGTAAGAGGTTTATTTATGATTTTGTTCTTTTCGACTTCCTATTGGGGATCCTTTCACATAGCTCACCCACACTCCAAGCAATAGTGCATCCAACGCCAGAACTGCTTCACTAAACAATATAGTATCAAGAACTAGTAAATCCTAATAGTGACATTCATTTTTAAACCCGCTTCACACTGTGATTGCAATTGTTGTATCGATTATTCCCCACTCGATTCCCAAATTATTGTCGTGTCTACCATGCTAATCATTTCAAATTAGAAAGATTATCATCCATACAAGGACTACATAAGGAGCAATTACAACTCCATTATCTTCCCTAATTTTTCCAGGGTTATTTTTTCAGTCCTTCAAGGAGTATTTTATTCTTACCACAGAAAACAAACAAACCTGCAAACTCTTAGGCAAACAAGGTACAAAAAACACCGAACATTGTCTTAAAAGTAGTAAAGAAAGGTACAGGTGAGTAGGAAATGTATTATTTGTCGTCATCATCACCACAAATGCATAATTGTAATTGTAAGAAAAGAAAATGTTCAAAACTTTTTTAATCGAACAATAGTAAATACGCTACACGGCGAGATTCAAGTACTCCACAGCTTGTTCCATCCGATTCGTCAACAGAAACTTACTCCTCTTCCTCCTCGGCCTCCTCCAGCCATTTCACAAATGGCTCCAAGGCCTTGACAAAAGTTTGCCTGCACATGAGTACAAGCAAAGGTGAAAAACACCCTTCAGAGATGACAAGGTACTTCTGTTAAACTGTAACTATTGCATTACATGTAATGTAAGAGGTTACATTTTCTGAAAGAGGGGTGTACACAGAAAAGTCAGAGAAGTTATGTACATCCCCTGAAAGTAGATTAATAGTTGCTATGCAAGCATTTTCTCAGGATTGATCACATACGCTGGTAAAAATGACTGCATTCGCGTCTCACTTCAAACATTGATACATCCAATGCCAAAGAGTAGGAAAGAAGAAAACCCAATCACCCAAACGAGAATTTCTATAGCAAGCAACTCGACTAAGCAGATGAAAGGAGTTCAAGGATACCAACAAAAAGATGAAACAGGATAATAAACTGATCCAGTATCACACTGGGCTGCTTAGCATATAGCTCACTAACAAATTAGAAATCAAAACTGGAAAACAGTTTTCGGGATCTTCTACTCAAAAGGAAGCATCCCTGGCATGCACATAATGATCAAATTGAATCCGCGGGTAAATGACCACCAGATAGCTAGGAATAAAAATAGGTAAAAAGTAATCAAAGAACAGATACGATACCTGCCCTTTGGATTTGTTCCCTTGCGGAACCAGTGGAGAATGGTATCTTCCGCAAGCACATCTTGGTCATAAAGAGACCTCACAATTTCAGGAAACAGCTTCATCAGTTTTGCATCTTCATAGCACTGGATCTGGATTTTATACATAAGTTCCAATTGCAGCTTTCCAGTAGTGCAGAAGTTACTCAGCAGTCCAGCCCATGTTTTCACCTAAGAGAAGAAAACAGAAGAAAACAATTAATAAACACATCCACAGATCGCTTGTTCCTGGCAGCCAACACTACCAAAAAAATTGAACACCCACCCCCACCCCCACCCCCCAAAATAAATAAAAACTCCTAGCAAGCATGTTGAATGAAAATCTGATTTAGAAAACTCAAATTCAGGAAATGCTTATAGCCATGACAAAGCAGTATACGACCAAAAATTTAGCAAACTTGCAGCAAGGTCTATCAGAGCAACACAAAAAGGATAACTACAAAGTTTAATTGAGTTGTAAATATGCTAAAAAACCATAAGAGGTTTTATAAAAGTGCAATCTCAAACAGGATCTCATATAGAGTTCCTACTAGTGTATCCCAATGTGCTAGCAAGCAGCAGTACAGGTCTAGAGATATATCAACTCGAAAAGAAAGATAATGTTCCAAGTTTCCAACTCTAATACGCTGAACCGGCCATAGCATATATGCTTTTACTATTCAAAGACTGAAAGCACATTGCGGTAAAACAGAACAAACCCTACCTGCCGGAGTGCTAAATTAGCATTCTGTTGTTGATTCTTGCCAGACCACTGAACAGCATCCATCAGAACATCCCACAGGATACGCACAACTTCAATATCTGGAAATTTAGCTTCTTTCACATGTTGTTTTACTGTTTCTATGACTTCAGATATGTCAGCTTCCTCAGTTATCTGGCTAGTCAAAGCAGACTTCATTTCCTTCAGCTTCACCTCAAAAATCTTCTTATCATTGTACTCGACCAACGGCAAAAGTCCCTCCTTGCTGAAATATGAAACAATGGACACAGTTAGCAAAACCTGAGACACAAATGTGTTCCTACTCCCAAATAAAATGTGGATATAAAGTTGTAATTCTTATTAAAAGTATCCAAAATAGAGAAATTCATCTGACCAATTGCAAAGATCTATATCATAATAAACATAACAGCCGAAAGTAAATATCTTACGTGAAATGTTCAGAGAGTGCTTCAGGTGTACGCTTGGCAGGTGGAAAGAACTCAAGAATATTATCTTCCATCTTACCACGCTTCAAGATTGAAATCAAATCATCAAGGCTGTTATCAATAAGATATTCCTTGAAGAAGTCTGTGATAAATGCAAGAACTATCCCTTTGGCAACAAGATTATCCTTGAGCAGGGGCTGGAAAACAGTCTCAGGTGGAAGGCCCGATAACTTCTGAGAAAAAGCAAGAGCTGTGAAGATTGCAAGTTTCTTCCTTTCATTATCCTCAAAAAGCTCCAACGACTGCAAGAATCTTCGCATAACATTTTCAAGGTTCTTTATAAGAAATGGCCTCCTACGCAATATCTTCTGTATGTATACTACAGATGGTAAAATAGCATCACGTTTTGGCTCAGACTCAATTACAGAGTAAGGATGGCGTTCCCCCTCATCAGGTTTGGTTGTTCCAGGTTGTGTACGACCTCCTGTGAAGACCACCTGCAATTCCAGAGCATATGCATCAATTAACATCGCTATCAAGAAACATATGTATCCTCAACATTACGTAAGAATCATACATATCTGAAATGTGCATGTTAAAGTTGTCTACAGCTAGATGTAAATACAAAAATAAACAATGCTATCAAGCACCATATGTATCATCAACATGATTCAAGATGCATATATATCTGAAGTAAATAGCTTTGAAATGATATTCCACTAAGCTGTTTACATTCTGGATCAGGAAGTCAGAAACATAGTTCTTTAAAAAAATAAATAAATAAATAAATAAAAAACCTTTCACACCCGTGATCCTTTTTTCCAAAAACATCTCAAACATTCCTAAAGTTTCTCAGGGATCACAAGAGTCGCAAAGGAATATTGAAGGATTAGAAAGCAAAAGTATGTCATGAATTCAGAGAAACCAGAAACCCTACCTCAAAGAAGGTGTCGCCGTATCTAGAAAAGTTAAGGTCTGAGGACTCAAGGCTCCTTGCAATAAGTTCCTGTGAGCAATCAACGATATGTTAAGTTAAGTAACCCAAGTCCCCCCAGAAAGCAAAGTTCAGACTAATATGCAAGCAAAAACACATAGCAAGCAAAATGAAAGCAAGAAGATGGTATAAGGTGAGCAGAAGATCTGTTCAAAGAAAAAATAACTAATAGATAGGGAAATTACCAAATCACCAGCATTATCCAGATAAATCTGGACCACTGCATCCGCAAATGCTGCAGGGTCCAGAGGCGCTGCAATATTCCGTTTGCGGGTCTTAATCCGCGTACCACTGTCAAACAAAAAAGACAGAATTGAATGAAATTCAAAGTTCAAACATAACAACCAACATATACTCACCAATCATGACAAAATAAATAGTGACAATGCCAGATGAATCATCAATCGTTTTAAGCTGGTTATGCTAGAGACAAATAGGCATCTTCTAATCAACGGATACAACATATAGTTCTACATGGAGATACGTCCTTCCACTTTAGTAATGGTACCACAACGTGTAACCCAAATACAAATATGAAATATAAAGCAAAAGATCTTTGAAATAAATTAAGAATGTTGATGAGCAATCATAAATCCAGTGTCCCATAAAAGCGCAAAAGCATGAGAGAAATCACTAATTTCATTATTCTACATACTACTCCCTCCGGTCCTTAATATAAGCCATTTGGATTTGTCTTAGGTTTAACCTAGTATGTATTTTTAATTGACAAGAAAACCTTAAAAATGTTTCATAACAATCAAAAGAATACAACGAAAGTGAAAATATATTTTTAAGGTTTTTTCATCAATTAAAAATGCATATTAGGTGAAACCTAAGACAAAATCAAAATGCTTTATATCAAGGACCGGAGGGAGTATCTGAAAACTCAACTAGTTCTAATCCTGGCATATATTATACAGCCAATAGCTAATCTTCAATTAAAACCTGACTAACAAAAGATTAAAATATTCAGAGAAAAGCATCATAATTTGTCAAATTAATTGTGGTTCATTACAAAGATAGGTAGCAGTTAACATCAACATCATCAAAATAAATTAATGCCAAACTTATGAATCCAACTATCCTAGACCTGCTAGCACAAATTACTCTAATTTTACCGAAGGCATGTACAAAACAAATAACAGCATTAAACTAGACTTCAAAAATTATACACAAAATTCACAGCTCATTTATGGATTCGTGCATGAACACCACATACAACCAAAAAAAAAAAAACGAAAAAGAAAATAACTTACCCAAGAGTGGGTCTCTCCTTCGAGCTGCAGTAAACAAAACACAAGAAAGCAAGTCAGTTCTTCATTCCTCAAAATCAAGATCCGAAATGTAAACCGAACTCAAGAAAAAGAAAATAACAATAGAGATCTCCAAAGGAAATTCACTCAAGAAAGCTGCGTCATCTAAATCTATAGCTGAATATAATTTTTTTAAGAAAAAATAATTCCTAATCGCAAAGAAAAATCTCCATTATTCCATCTGAAGAAACTACGTAAAATTGATAGAAAAAGTTCAACAAATCAAACCAAATTTCATCGGCTTCAACGTTGATTACAAACAATAATATTTGAATCAAAACAATCAAAGGATAAAATAAGAGATTCGTCGATTACAAGAATTGCAAAAAGTGACACAAGAAAGGTAGATCTGAATACACTACAAAAGCGACCTAACCAAAACAAATCTATCGAATCAATCGATCAAAACGGAAATTAGAGACATGAAAGCAAGGAAACTGGAATCACCTCATAAACCAAGACGTCTGAAGATCAAAGAATTAGAGAGTCTTACGAAAGACTCTGTTGCTATCGGCGATGAGAGAAGAACAAAAAGCAGAGAGAGAAAGAAAGAAGAGCGACAGCGGAAAGGGGAATTGGGTCTTAATCGTTTATTTATATACTACTATTATTTTCAATATTTTTACTGACGTCCGTGCTCAGGGAAAAAAAAAATTACTACTACTAAAGGAATTTCTATTCCTGGAAAAAGGGCTGAAATTGAAATTAGATGCGAAAAAGATTAGGGGGGGAAATTACTGCTTGCCCACGGTTGTTCAGCTTGATTCGGGAACATTACCTTCAATTTTAATCTCTACTAGTCTACTGATAATAACTGCTTGGGAAGAGAGTTAATACGCATTAACAATAACAATTATAAATATATACACATATTAGATTTTACAAACTCATATTGTACGAGATTCATGAATACACATCATGATCATACTAGATTTTACAAACTCTCATTTTTAAGAGACAACGCAATTCTCAATCGACTATATCAAAGAGTACTGCTTGTTCGGCTTAATAAAATTTGTTTTAACAGTTTGAATAATTAATTTTATATTTAATGAATGATCAACAATGCATTAACACGTGTCAATCGAGCTCTGATGGTCGAATCTTACGTATTATTTAATCAAGTCTTCTTTATTGTATGAAAAAATCTAAAGTTTCCTCGTTCTTTTTTAATAAATTTTCTTGTAAAAATCTGATTAATCAGAATTGAGGGTATAATATGTATTTATGAGGTGAGTAACATGTTAACAATCTCAAAATCATTGTTATTAAAATAAATTTTAAAAAATTAAGTATAACCTGCTAATCAGGTTATTTACCATGACAAAATTGTCTGAAAATTGTTTAAAAATAGTCTCACTTTCGCTCCATTAATCTTTCAGATTTGTTAGCACTAGAGCAATATGACCCGACGAGGTGGATTGGCCGATTGAAAGTTGGAAAAATGAAGGCTTTGGATTTGATTTTGAGGGGCAGAGCTGCTATTATCAACCATGATGCAAAGATGTTGGTGAGTCGAACGGTAAAAAAGAAAGGTAATTCTAAGATTAAAAAAAAGGAACGGGATAGTGGTCCAATAATGGGAGATGTTGATCCGGTGGTGAATAAAAATGAAGTAAAAAATAATTTTTAAGATTAATTTTAAAATGTGAGGCGAAATATTTATGAACTATACTTATTTTATTATTTTGGAATTTCTGGTTTAAGAGAAAAAAAAAGAAAAACAAAAAAAAAGAGAGATTATTTTTTGCTTGGCACAGGTTCTTATAGTCTCTTTTCTACTAGTTCTAAATATACTTATTTTTTTTCAAAATTTCCTTCTTCCCCATTATCATCTGTAATAAACATATTATCATGATTTGCCCAACAAGAAATAAAATGCACATGTACTTCCTCTTTAGTCTTTCCCATCTTTGTAGGTATGATCAACAGTATTGTAGGTTTATTGTCTAATTCAAAAGTTTTAAAGTTATGTTTTTCGTAAGTTATTGTTTGTTAGTGAATTTTTCACTCTTTCAAGTTTCAACAACTCATTATCGCATTTTTTTTTGTTAAGTTGTTCCACTAATAAAATCTGACTAGAGATTTATATCACATTGCTATAAGCTATTTTCATTAGACAAATATGACTTCCACTTTTGGATTAAAGAAAAAATAAATAAGTTCACAACCTTGAGTTCGACTAATGAAATCTAACAAAGAGACGAAGAACCCAAATTTCAGCAGCGGCCAGTAGACTTGGCACAAAGCAAATCAAATGAAGTTAGGTAGACCACAATCCACACATTATTGAAAACAATTAGAAATGTCTAACAGCATGTAAAGCAGCCATTCTGCATAATGCCAAGTTAACACATTGTCTCTTATCCCCTAAACAACTAGACTCTTGGAGGGACGGGCCAACTATCCACAGACGCTAAATAATCAGAATCCAAGCAAACAAATTGCTTCATTTCGCAAGCAACTACATTCACTCTTTATACATAAGATCAAATTATGCTTGTGAAGCCATCATTGAAAAATGAAGGTGAGCACACTTGAATTTGCTAGTTATTTTGAAGCCCATTCAAAGTAATGACACCGAGGGCCTCTCATGGTCCAATTGCCACAACCAAAGAAGGGGCTCCCGTGTCTCAGACCAGGCCTTCGAAACATCCCTTCTCGGCTTCTAACACCGCAAAAGCAATGAGGGTGAAGCTGAAGTATTGAAACAGGTGGTGCTCTAATCCTCTGGGGGTGATACGAGGGAATCGAATGGTAATCCTGGGGTAACTTCCATGAGAAAGTCTCATTGGTAGGCGGGCACATTAACGAGTCAGTAATTGAGAACTTATATCCTTTATGCATAAGTACAGAAAGAAGACGGGCGGTGTTCTTGGCGTCATCAAGGCCACAGTGAGCACGGCCCTGCCATTCTAGGCCAGCCAACTGAACTGCCTCTTTAAGATTGCATCTCACACCACCAAAAACTTCACGGAACGGAACTTTTAAGTTAATCCACCTATAAATAAAAGGTAAATCCAAGTCAATGCCATTCAGGTGATTTTAGCAAATTTTAAAACATATTCTTCAATCTAACACCAGAGATAATGAATCTGCTACCTGTTAAAATAAGGAGGTTTTTTTATTTTCTTGTATCTGCATTCTGATTCCAACATCACCTCACAGTCCCAGTTGGACCATGTCACAACAGCAAAGTTAGTATTCTTGATCCCCTTTTCCTCCAACCACTTGTCATGACTCAGAAGAGCATCACCCAAAGGAACACCTTTATCTACCTGGTGAAATAAAAACCAACAAAATTAAGTTCCAGTGCATTACTTTCATAAAAAACAATGAAAATGCCACAGCAAAGCAGTGTGAAGCACAATAAAATGAGGCTTAGATGATGTTGTACTATAGAAATTATTCTTATAAATCAGTAATTTCTAACTGCCTCGTAATCTCAAGGATTCACCTAGGCAGTTAACCTTAACATATATAGTAAGCAACTAAGCATCAGCTTTCCGGTCATGTATACAAGGGAAAAAGTATCAAGTTTAGAGAATATATCCACAAGTTCATTATAAGCTTGGTTGTCATCTACAAATGCTTAAATCATATGCATATACCAATATATTATAAACTTGTTCACAGGCTACATGTTAAGGCCTGTTGTACTCTTTTTGCAGCTTGATAACCATGTAAAAAGACGGTGCTCAATTAACTATAACGAAATGATGGCCTTACATCCTTTTCCGTAATGTCAAAATAAAATCTCCCATTCGGAGGCTAGACATCCTTTTTATCATGAGAAATAGCAGGCATGTTGTGTCCATGTCCGATGACTAAGATGTAAAGAAGCTTCCTCAAGAACCACTGTACAATGGATATCCAATTTCCCGAATAAAAAAAATCATATACTTAACAGTAAGCTTTTAAAGACAAAACTTTTACCTACAAATAATCGTGGAGGAAATAAAAAATCCTTAACCATGATGCCATTTGCTGAATAATAGGATCAATAAGATTATTGTTTGGACATTTGGTCCTAACATCAGTATCCAATCCTACCAGAGATGGACACTACAGCTATTCTTCCATCGTATAGTCGGTTAAGCAAATTTTCAGCCACACGACCCAAGAACCACACACCCTCCATCCCTTCAAAAGTTATAAAGAAAAAAAAATGTGCGAGATAGAGAGAGATAAAAGAGATTTTAACCAACCCTTGAAGCATTTAAGAACCACACAACCTCCATCCCTTCAAAAGTTACAAGGAAAAAAAAATGCGCGAGAGAGAGAGAGATAAAAGAGATTTTAACCAAACCCTTGAAGCATCTCTGTGAAATAGAAAAGCTTTGATTCTTAGAAAGGGCAAGTTAACTCAAATCTCGACAACATAAAGCAATTCCTTTATACTGGGAAACACAAGTTAAGGTTCTAAAAAGAAATAGATTATAGCTGCCATGTAACCAACCAACCAACCAACTAAAAATAATACTTCTCACCAATTATGTTGTCACTAGTTTACTAGCACAAACAAGTTCCTTAAATTACACTAACAACCAAAGTAAAGGAATAAGTGAATTTGTACCTGACTTTGCTGAATGCCAGTGAGGTCCATACAGAAATCACTGAGCTTCTGGTTGCATGTCGGCCGGACGTAGGTTTGATAACAAGCTTCCAAATGGCCCGTCATGCTATTTACTATAACCGATGGAAACTCAATTATCTCCTGTGGGTGAGGATTCTTATCCTTGTCACAGGTGGCCTCAAAATCAATAACGACAAAATACTGAAACTCTTGGAGCTGGGATTTGAATGGATAACTAAGCGGAATCATATTTATTGGGGTATAGCGGATATGGTTATCCACAAAGAAAGGATAGAATTGACCATCAGAAGCACGAAGGTGGCAGAGCTTCAAGTTACCCGGGTCAGGATGAAAGGCTGACCATGTGCCCATTTCAGGTGGAAAAACATGTTTCCCTTTATTTTCTTTTGTAGTATCAACAAGATCAGCGTTTAATGACTGATGATCTGGTTCCAGAATGTCCCTTCCCTCATGAGTATGCCCATCATTGGGCACTTGTAACTCTTGAACAGGGAATCTATGTGGATCGAAAGGGAAACCCTTGCTCTGGAAGCATGGTGCCGATGCCACCCGAGTCATAAGTATAGTACCTACAGAGAGAATATTAACCAATCAACTCGTCAAAACGCTAATGATAGTTCGTTTTTAGTACATTAGTTTCAGTCCTTAGTTTCAGGAAATGAGTAAAGCTAATAGAATTAGGAATAATCAGAACCTCTCTATAAATAGAGTAGTTCTGGAGCTTTATCATTTACGCTTTCTGATTTATATAATATAAAGCTTTTGCAGCTACCAAAGACTCTATCTTTCTTAAATCCCCACATCTAGGGTTTCCATCTTGTTAGTTTTCAATTCTGTCAATCTATTCATATCCCATCATATAATTAAAATAAGGTCAAATTAGCCTAATTTTACTCAAGGCACATACAAAAACCAATAACATTATTGAAAAAGACTTGACAAATCATTTATGCATAAAACCCACAGCTGCTCTACATATTTGTGCATGAACACTACACGCACGAAAAAGGAAAAGAAAGAAAAGTAACTCACCCGAGAGAGGGTCTCTCCTTCGAGCTGCAGTGAACGAAACACAAGCTAGTCAGTTCTTTATCCCTCAAAACAAATAACAACGGAAATCTCCAAAGAAAATTAACACGGGAATGCTACACTCCTCCGGTAGTCACAGAAAAAAAAAATCCAAACAGGACAATCATATTGGAGAGAGGGAGTATCAGCTAAATCTATAGCTGGAAATACAACTTTTTCTTTAAAAAAAAAAAAAAAAAACAGTAACCGCATTAAAAGGAAACAATTTTAAAAAAAATATCTCCAACATTTTATCGGAAGAAACCACGAAAAATTGATAGAAACGGTTCAACAAATCAAACTAGATTCATCGTCTTCAACGTTGATCACAATCTATAGTTATTGAATAGAACAATCAACGGATAAAAAAAAACGATTCGTCCTCTACAAGAATTTCAAGAGGTGAAACAGGAAAAGTAGATCTGAACACAACTGGAAACGCGGCCTCACAGGAAAAAATCAATCGATCAAAACGGGAATTAGAGACATGAAAGCAAGGAAATTGGATTTACCTCATAAACCAAGACGTCTGAAGATCAAAGAATTTGAGAGTCTTACGAAAGACTCTGTTACTATCGGCGATGACAGAAGAACAAAAAGTGGGGAGAGATAGAAAAAGAAGAGCGACAGGGAAAATGTGAGAGGTGGGGCCTTAATTATTTATGTGATAAGTACACTTTCCCACGAATTTTGTTTCTAATGGCCAATTCCCCTCGATATTTCTCATAAACGCGAAAACACCCCTAACCTGCACAACTTTGCCGTTACAATTCGTCGGTTGAATGACCAAAAAACCCAAGATGGTTTTAATTATTTCTCGAATAGTAATTCATAATGATGAATGACTCTAATATCCCTAAATTTAATTCTAATTTTTAATTTTTATCATGAATATTTTTTTTAATCTTTCCTCATTTTCTCAAAAATCACTACTGTAACTTCGCTACTTAAAACACTAATATTACCACCATCTTCGCTATCATATTCTCATTTTATCCAGAATTTCATCTTCTATTTTGCATTATCACCACCAACCATAGTACTCCCTCAGTCCCACAAAAATAGTCCATATTGAGTTTTCAAATTTGTACTAAAAATAGTACAAAACTTAAAACTCAATGTGGACTATTTTTGTGAGACAGAGGAAGCAGTTAGTATTGTGCATATATGTATCGTACAATACTTATTGGAATCAAATTATGTTTTATGATTATTTGTGAATCGGTCAATCACGGACATATATTATACGATACATACGATAAACGATACGATTGTAAATCATAAGATATAAAAAGATAGGCAAAACATAATTTTTTCTTAAAAGAATTCAAAATTTTTGTTTCATAATGGTCATTTAAATTTTAAATCAAAGGCAAATTTCATTTACAAATTTGTTTTAAATATATGTTTTTTATTTCCTTCACAAAAACAATCTTCTCAGTTAACAATAAAATCGCTTAAATTATTATAGTTCAACAAATAAAATGATAAAAAATATTATTTCATTCATAATGTCATTTTATAAATCAAGTAAAATAAATGTAATACATGTTTATATTAATTTTATCGCATTTAAATTTGTGGCTAAAATAACAACTATTATGAATATTACTGAAAAATGAGTAATTTTTTGTAACTTTTCAAATAATCTTAAATTCAACATAATCAATTATTTGTTTATAACTGAAAAACAAATAAGTATAAATATATCAATTATATATGAAATTTATGATATTTATTATTTATCTTATACATATTCTTATATTAAAACATGTCTTACGATACGATACGCATATCATAAAGTTAAATTTCTAATATACTATGTATCACGATTCGATCATTATGTCACCAACAACTTCTCCCTGATTAATTGCGCGACGTCAAATTCTTATTCCCTCCTCTTTCCCCAAAATCTTTTACCTTCCTCAGCTTCATTAGATTTAAACAAAATAATCTCTTATACAACATACAAACACTCGAAGTGGCTCGTGCTTACTAAGTTCCTATAGTGCCCCACTAAAAACGAAAAAACAAACTAGAAAATCTTTTTCTTCTTTATTATCACTTCACTTAATTTCAATACTCATTTTTTGTCCTAATTATCATTTAAGCTAACATAATAAGAAAGAAATATCTCTAGAAAATCTCATTGTTCTTGATCTGGTAATAAGTTGACTTTGTTCAGCTACAAAGTAGGAGTTCAAGAAAAGACGATCATGTCACATTAATTTTTTTTCATCTTTAGAAAAGTGGCATAATGTAGATATCGTTTTTAGAGTTAAGATTTTTTTTTAAAAAAAAATAATATTGTGTCTGTCAAATAATTTTTTTTTATCATTTTAGATCAATATAGTGTTCTATTTGGGGAACAAAGGGTTTAGTATTTATTTTAAAAAATGAAAAGGTAACATTTGTTACAAAAAGGTCTGGTGAAGAAAGGGCATATTTGTCTTTACATTTTTTCATTTTGCTTACATCATCGAGTTCCATCATCTCTGATTCTTCAAGATGCGGAGGATAAAGTTATCTGTATCCAAAAGGTAAGGGGGTCTGTGTACTTCTAGAAAAAAATTTATGGGAGGATTTGTAATTGGGAAATAGTTCGGGGTTAGGTGTCCTTATCCCATTTTCTGCTTTTTTATTTACATTTTACAGTTGTTTCCAATATTTACTAACGTCGGTGCTCAGGGATTAACAAAGAATTTATTATATTCATGGAAAAAGGGTTGAAACTAAAGTACAAATTGTTTGATCATGACACACTCAATCCTTAAAACTATTTCATTAAGTATTTTTGTTTTTATTTCAACACGTTTGATTAAAAAAAATTAATCTCTTAATGAATTAAGCGATGCTAAAAATATAGTACAAATATAAATAATAAAAGTTAGTTTATTCCTTATTTCGTAACTGTTTAATAAATTCAACATCTTTAATTTAGTATTAAGTATTTAGAATTAAATACTCATTTTTATCAAACAAACTCTAGGCGAAAAATTATTGCTTACTGATAGTTGTTTAGCTTAATTCGGGAAAATTACTTTTAGTTCTAATGCGAGTATATCATACACAACAGGAATTGTTGTAGACAAAATTTCATTCCTCTCGAATTAATTGTCATGTCGAGCTTACTTTATTAATAAAAGACGATAATTATTTGAGTATGAAAAATATACCAGTATTTGATTATTTTGATTTCACATTTTAACTTTTAATTCATTGGCGTGATGATTGTTTACCCTTTCGATTAGTCTGGTTCACAACAAATCAATTTTAAAATTTAAAAGTTACTCCTCCATCCTAGAATAGTTACTTAGTTTAAATTTTTATTTTTACTACAAGTTATATTCAAAGTAACAAAGAATAAAATGGGCCAATCATTTTAAATCAGAAATACTACCGTGGAAAAAAAATACTAGATGTAACTAAACCTAAGGTTGTTAGTTTTATAAGGTACGTGACCACCTATTGGTTCAAAGAATACAAAATTTAGTACACGTTGTTTTGTGAATTAACTGAATTATTCTCACTGTTTCAAAATAATTATTTTATTAACAAGTCAACAAAAACAATTCTTTTGATATATGAGAAACACAATAATTATTTTTGGGATGAAAAGAGTAAACACGTAAAAAAAAAAAAAAGGAAAAAAAAAAGACATAAGGTCAAAGGCATCATTTTCATGAGTGCAGAAAACGATGGAACTGATTAATGATTGACACGTCCATTTGCTTTATCATACACGGTCCTGTTTTTGCAACTTAGATAGTTTAGGGTTGTTTGTCATAGTTTTGGAGTGAATTAGTATACTTTGGTGACTCTTTTTTTTGGGTTAGGTAACCCGATCATATGTATGGTTAGATGGTGAGGTTTTGCGTTCAGAATTAGAATTAGGGCAAAGCCAAGGCTGGGCGACAAGAAGGTTTGCACTACTCCGTATTATTTATGCATAATATATATATATATATATATATAGGTTTATAGAAAGAAAAAGTTGCAGGTCTTCACATTTCAAGATTCGGCCATTTCCAAATCTATTTTAACGAGACAAACTTATTAACAAGTTTCACCAAAGTATTCCTCTTTTCGGGTCTATGAGCTGTGAAATGTGAACATTCAAACTCACATGGTATTCTTGCAACTTTCTTAAATTTCCGTTTTAACATATGGCAATCATCGAACAAGCAAAGTTCAGAGTGAAAAACAAAAAAAACAAAAAAAAAAAAATTTCTCCATCGCCAAAACATCAGGAACATAACGTAAACTGGAGGGCTTTATCAAAAAAAAAAAAAAAAGAAACGTAAACTGGAGGGGAAAAAAGATGAGTACATCTCAGTCAGGCATAGCGTCGAACAGGTAGCAGCCGGGATGATTTTCGGATTATTGAGCATAAAGTAGAAAGGACACTACAATTTATCTTCTGAAGTCCCTTTAAAACTCGAATCAGATGGCTGGTCAGTTATGATGGAATCAGTGGCATCAGGGATTTGTTGTTGATTCTGGGACTGGGATTTGATCATCTGATCCATGTCCCTCATTCTAGTCCTTACCACATTCGTCACCAGAACTGTACATATCAAAAACCAACATACCAAATTCAGCACAAAAAGCGCACATACACACACACACACAAAAACTCAGTTTAAAGAAGAAATCAGATGGAAGTGAAGATTACCGGCGGCAGTTCCGAATGTCCAGATCCACAAGATCTTCACTCCAGGACTCTTGTCTTTCCACCACATTGCTCTCTCACTCTTCAGTTTCTCTTTCCTAAAGCTTTCTTCTTTTACAGTTTACTTCCCGCCTTTTGATTTCCTATATTTTCTGGGCCTGAGGCTCTGGAAACTAAAGCTTGTTAAGAGATTAAGGCTAGGGCCCAATAATTTAAAAGTCTAATGTAATCTCCAAAAAAAACCATTTGACTGGGCAAGTGGTTTTATTAAGGATTCTAATGAAATGCAAAAATGGTTACCGACTTGTGTGGAAAAAATGGATTGAAGAACGCATAAATTCCTAATGCTATAAACCCTTGGCAAAAAATGAACTCCAAAAAAATTGTGCACCGTGCTTTCAATCACCGTTTCTAAACCATTTTTAAACAAACATGATAATTATTTTGGGACGTGAAGAACAAGTGTTTTTATTATTTTGGAGGTTAGACTAGCCCTCTTCCACTAAAATGCATCAAGTAAATAGAAAACACGGCCCAATATCTATGGAGAGAGTCCACCGTTTGTAAAAGCTCTCAACCAAACACAAACATACATTAATTTACATCTACATGCCCAAAGCCCAAAGAGAATGAGCCCAATAATATTTTAAGAAAATTTTCTTGTATTATTAGTAGAGAATTCAAAACCATCGTTCATCGTGATTCTAGTGCCTCATAGTAGAAAACACTAACACAAGTGTTTGAATCTATACTCGCATAGGCTAATGTGTGAAGAAAACTCGTATTATTTCATCCGTGAACTACACCATTAATTCTACTAGTACAAGGCACCCGATGGAGGAGAAAAATGTCTAGGGGGCAAGCTGATCTTTGATGTAACTTGAGGCTTTTTAATCAGGCAGAAGAAAAAAAAATTAGGGTATGTATCAAGAAAATGTAGATTAGAATTAGATAATAATAATAATAATAAAAATCATATAAAGTCTTCATTTCTTGAATAGGTGTATTAGAATTAGATAATAATAATAAAAGAAATCATATAAAGTCTTCATTTCTTTTCACTTGACACATATTTTATCCGTCATTAACTGATTTTCATGTAATCCTTCTGTCCTAAAATTATTGTCCAGTTTGAGATTTCACTTTTAGTATAATTTGAACTAAAAATAAAAATTAAAACTGAAAAATAATTATGAGACGAAGGGAGTACAATGTTTATATTTTATTGAGACATGATGGGGCATGATTTAGGCTCAACCAAAAAAGTAGTAGAAAAAAACGTTAGTGCTAATCAATGCTACTACAATGATAATAGTAGCAAATTAAAATGCCGGTGGCTGGTGCGTCTAAATTGGCGGCTTCTCAAAATATCATGTCGTAATTAATCAATTAATCAATTGTTGCCCAAGTAGGAAAACTATAATAAGAGAAGTTCCAACTAATTTTTTTTTTTTGTCCAAATCCCAGCGTTTAAGTTCTTAACTGACTTAATTATCCGATCCATTCCGGGGAAAAGGAAAAATTATAGCTTTAGATACATCAAAGTGACGTGAAACATATCGTTGCTAGTATTATTGTTGTTTTTAATTAGTACCCCGTCGAGTTATTGGTGAATTGAGTTGAATCCGTCGAGTTAGGTGAAGTGCAGCATTTCTGACTTTAATCCAGCACTTCTTTGTGTGACAAATTTGACTATATGCTTCCCATTGTCATTCATTAATCCACTTTTGTTGAGCACGTAGTCAAGCTTGATAGTAGTAATACATTACACGTTACTGGGTTTTGGCCACTTGAGTCGCTGTGTGATTCATATTTCAAACATGTCAAAAAATTCAACTGAAATCTTATAGATCAAGATGTCTTTTTTTTTTTTTTTTTTAATATCTATAGAAATAGGCAAAACTTAAAATATTATCCTGTCACAGTCCATTAACAAGAACCATGTAGAGCTATTCAATTTTCAATTACAATATAGGTAGACTTTATGTAATTTTGCGTTTTTTGCTAATTAAACTCACATGATATATATATATATATATATATATATATATATATATATCTCCTGCCACTAATGAATCGTGAATAGGAGCAATAGTTCCCTAATTTGACCGTAACAAATATTCGACCCTTTGTACTAGTCACAAATTACATTACAATATGAAGCTAAAAACACACTGTAGGTAGCCCTACTCGAATTAAAAATTTAAAACTGGGAATCAACGATGCTGTTTGGTGAGCAGTTCAGCACAGATGCTGTTTTTTGTGTGTTTGTGTTTGGAGTCATTTAGGAATAATAATTTGAACTTTTGAAGAGTGAGAATTATTATAATTATTTTCCTTTTTTTTTTTTTTTGATTCCACACAATTTCAGATATATTGATGCAGTGACTGTAATAGATTCAATATTCTTTTTGTAAGTGGAGAAGGCTGCGGGTAATGGCCAGAAGCCGGACATATGGAGTAATGAAATTTGCTTTTTTTTCCTGATGATTTGACTAAAACAATTTCTCCATGGGCATTAATGGAATGATCAGAAACTTTTTTGTTGAAACATTTGTGAGTTTGATTTTAACATTGAGAATTTTGATACACCGCTCAATTGGAACTATTAAAATAAAACGGAATGAAGTATTCTTGTATTAAATCGTTTCTACAAAGTGGAATTGGTAGTAAGCCAAGCGCATGCATCTCGCGCAGAATACTATAATGCAAGATTTTAAATCCTTCCTAAATCTTCTTCCATCCAACAGACCGACAAGAAGAATATTATTATCATTTACATCCATAATAAAATGATAATATCTACTCATATGTCCCAAAATTATTATTTAAAAATGAAAATCTAAACTCGACAATAATTTCAGACCGAAAGGAGTAAATTTTTGTTATTTTTTTTTAAAGAAAACTGTGTCAAAGTTTTTCAATAAAAGATAGGGCAAAATTAGCTGAGGGATATCAAATGAAAAAAAAAATTAAAACTAATAATTTGTAAATTATGTGTGTGTACGCACACACAGTAAGATTAAAAATGACATATTCTTAAACTAAACAAAATGAAAATGTTTTTCCAGCAAGATCCGCGTTTTTAAAAAATTGGTATCTCTTGACTTGTTACAAATCAATATTAAAATCGGTCTCAAGTAAGACTCTCGAGAACCACGAGCAATTAATTGATCCAGGAGGGGAAAAAAGAAAATAAAAATCAATCACGCATATAAGAACCTAACTCATCTCCCATATCTAACACTTTTACATCTCTCCTTCAATCAAAATCAGACACTTAGGAATTGGTTTGCATTATGATATTGACATTCTCTTCCCTCATTTTGTCTTATTATAGCGTATAAAGCCGCTACTGTATTATTAATTCCTCCAAACTTAAAATTTTGCCGGTTGAAGGAATGGACATTAAAATTTAGGCTATCTGAAACGTCATTATCCTTAGGGGGGAGGGGGGGAACTCATCTATTTTCTTTCTGAGTGGGCTAGGAGAAAATAAATTTACTGATCCAGCGTCGTTACTTAAAATAATTCGATGATTTGTGTAATACCTAACACCAAAAAAAAAAGGTTATTGAATCATTTTATTGAATGAATTTACTGTATCTATTATTTTTAGATAAATACTAATACATATGGTCAGGTGTGAGAGCTGACCAATGGCGTTGTGGGAAGCAGATGTAGTTTTGAAGGAAGGTCAGAAAAGACTAACCTAGGATCAAATCAACCTGAAAACAGACCAATACTGAACTATGATAACAACAGTTTTTCTTTTTCATATTGTTCTTTCCGCTAAATGAAAGAAACCAATATACACATATAAGTTGCCGTGTTGGTGTCGGCAAGTTAAATTGTTGACTATATTTGTCTTTGAACTTTGAGTTATTGTTTTCAATGGAGACTGGATGGCAAGAATGGCCACCAGAACAAGAAATTTTGAAGTTTCGACTTTGGAGAACCTTTAGTTTGAAACTACAATTTCAAATTAATCTTAGGTCAGTCAGAGAAGGCTATTAATTTCTTTTTTTCCCCAGTAAACTGCTACTAACCAAAAATAAAAAATTTCATGCTTAATCAAATGCGTATAAAAATTTAATACCAATTTTTTTTTTGTTTTGTTTTTTTTTTTTTACACATTGCAAATACCTAAATTTTATTTCATGTGTAGGAATAGGATTTATTGAAGAATAGAGTTCTACTAGTATTATCATTGGATGAAACTCTAGACATACATACTTTATTTTTGCTTGTCCATATGGTATTTGAAAGATCTCCTATAATAAGTATCTTACACCTTATCTGTCAAAAAATAATTAAGATAATAATATCAGCAATGATTAATCCAGTCTAGACGCATGTCACGTGCTTTGTTGATCTGTGTCTTGTTTCAATTCGAGAGTCACTAAGAAGCTTAATTACAATTGAATCCCCAAATTAAATCAATATAGTATGACTAGTATGGGTGGCAATTATGCCCATTCCGACTGGGTATCCATTGGGACTCCATCTATTGGTAAGGAAATTATTCAAATTACCCGCCCATTTATAAATTGGACACTAAGTGGGTAGTGTTGAGTTTAGGCGGAATATAAATGGGCGGGTTATTGGGACTCTTTTTATTTTCTTTTTCATGGGCAACTATTTTATGTGAATACCTTCATTTAATACTTTAAAAACTACATTAGAATGGTAATAGCTAAGAAGTTGATGGCTTTGCCAACAAATCCTAACCCTTGCACATGGGAAGAAAATTGAGCCACCATAATAAGAAAATCCTACTCAAATTTAAGAATGGTTATTTAAAATTCCCTCCTTGATTGGTTGATTAGGGTTTTTTTCCCCAGGAATTAAGAAATATTTGGAGAGCTTCACATACTATTTTGAAAATAACTAGGTAGTATATAGTTTTTTCATTAGTTATACCTACTGGAAAATAACTTATGATGAGCCGTTTTTTTAAAATTTTAATTATATATATAGAATCATTTTATTCCAAAAACCCAAAAAAAAAATCATTATGTAAATAACAATTCATTAGCAATAAAAATATATGGTAAAAAAAAACCAATTTTATCGCATCAACTTTTATCATAATTAATTATGCCATTATAAAGAAGTCGATTATGCAACTCTGGTCTTATCGTACGAAAATTAAATGATCTGTACATTTCAACTTTAGCTAATTAACATATTTTTTAAATATTTTTTTTCTTACTTATCTAATCGTTAATAATTAGTGGCATAGGTCAATATATTCTAATTAATCAAAAGAAAAGAAAGAAAGAAAGAAAATGAATTAAAAGACAAACGGAAAGGGAAAATTGATAATAAAGAGAAGGGGGGAATTATGGTAGAACTAAAAAAGATAAAAATAAAAATGAAAAAAATTCTATTGAGATCCCAATAATTGTACTTCATGGGATCTCAATGGGTACTGGGCTACCCGTTTTCTAATCCCTACCTATACCTAACTGTGTGTGACATAAATGGATAGTTAACATCTCAAACCTAATAATCTCCCGGCTAATACCCGCCTTACCCGCTCAATAAATGGATAGTTAACATCTCAAACCTAATAATCTCCCGGCTAATACCTGCCTTACCCGCTCAATTGCCAGCTTAGAAGTATGAGTAACATGTATCTTCCTTTCGGTCATGCTAAACCCATTTGCAGAAGTCTAAGATAGAAATTTGGTAAAATAGTAGACAAATTTGAAAAACAGGTTTTCATTTGACTTAAAATGTACGGCCGGCATTTCCTTGTTATTGAATTGACTAAAACCTATATACCTACCAAATTATTTTCACTTCTCAATAAATGTTTCATTTCCTCATAAATTAATTTATCTTCTCATTAGTTGTTTCACCTATGTTCCTCATAATTGAGTTTTTTGCATGGCGTTTCTTGTCTTTGGTTCTTTTTACCGTATAAAATAGTGTTCTCTTTGTCCCAAAATTATTGTTCAATTTAAATTTTTATTTTTATTCAGATTGTATTATAATTGAAAATTCAAACTGAACAAGGACACAAGGAGCATAAATCTTATAAATTGAAAACAATGAAATGATTCAAGGAATTACAACTATGGATATTACGTTCGTAGACGAAATTTTAAAACAAATACAGTAAAATTGCTTCCAGTTCATGTATGAAAAGACTCGCTCATTGTTTATGAGATTCCAACTTTTGAGGATATATTTGATTTTAATTTCATCATATATTAACGTGTAACTAAATTATCTCATGAAAATTAATTTACTATCCATATTATTTTTCTTAAAGAAAATCATATAATTTCTCATAAACAAAAAGATATTATACCATAAACAGAAACTCACCACGCTGAACATGATGATTGCGATAGCTTGAATAATTGGAATAAAAAAAAAAGAAGGATAAAATGTAATATAGTCAAAATGAGTGACTCGAAGGAGTAATAAATAGCCGCTTCAAAAGAAGGCATCAAATTAGGTGTGCGCCGGTGCTGCTGTTTGTTGGTTGCTCTCTCCTATCTGGGCGACTTCCCCAAAGCCAAAATAAACAGAAAAAATCGCTCCGTTGGCACCCAAATTTTGCCACCACCAAAGCCCAGCCCCCCAACAAAAAATCAATTACAGAATCACACTATAAAATATAAAGGAAGGAAGCAGTACAAAAATGTCTTCCACGTTTACAGCTCCATCATTTCAAACCATTCTCAAGAGGATCTCCCTCGCCTCCTCCTCCTCCCCTTCTACTTCTTCCGCCTCTTCTTCATTTCTCCTTTGTAAATCTCACTGCTCCTCCGCTCCTCGTCTCCGGCATTCTCTTTCCGCCGCCTCGTCTTTCTCCTCCTCTTCGTCGTCGAGGCTCTTTGCCGCCGCCACCACTACCGCCATGGGTGATGCCGTTGCTGATGCTACCATGGACGCCGTCCAGAGGCGACTCATGTTCGAAGACGAGTGAGTCACGCCTCGCAACTGTTTCTTCTTTTTCTTTGTCTTCAATGTGTTAATTTTTTGTTTTTCCGAATTGGATTATGGAATGAGTTTTGCTGTTGTGCTGTTTTTTCCGTTTGCGATAGAATGTAAAATGTTGGTCGGTTGGTATGAGTTTGACTCTTTTTTTTTTTTTTTTCTTTGATTGAGTTTGCGGATTTGTTTCTTTCTGGCTTCCGATGTGTTGACCAATCTAACCGTAATCGTTCCTTGATGGATTTGATTAGCATTTCATTTGTTTTTGTGTTTTGAGCTCTCTATCCATAATTTTTTTCTTCTTGTAATCAATTCTGGAAGTTAATTGGGAATTTCACTGGTTTTAGCAACGAACGATCTATTTTTTCCATCATTTCTTGCTCCCGTACGATTTGACTACTGAATACTGATCTGAGACTGAAAAGAGAAAGGAAATTCTTTGCAATTAGTGAACTCTTACAGCTTTCATGTATCATTCAGTTTAGCGTTTTTTGCAAGTCTTGGAATCTTCTTACTGGTGCTTTCTTGTCATCGAACAAGATCTGAATGTTTTGGACGTTAAAATGAATTGGATTGTCCCTTTCTAATCCTACTTTCCTTAGCTTATATGGTTGCTTTCACTCTGGCTTTCCCTTTGAAAGAGGAGATAACCTTATAGCTATTGGAGAGTTTTCTGATTATGCTGAGTTTTCATAGCGCTTCCCAGGGTATTATCCATGATAAACTTCCAAGTCCCTATGTTGTCACCCTGGAAAACATTTCATGTTGAGTTTTGATGGCAAAAATCTCTGTCAGTCCTTCTAGCACTTTTAATGCCGGATTACATGAAAACCTGAAAGGGGTGAAAGCTATAAAATACAGTATGAGGACGATTCCTGAATATACTACGTTTGGTAATTGGTACATAGGGCTCCATCTAGTTTTGTCTTCTGTGTATAGCGTTCTTTGGGGATGAAAATATTCATTACTATGAGCAAAATTCTGTTTAATATGCTGGATATTTAAATTCATTGCTTCAGTTTATCTATGCACAATTACATTCCGTCATTTTTGGGTCCTCTGTGCTGATAATATCTATCTTTGAATGATACAGATGTATTTTGGTAGATGCAAATGACCGTGTCGTTGGCCATGACACTAAGTACAATTGTAAGTTATATTATCTCATCTCCCCCAAATTTTCTTCTGCCAGCAACACTTTTGATGATTGAAGTTACTGGAAATTACTTATTTATAATTTGATTAGCATAGTGTTAATCTTCTGATTATTGTCACTCCCAACAACTTCTGAGTGTGGTTGACTAGCTGCAGATCTGTTTCTGGTTCTGCTTTTGGTTTCCCTTAGTTATCATCTTTTCTCTGCATGCCATCCCTTTAAAAATAGCTGTTCGCTAGCACCATTTCAGTATCTTAGTGCTGAATGCAGAGTAATCTGGTTTTCTTTCGAAATCTTTGATGAATCTTAGTTGTCTTCTTCTTGAATATTTTGTTGCAACAAATTTCTGGACACGATGGAATGATTATTTACCTATTCAAATTCCAATTGCAAACTACTTTTTAGACATAACCTCTCCTAGAGAAATTCAAGGTACAACTGCATGAACATATTAAGCAGTGTGATTGATCTGATCTGAATTCTTCTTGAAATCTTCGTGCAAAATGGAACTGAATAAGCATGTGGGAAAATGTTTGTATTGGGGAAGCAAATATGGTCTGGAATTAGATATCTTTGCTTAATATCTCCTTAAAGGATGCAAGTCTATGTTAGCTGCAAAAAGCTGTGTTTTATTTACGTTTGTGTGCTACGCAGAGTGTTTGGGTTTATTGATTTTACTTTTGAATCCTCATAATAATATGCTTAAATTTAATTTCGTAACTTTCTTTTATGGGTCATTTGGTTGTGAAATGTATCGAATTTTCAACTCTAGTTTACTAGTGGATAAGTTCTATATTGATAAGTTCTTTTTACTTGTAGGTCATTTGATGGAAAAGATTGAGGCTGAAAATCTGCTGCACAGAGCTTTCAGTGTGTTCTTATTCAACTCAAACTATGAGTTGCTTCTTCAGGTATGCATTGGAGATCATAGGAATGTGTTCAGCTTATTCTGGGAGACTTAATTTTTGTCTTGTTTGTTCCTCATTGAAAATTATCCCCCCTGTTCTCGGACAAAGAATAGTATAAAAATCTTGAAAAAGAAGAGGTGAAAATTTAACTGTTGCAATATTCTGGTAGTATTTAGATGTTAAGTTGCTTCCTGCGAGAGAGATTTTCCTTGATATGTAGGAACTTGTGCCTTTTGAATCCTAATGGTTAAGGAGCATGCCTATCCAACTGAATCCCATTTAAGTGGCATTTGATGCTCTCTGATGAAATATACTTCCTATTCTTTGCCTTCACTGGTTTCTAATAGTTGCGCTTGTGCTGATTTTGCAGCAACGATCTGCAACAAAGGTTACCTTTCCTATGGTCTGGACAAATACCTGCTGCAGCCATCCTCTTTACCGTGAATCTGAGCTCATTGAAGAGAATAGCCTTGGTATATTTACGTATTCATATTAGAAAATATGTAGAGATGTGTTATATGTGTCTTTGACTTGTGACCTGTTTTGATCTTCTAATGTATATTTTTCTTCCTCAGGAGTGAGGAATGCTGCACAAAGGAAGCTTTTGGATGAACTGGGTATTCCAGCTGAAGATGTTCCTGTTGATCAGTTCACCCCATTGGGCCGTATGCTTTACAAAGCCCCGTCTGACGGAAAGTGGGGAGAGCATGAACGTAAGACAGATTTGTTTGATGAAGATTATATTGTCAGCTGGATTGGCTAATTGTTCTGTGTTTTAACTAATGTGCTCCTATTGTAATACTTTGTATGCTGTAACGTGCAGTTGATTACCTACTGTTCATTGTTCGGGATGTTAAGGTGAATCCCAATCCCGATGAAGTTGCTGACATCAAGTATGTCAACCGAGAGCAGTTGAAGGAGCTCTTGAAGAAAGCTGATGCTGGTGAGGAGGGTCTGAAGCTGTCTCCATGGTTCAGACTGGTGGTAGACAACTTTTTGTACAAGTGGTGGGATCATGTGGAGAAGGGAACCCTGGGCGAAGCTGTGGATATGAAAACCATATACAAGCTCTAAGCCCTTGGTTCAATAACTGTTGCATGTTGCGTTTCGTTTTTCTAAAATTAATAAGTTTAAGCATTTAATTTACTAGACTAGTGAAGTCAAGGCTGGCATTTTCCCCCTGTTTAAAGTTTTGGGTTGCGATTTAATTTGTTTGGAATGTATCATACACATTGTTGTGTTAGGGAATCTGGGAATGTTTACTAGCAGAAAGATGCTGTTTGGGTTGTCTGTATGGGAATTTGCTGTCATTGACAATTCATTGTTCCTTAAAATGGCCAAGAAAGGCACTTATGTGAAACAGCTTTGAATAAAAGCGAACTATGGGTTTTTGAGAAAGTAAAAGTCACGTGTGCTTTTTGAAGAGGTTTGAGGTTTTTTCTTCATTACACTCAACCATGAACAATCCCAACTTTGTCGTCTTGATTTTGTGGCAACTATTTCAAGTTGGTCTTTGCCGCTTTCAAAAGGTTCCTTTGATATATTTGTTTTATTTTTTGATGGTATTTTTAAATTAAAATATTAATAACTATCCCATTTCAGCATATCTTTTTACATTTTCAATACGCCTTTTTACATTCTCAATACAAAAAATGCCTAAAAACACACACTAAAAAAACAAAACAAATATACCCTTAGTGTCCGAAACTAATTGTCTCGACTGATTCAAGTCGGAAGCAACTGCCCTTAGTTCTGGTGACCTGATCCGTAAGTTGAGTACCTTATCATGTGCGAGATTCAGGCGATTGGAGATTACAATTACTAAAGATATCATTTGGTCCAATGCAATGTCAAGAATCCAAGCTGTCTGCCATGCAATGATATCTAGAGGACCACTTTGATCTGGATCAGACAATCTTTGGGTCCATTTACAGCTTAGACCCAGGTTATCCGTTAAAAGGTTCACATCACAGTGCTCTTCCATCTGATTCGTGGGGAACCCTGGGATCCATTTGAGTTGGTGAATAGTTTATCTGCAATTAGTGTTCATGTGTCACACGAAAGAAAGAGTTTTAGAGATAATATACCATAAATTTATACAACGATACAATCAATGATTAATGAACCACGAAATTGTAAAATAATCAATCGGTGACGATTTTTTTTATCTCATCATTTATTTTACATCTGAATCATTTCAATGAATGAATCAACTGTTATTGTCCTAATCATTACTCATTATAGTTGTATATCATAACGACGGCAAGTCTTTTTCTGAATTTAGAAAACTTTGACGCTTTGTTAATGAAAGTTTAGGTTCGTCTACTGATTTTTCTTATAATGGTTTGTTAAACTTAATTCAGCTTGATCGAACAAAATTAACATTGAGGAAGACCATGATCATACGCTAAGTTCACTGTACAATTAGATTTAATTTGAAAGCGTGATTGTATACATTACTACAATGTCTTAATTTTCAAGAAATTCTTTTTACAATGGTCCTGTAATGCACAAAGCCAAAGTACTGAGATAATTCATACTCGATTTGTAGTTATTCATACAAAATTTGGTTGGCCTTAGTCTCATTGGTTTTGTCAAACTTTTTTTTTAGAATTCCGAACTTTTTATAAAAATCAAATACATAAATTTTAATCTCCAATAAGAAAATAAAAATAATAATCTCACACTTCGGTCAAATTTTACTTGGCCATGGTTTGACTCATATGCTTCTCGCAGTTGATAACTCTTTACTTCTTCATCTTCTGCTTCTTCTTTTTTTCCCGCCCCCTTTTTTGGGTTTTTGCACCTGATGTTTGAGTAATTTCCCCAACTTATCTTAAAGAAAAACATTAACCAAGAAGACATAGCGTGTGAGCATATTGATTTTAATTACTTACATTTTATTTAGGTACACCCCCATGGAAACTTGGATTTATAATACAGAAGTTGACATCTTTGGAGTGCTTTAGGCTTTGTTTGTTTGTTTGTTTTTTTTTTTTTTTGGTTTTTTCAGAATTTATTTAATATTAATAACTGTCCTATCTCAATATAACTTTTTACATTTTCAATACATCTTTTTACATTCTCAATACAAAAAACACATAAAAACACACACTAAAAGAGGAAACAAACAGACCCTTTATTTCTTGGTTCACTTATGTTGCATTTGATTGTGAAACTTGCAAACTGCTATTCCATCAGCCTGAGAGTACGTTTCGTGGGACTGGAATGGCCTTCAAAGACACAGCCTTTCTGATGGTGATTCCTAATTTTTCTCTCATGTCCATTCCTTCCGGTGTGATTCCATGGGGTAATACCCAATCAAACAAATGCAATATCGATCCTAAATCCAAAGGAACCACACGAGGGGCAAGAGAAACCCCGGGACAAATTCTCCTTCCAGATCCAAATGTTATTAGCTCGAAGTATTTTCCCGTGACATCTACCATACAATTATCGGGCTCTAAAAACCTTTCCGGGTCAAATTCCAAAGGGTTATCCCACCGATTTGGATCTCTTCCGATCGCCCAAACGTTGACCAGAACCTGAGTATCTTTAGGTATATGATAACCAAACATAGTGCATGTGTCTAATGCCACGTGGGGAATTAAGAAGGGAACCGGAGGATGTAACCTCTGTTTCCTTTACAACCGCCCTAAGGTATGGAAGGTTGTTCAAATCTTTTTCGTCAAGCTTCTCACCTAAGTGAATGACACTTCTCAACTCGGTTTGGACTTTCTTAAGGGTTTCAGGACTATGAAGAAGTTCCGTCATCGCCCACTCTAATGTACTCGTCATGGAATCCGTTCCCACATTTCCTGTCGATCATTATCTAGGGTTCGTTAATTTCAACAAAGTGAATTATTAATATGCAACAGAATATGTAAAACAAAATTGTTAGATTTCCTCTAAAAAAAAAAAAAAAAACAAGAAACTTGCAAGTACATTAAGGTTGATCGTATTGGAGGAGAAAGCAAGAGGTCCTTCCATGTTATCATTTTGGTACCTCAAGAGAACATCTAAATAATCTCCTTTTCTTCTTCCTTCATGATCATGACTTTCAATATTCATCATCCTTTCTCTTAAGTACAATCCAGCAATTTCCAAAGCCGCATTAACATGAAACCGTGCCTTTCTCCGTAAACCCTGAGGATCGATATCAAACCATTTCAATGTAGGAAAATAATCAGCAACATTGGGTTGTCCAAATAATTCCGTGACTTTTGTTGCATGGTTGAAGAATCTGGCATCGGCCGTCTCTGAATCCGGATCCAATAAAAGATCCTTAGAAAACATGAGGTTTCCCAGAAGATTAAACGCCATCAAGAAAAACAATCTCCCAACATCAACAGCGCGTGTGCCTGATGCTCCGGCGACTTCAGTGTATTTAACCATTTGATCAACACATCTAGCACGAACCCCCGCCGTGGCGTCGGTGGCAAAAAACCCCGTCTTGCAAACGCTTCAGCACGCGCCACCGGGGACCGTACTGAGCCGTGATAATGGAGCCGTCGTTGCCGAGATCTCCGCCTTCCATGGCGTGGCACAACTTCCTTCCGGCCAGGACAGCGTCGTGGTTCTTGAACATCTCGCGGGCCGCGTCGGCCGACGAGATGACCACAGTGCACATTGAGCCCAACCAGATTGTCATGATGGGCCCGTGCTTACCCGCCATTTCGGTGAATGTATGGTGGGCCGGAGATTTGGTGATCATCAGTTGGAAAATGCTGCCCACCACAGGCCACCTCCTTGGCCCTGGTGGCATTTCCGACATACGGCGGCTTCTTTTCTTATCCATGATCTCCCATGAAAGCAAGAAGAAGAAACCCAGAGCTAACATAATAAACATCGTTATTATCTCCGAACCCATCGTTATTAAATTTTTCTGTTAGAACAACTTGGAAATGTGTTTATTTGGACTCCCGCGAGGGTTTTATAACTTATAGTAGTAACTAGGGTTAGCACGCTACATCATCCGTCCGGAAATGATTTTTTGGTTTGAATTTTTCGTTTTTAGCATAAATTATATTATTAAAAATAAAAAAAAGTTTAAATTGAATAATTGTTTTCGTGACAAAAAGAATATATGTCTTTTTAACCCGGGTCGAATAAAGATTAATGTGATGGGGTTATTTAGAAGCCGACCAAAACAAGGTAGCATCGAAGGCATTAAAACAAACACTAGAACTATAGCGTTGTTGATATTTATTTAGCACTGAAAGGTCGATTAATTTATAAAAATGAAATTCCTGATCAGCCTAGGAATCCAAACACATGAACATGTCAAAAATTCATAATTAGTTTGTACACATGAACATGATTTATAGCAGAATAAAAACCTGAAGCTTAGCTAAGATAGATAGAGTGTCAATTTTTTTGAGAATGTATGAAAGTAACTTAGAGCAAGATGATTTGTGAGCATAAGTACCCAAATTTGACACCAAATTCTGATAACAACGCTTTGGGTGCTTGTGATTGGGAGTGGACGGCAGGAAATGGAACATCTCAGATACCATCTATGTTAAACAATTTAGCCAGGCCAACCAATTCTGGAAAAGGGGGGAAAAGAAGGCAACAAATCGGGATACACAAAAAATAAAAATAAAAATATTACTCGTTGCATATTAATATAGCGCTCATTTTGGTGAACTATATGTGTAACAGTGTAAGGCGGAACTCTGAAGGATTACAATTTTTTTTCAATTTCCTTTGCTTTTTTCACGAGGAAATTATATATGGTGATTTACGAGAACATAACCAGGTACTCACTCCCATCCTCATTATAAATTATTTTGATTTATCATAAATTTTTTTCAAGTAAGAAAAAAACTTTAAAAATATTTCTTAATAATTAGGAGAACACAAAGAATACGAAAATGTATTTTACAAGTTTTTTTAATCAAAAAAAAAATTCGGTAAAATTGAAGACATATCAAAATATCTTATATTATGGATGGAGGAAGTCAGTAAGAATTTTGATTTGGAGTTGATCAAGACTAATAGACCTTAGAGTAGTGGCTACGTGTTGGATCAGTTCATTGAATTATTTTTGTATGAATTACCAGAGAATAATACATTTTGAATTAAATTATTATACGTACGTTAGAAAATCAAATCAGTATGTCTCATACCGATCCGGCCATAATTTTGTGATAACAGTAATTTTTTGTTGTTTTAATTCAATAAACCATACTGTCATTTTAGTTTGACGAAAGATTTGACTCCATTTTCCTGTATATTCTCATTGTGTTTCAGAAAAAAAAAAAAACTCAATGAACTTTGAATTTTCACTTATAGTACATTTTATAATAGAAAGGAAAATTTAAACTAAACAATTATTTCGAAATGAAGAGTTAATTTCATTAAGAAACAATTGACCAATCTTATCTGCCTTTAGTCCTTTGCAATGATCATATCTACTTCTATTTCTATCTACTTATATATATACTTATATTTACTTAATATAAAGCGGGAATGTCACTTTTTGGTACGGTTACCTGCAAGTTGAGGGTCATAATAGATTACGTGTCCTTCACTTATTAGACTTGCCTCTTTTTTGTCGTTTTTCACCCCATTTGTTCAAGGGTGTTGCTAAATGCAGATTAATTTTATTTCGCACAGATTATAAAATAGACTAAAATATCCTTATGAATCTGTTTGAAGTAAAACAACCTTCACGAAGTAAAATCATAGAATGAATCAAATCTTTCGATTGTCAGCAGATTCCTAGATCTTTTCGGCAGCGACAAAGAATGAATTATTTTCTCCGTGATCAAATTCAAAAAAAAAAATATTCACGAACAATATATCCTAAATTAATATATTTTTTAATGAATAATTTTAAAATAATTTCAAACAAAATAACCCCCAGGGTGAAAATTTTGTTTTGAACCAAAACCGCACCAACAGACTAAGAAAGTATCAACAACCATGGGTTTGGTGGGAAAATCATCTTAACAAAAGCCGTCTGATCACCTCATTTTCTCATCTTTCTCATGTTATTTGGTTTTTCGACATTATAAACAATCAATAATCAGAGAAATTTTATTGTATATTGAAACAATATGTGTGAAGTTGTAAAAAAAGACTATTATATAAGAATTTGAGAGCATTTAAAGTTCATGGGTATTTTAGTCTATTTTCAAGTTGCACAAAGTAAAATTAAGTTTAGCAATTCACTTTGTTCAATCGTCCTATCTTCCGTTGCCGGTTTCCTCTGTCCAAACCCCTCCCTTCGTAGAGGCGTGAACTTTGTTCCTCCATTTTTCAATTTTCTAATTCGACTCTTCGTCTGAGTGGGATGATGAAGAATCATTTTACTTATTGTTGTCTAGATTGTGGAATTTGAAGTCAATGGGTTTTGCCTTTTTCTCCCTCCAAATATGTTATTCTTCAATCGAACGACGTTTAAGAATATCATTTGAGTTGTGCTTTTGCCTGTGAAGCCGACGGCTCTAGGAAGTTTTCTGATTGAAGGAGAAGCAGGCTGGCAATAACGAAGTGACTTTTGGTGGGGGGAGAAAAACTGGGATTCAACCTCTGTTTTTTTTAATTGAAGGAGAATGCAACGAATGCCACTTTTGTTCTTGGAAGAAAATCAAAGGGTTAGTCTTTTCTTTTTGTTATTCTTTTTTTTTTCCTCGATTTAATTGAAGTAAGTTGATTCTTTGCACAATTTTGATGGATGTGAAGATACTCGATTTAAAACCGTCGCTGCTACACTTGTATGTTTAGTGTACTGAAAAACATAAATTGAAACTGATTATATGTATGTATTAGATTGATTGATTTCGTGTGTATAAGGTGTCTTAATTTATGTCATTAACAGTTTATGTTGCATATACGTGTTATAGTGCTATGATGAGATTCATCTGTACCACCAAGCTCTTGATGTCCGAGAGAAATGTTATTCATTTATCGAAGTACTAACTTATCAGGTTGTGCAAACGACATGAAGAGTGAATGCTAAGGTTTTCCTTTCCAATAATCCTCAGGCAGGACTTCTTGAACTTTTTTGGTTATTGAGTAACCACATTTGGAATTGAATTATGTGCAATTTTTATGTTGCTTAGTTTTTGATACGGAGCTTTAGTTGCTAACTCTATGCTGTGGTAACTTTTTGGACCTTGTAGTACATTTTTTTATCTGGTGAATTTCCTGAAATAAGAGTGAAAATACCCCTGTTTATGAGGCGGAGTTAATCGAAAAAATTACTTATGTTTGGTTTGCATACCACATGTTTGTTTATATGCCTAAATAAACTTTGATGAGGACTTAGGAACTAAAATTAGTTATTTTTTTTTATGGTCGGCTGACGTTTATGATTGCCCAAGTTGACAACATTTTTTGACTGTTCTATGAAGAATCATGAAGGGAACAAGAGATCATTGTTTCAAGGCTTAATATGAAGAAATCATTTTCCAAAAAATCTTGCCTAAGGATTATTGGGGAAAAAAAATCTTACGATTCACTCATAATGTTGTTTGCTAGCTGAAAGTTTGCCAACCGTAAAATCCTAGCAAATTTTATTCAATATTTTAACCATAAAAGCCTAGAAAATTTATGCAACTTCAGGAAAATGACTTAGCAGCAATGCTGCTTTTTTAACCAAATCATGTGTTTTGTCCAGCATATGATTAACTATAAGTATGCTTTATTAATAGGTGGTAATGGCCAATTTATCTTTAATGTAAAATTGCCTTATCTTTGGATCTATTCTCCAGATGGATGTATTCCGGAATTTCTTAATAGAATCCTACCGATTACTTCTCCTCATCTATAATTTGTTTGTGGTACTGATTATCTTTGTTCCATGCAATTGATAATTAAAGCAAAGGAAAAAAATTGATCAGTTACTTTGATTGTGTCATTGTATGCTATTTTACAGTCCTTATTATGTGTCTTCTGTGTGCTATTGTACTTCTCTGAATGAAATAGTGTTAAATCAGAAGCTGCTTAGAGTATGCCAGGCAAATCAGGAATTTTGCAGATTGAACCAGCTAGTTTTGTGTTTAAACTTTATCTCATTACACATAATTTCCTTCCAATTTTTCAGGTTTCTATTATGCAAATTGCCTCTGAAAACAAGGTTTACATATCAGATGTGATAAAATTATGTGAAAGTCTTCCCACTAACTTAGATGAATGTCTAAGCCACATATTGCATTCTACCTGGATTTTGAAGCTTGGTAAGCAGAATTTTACCTCATGTCAATACTTGATAAAAACTCTTCTCTATTCAACAAGTTGCAATAATACTTTATTTTATATATTCAAATCACTGGAAATAACTGTTGAAGAAGATGGTATAGATCAGAAATTAGAATGAACTAGCTGCAAATGGGATTGCTGAGTAACCTTGGGGAATCTAACAACTGTAGAGTCATCAATGGAGCCGAAAGTAGAGAATCAGACTGAAGGTATTGAAAAGCCATGTAGCAACACTGAAGAAAAGCCCTTGGGCACAGCGAACCAAGCGCCCGAGATTACTATTGTGAATGATAGCTGCAGTACTGGTGTCGTAGAGAAAAATAAAATAGAATGTTGCGGAAATTTTGGTGATGATGAAACCGAAAATCAGATTGAGGTCAAAAGTTGGGAACATATTTGATTTATGCCACCCATGATTTGTTGTTCATAGCCAAGTGGCAGATGTGGCATGGAGGCAACAGGGTATATTTGAGGCATGAATTAACATAGCTAAACTTGTTATCCTGTTCCCCTGACTTATTAATGGACTAGGAGTAGATCTTCTATTACCAAATGATGCATATAATGGAGTGGTTCCTTTGCAGAAGGGTAGTTATCATTGAGCTGAATCTTATTATGGGAAAATTTTGCATTAGGTACATATTGCCAACATTACCAAGAAGCTCAAAACAGGATCTGTTTGATTTGATCTTTCTCTTGCATCAATTCTTCACCATTAGTTGCATCAATTCTTCACCATTGTTTACTAATACAATATTTCTACACGTTTTTTTTTTGTTTTTCTTTTGTATTGTCCTTTTCGTCATACTATACTACATATTAATGTTACATTTCAAATCCTTTGTATAATTATTACTCAAATAAATTGTATACTATGTGATAAAATAAAATTCCATCCATTTTTCTCTATTTATTTCGATGCCAAAAACAAAGGCCTTGTTTACCCAACCACTTATTTTACTTTTTGTCTCATTTTACCTCTCAAACACAAAATCTAATGCACTATCCAAATAACTTTTTAATTTATCTTTTAAAATGTTGCGTTTGGTCATTATATTATTATAAAGTATTCATTTTGGTCATAAACTATTGCAAAGTCTTTATTGCGTTTGAGCACTGAACTATTGTAAAGTGTTGCGTTTAGCCACGGAACTATTGTAAATTCTTGTGTTTGGTTATTACACTATTGGAAAATTTTCACTTTGGTCACTGAACTATTTTAATTTCATAAATGGTCACTATATTATAGTATTTTCCAAATCAAAATCCAAATCAAATACTAAAACAAAACGTTGTCCAAGCAAGCACTAATAATCCGGGCCTCTTCACACCTGCACCGCACCTCGTGCAGTTTACACCAATCTAGTAACATATAAAGCGGGAATCTGTTTTTTTTGTGGCACGGTAATCTGGGAGTTGCAAGTCATTTTTATACGTGCCAAGTGATGATTCGATCTTCTGTTTGTTTGGTGCTTCCCAACTCTTCTACTTCTTCTTCTTTCCTTTCGGCTGCCAGTACTTCTTCTCTTTGGTTTCTTCACAGAAAATGGAAAACTCCACCCCACAACACTGACCTCTTCTTCGACTCTCTCTTATCGCTCCGGAAAACAAAAGTCAAATTAAACAATTTGGCGTGTGAATTCAATCAAGACATTGTCAATAGAATAGTTGCTAGAGTAAAATGCTGGAGTACTAGGCATTTGTCGTATGCTGGTAGGTTACTTCTAGTAAACTCTGTTCTTATGTCTATGCACTTGTATTGGGGAGCAATGTTCATCTTGTCTCAAAGCATTACAAATAAGGTGAATAGGGTTTGTAGAGACTTTCTGTGGAGTGGCAGTGTAGAGGGGAGGACTCTGTCACTAGTTAGCTGGGATGAAGCATGCAAGAAAAAATCAGCTGGTGGATTAGGTATCAGAGATGCAAAAGTTTGGAATATTGCAACAGTGGCTAAGCAGGTTTGGCAGTTGGTGGTGAACAAAGAAGCATTATGGGTCAGATAGGTCAATGGTGTGTATATCAAACGTGCCAATTTTTAGGAAACCGAACCAAACTTTGGTTTTCAGTCCGGTTAACCGAAATAAAAGTATGAATCTGGTAACCACTCCATTCACCTAATTTCTAGAAACGGTTTGGTTAAAAATCCGAATCGATAACCATTTTGAACCAGACCGAACGGTTCGGATGTGGTTTGGTGCGGACGGTTTTCGGATTCGGTTAAACTGTGCTCACTCCTACAGTGTTCGAGGCTGGAGAATATATGAGGGGCACAAAGGTCTTTTTAACTTAGCCTTTTTTCAATTTTTTTTTGAGAATTTTTTAATCATTTTACAAATTTACGATGTTGACCAATCTTTCTCCCAGTTAACGGGTAAAAATATAAAATTATCAAAACTCGATGTGTATTTTGTTAGTAAAGGGTCAAAGGCTAAAATGTAATCCGCCCTTAATTTATAGGGGTCAGGTGTTTATTATATGGGTTACCCGGATTGGACGTGTTAAAAAATTAATAATAGAAATTATAACATTGAAATTTCTTGGCAGAATCAACAACTTGTTTTCTTCCTCAACGCAGCGAAAAAGCGGAGTATTTATGTTTATTGCATGACCAGGCCTAAAAAACAATGTAAAAGAATCCCTAAACCCTAAACCCTAAACAATAAAAATAAATTGTGGATAAATAGATGGATGAAAACATGATAATATATATTTTCCTCACTTGTGGATAAATTCTTAGGTACATACTACTTCACTTGCTCAATGACCTGAAAACTATTCTCCATTTAAGATTTTCATTTTTTGATTTAAATAATATTAAAAGTGAAAATTCAAAGTGGACAATAATTTTTTGACACAGAGAAAATATTTTTTCTTTACATAGTAAGCAACAATAAATTATAAGTAAATTGGGAAACAAAAGACAATCCATCCCTGACCCCTTTTCTAATCATTCATCGCCTTTACAACAAACTGACTCTGAATCCCCTGTAGTAGTATCATCTCCATTTTCATCATCAACGTCGTCATCGTCGTCTTCAGCCCAGTTAGTTCCAGTGTCCTCCCGGTTAATGCTGATGCTCGTGGCGCTTGATCCCCATCTCTCCGGCCTTTCAACATCGTCCCTGTTAAGCAGCATTGCCCTCCTCCTGCTTCTGCTTTCCTGCCATCTTCTCATTGTCTCTGATAAGCCTTTTTCATCTCTGCTGGATTCCTCCTCCTCCTCTTCTTCCTCTTCTTTTGCTTCGCCTATTGACTTCTGCCCGTAAACCCCGCCATTCACCCTACTCGGTTTCATCGGTAATATCAATGGCTTAAAGCAACATAAAAGAATAACAATCAGCATTGCATATACATACAGAGAAGCCCAAACGTAAAATGTCCATTTCCATCTGCGGACCAGCTCTTTTGTCCAAGGAAGCTCAGATTTCAGCACAATTTCAGCTTCATACAGCTGTGGTAGATACATAGTACCAGCCCGGGGAACTAGACTAATTCTAATCGCTTCAGTTCTAGGGAAAACTTCCTTGTGCCTTAAAGTTGCTATCTTTATTCTCTGCGTCTCAGCTGTAATTCCTAACAATAATGGTAATCCCATTATGAATGTTCGCACCATCCTAATTGGCCAGCTTCTAAATCTCAACATACAAGGACGGCTTGATTTCGCCATTATGTTTCCATCACTTGATATCAATTCTGTGGTCACCTGATTAATCAATTCCAAAATTCCAATCCTCCATTAATTCAGTAATTGTGATAGAAAGATGACATTCTCTACCTAATGAGACACCACCATTAAAACATAGTGGATAAAACATGAACAAGAACATAGGATGTCTATGAGCTCACCTGAAAAACACCCATTTCTCTGTTGTAATCAGACTCCGGCACCAAAAAATTCAGAGAAAAGTAAAAAGTGTGGCCAACAGGCACACCTAATCGCTGCTTACTCTTATAGTGAACCATGTGTTTATGGCCTCCAAACCCGTCATCACCATAGAATGGGAGGACGGCGGTAGGATGAATCACAGAATAATCAAAATGCAATTTTTCCTTCATAAAAACAGGCTCATCCACCCAATTCTGCACCAGCCCAACTCCCAAAATCACAGCCACAACGAAAAGCAACATCAAAACCATACACATATAAACAGCACCAAGCAAACCAAAAACCACCTTCTTTACCAAAATGTTACTTCCCCGAACCACCGTGGAAGGGACCCGAGTCGCCGCCACCTGCACCGCCGATTCCACCTTCTCTTTAGTCTCATCGGCACGATGGACAGATTCGGAAACAAGGGAGAAAAGGAAAAACAAAGGTGATGTCAGGAGAAGGTAACAGTTATGAAATATATCAGCTTGTGAAACTATAATCTTCTCTGTAAACCATGACACTGGATTTGGCACCGGAAAGTAATTCTTCATCTCTCCTTCCTCCTCATCCATGGTGGTGGCCTGGTAGAAACAGAGTTTTTTCTTTTGTTTCTTTTTGACCGAATCAAATAAAAATATCAAATCAAATCGGATAACATTCATATTCAGTCGGTGAATCGCCTTAGTTTATTAATTTTAATGGAGGCCAACAGTATTAGTATTATTACCTGGCTTTTGAACACTTGTGAAACATGCAGAGCAGAAGAAGATGATGACTGGCTAAAGGCATTGACACGCGTAACAAAACAATGTAACTGAGATTACTTCTATAAAAACTGGTTCCATATGTTGTTGTTTTTTGTATATTCAAAACGGTCCAATTTCATCATCTGAATTAGTCCTCCTCCCAATTACCGCCGTTTTATCAAACACCTAATAAAAAAATGCCGGGATTGACCATCGGCGACCAGATCCCCAACTTGGAAGTTGAAACAACCCATGGGAAATTCAAGCTTCACGGATTCATTTCCGATTCCTACTGCATCATCTTCTCTCACCCGGCCGATTTCACGCCGGTGTGCACGACGGAGCTCGCCAGCATGGCGGCTTACGCCGACAAGTTCGCCGAGAGGGGAGTGAAGCTGCTGGGATTCTCATGCGACGATGTCCAATCCCACAAGGAATGGATCAAGGACATAGAAGCCTACGCCGATAACAAGCACAGGGTCGGGTTTCCGATCGCGGCCGACCCGACCGGAGAACTCATCAAGGAACTTAATATGGTTGACCCGGATGAGAAAGACTCCTCCGGCCGCCCTCTTCCGTCCAGGGCTCTCCACATTGTGGGCCCAGACAAGAAGATCAAGCTGAGCTTTTTGTACCCTGGGAGCACCGGCCGGAACATGGACGAAGTGGTGAGGGCTCTGGATTCCCTGAAGAAGGCTTCCCAACACAAGATTGCGACTCCGGCTAACTGGAAACCGGGCGATCAGGTGGTCATCGCTCCGAGCGTTTCCGACGAACAAGCTAAGGAGATGTTCCCACAGGGATTCAAGACCGCCGAGCTTCCGTCCGGGAAGAACTACCTCCGTTTCACCAACGTATAAGAAAGTAACCTACTTTAGCGCCTGTGTTATGGTATTTTGTAAGGCTTCATGTATGGAAGTTGTAGTTTCAAGGTTTGGTAGTGGTTTTTGAGATATATTGTAAGAAAAAATTTAACTTTTTGTAAGTTTATAAATGGTCTCTTGGAATTACAAGTACAGAAACAGGGGTCTCTTTCAATGAATCCCGTAAATTAATAGGAATGTAGAATTAGCTGCGGAAATGATCATTAACGTAAGATCTATGTACACCAAGGAAGAAGGAAAAGGGTAAAAAATTTACTACATTACTCCGTCAAGAGAATCTTCTTCAAACAAGGCGAATTACAGTAGGATTGTAAATCAGTATTGTAGAGAATTGAACTACACTTAACATATATTTTAGCTTCCATTTGGAAATCTGTTCCATGACAAATAGGATGGATCTGCAAAAGGCCTGCACAATGAACACAGAAATTATACCAAACAACGGCGAAATAGATGACACATTTAAAGGATTCGAGTGTAAGCTGCACATTAGTAAGGGCTAATGAACCATAAGCTCAGAAGTTTACCTTGGCTTGATGAGGTACATGACGATGAAAGCCGCGGCAAAGAATAAGCACAAACCCCCAACAGTAATGTATCCCAATCCCAGAAAACTGTTCTTTCCTCCAATCCATGTTGTGGTGGAGAGGACAAGCTTCTTTTTGCCGCCAAATGCATAGGCATTGTAATTGTTTTCTATCACTACAGTTATCTGTTCATTAGGTTCAAGATCCTGTTCTATCCTCCCATACAACTTTCGGAAACTTGGCAATGCTGCAGTGCGCATCCAAACCAGTAGATCCTCTTGCTCACTCAATGGTTTCTTCTCATCTAATTTACCCCCTCCAATCAAACCTCCACTTTGAAAATTCTTGGGATAAACATTGGATCCAAATTTGTAGTTTTTGTCGCTGCCCCATGCAATGTCCTTCTTGTTCACTGTTACAGCCTCGTTCTTACTGTAGAACCCATATGTATCATTGAACAAGCTCCAAGCAACAAGACCACACGGCACAATGGGCTTATCCCCAACCGTGGTACGCCCTTCAGGGTCACAAGTTGAAGTCACATCTTCATCTTTTGGACTTCGTAATTGTTTGTCACTTCTACTCTTGACATATCTGCACAAGAAGAATCAGAAACTTTAGCTTTTCCATCAGCAGTTTTCTGCTAATAAGAAACAGTTGAAAGCCGAAAAGAGAGGCGATGCACTGAGAAACACCAGCAATCATCAGAGATCATACTAGCTACCTAATCGAATGGACATTAGGCCAAAGGAACATAGTATAACTCAGAATAAAAGATTAGTGTTTCCTGATTATCTAGTGATATTTTAACTGACGGATGTTTAAAACATAGATCAGCAAAATACATTTAAAAAAAAAAGAAAAAAGTATCTCAGAAGAGGCTCAGAGCACAGGAGTTCACTTATTCAGAGTATTAGGCATCTTCTCACTGAATTCGTAGGTCCTTTATGTTTAGTTTTGAAGAACATTTTCATTTCTTGCAACAATAATCTGATTCAATTAAGAGCAAGATCTGGTAGATGAGAAGGAATGACAATCAAGGACCTCCTCAACTAGTCAGATAACTATTCGTGAACGGGCAAAGTAGCATTAGAAAGTGGAAAAAGAAAAGTTGAGACCTACCTTCGATGATTCTGATAGAAGTTATCAAGTTGATAATAAATGTAAATAGGTTTCTTCATTTTCTTTGGGACCTGCAAAGACAATTGGGAGTGCAAATTATGATGAAATGTAAGAACAGGGGCATAAGACCAGAAACAATTCTGTTCGTTTAGAGACATTTGTGACCAAGAAACTGCACTTACTCGCAAATTCCTGGTGCAAGTTTTGTTGGTCGCAGGGTTCTGAATGAATGCAGTCTTCTCTTGACCAGCAGGAACACAATCCTCATCATAGCGGTCCACGATTTCAACAACCTATGTATCAGTAATGGGGAGGACATATTACATCTCATATCTATTAAAAGATTCTAAAGGACATATGTAAATGGATATTTCTTATGTTTACCCTCTCCGATGCAGATAATGAGGCAAGGCCAATTGGTATGAATACAACTCCTACAACAATAAAAATCGTAACAACCTGAAAGACCAGCAGCAGATAAAGACGACTTGTGAGGAACAGTAAAATTCAATAATTGATCAGATGGTACAGTAGCAGAAAGATCCCTTCAATGTTAAATAAAATCCTGATTCCAATATGGTAGAGCTTCATTACAAGAGTGAACATCAGTATACCACCCTTTTAAACGCTATTATATCACTTGCTTACCAGTCCAGGAGTTAAGATTGGCTTGCAAGCTGGAAGCTCCTGTTGTGTAAACCTGGAATCTGAAACATACAAGAGCAACAATTTCATGGTCAACTTAATCAGAAAAACTAACAGAACAAGATAGAAACAGATATCATTCATTCACCAGAATAGTACCAAATGTGTATGCTAACTAGAATACAGAAAAGCCCGTAATGCCACAAAAAAAAAAAAAAAATTGCCCCCAGTTTAAAATCTCTCAAAGGAAAGCTGAGTGCGAAATCCGAAAATTTCAATCCCATAATTCCAAACTATCTTAAACCACATAACAGACTGACTACTTGGGAAAGAACCTTAATAACTACAGAAACTAATGTGAACAAAAATCCTCTTCCATACTGATGAGAAAAACTAAGACTCTATTCCAACATAAATTGTGAGGAAACACATTAGATTTTTGGCAACACTATATTCCAAACCAACAACAAACCAGGATAGACAGGCATCTCCAAGTGCACCCTGTTAACTAGTCTTAATGGCATTACTTTTAGTTCTGCAAGAAACGAAAAGGGCCAAATGACAAAACTCTGACACGAAATATGGACTTACAAAACCACAATTCTAACGTTCACAAACATATGCTGTAGAAGAATCAAAATCATTTTCACAGCCTAAAATCACCAATGAAATACACACAGTCAGAAGAACTAGATGATCATAATGAGAATTTAATCATAAATTCTGAAACAGGCCAGGCTTCTCATACATTTACAGCCAAAATTGAGAATAACAATCAAAACATGCCTTTCACGGTTCCTAAAAGGGCAATCCAATCCTAGACAAACCCAAATGTAATTACAAAGGGCATACATACATCTAATGATGATGAAAAACCCTCAAATAAATTGAAATCTTCATCAATTAAATGATGCGTTCAAATGTAAATTTAAAAAAATTCCAGGAGAGAAAAGGAAAAAGATTCTACATTTGGGCTGCTTGGATTTTTTGGAAGAAGGTTGAGAAGGACCCTCCCCGGAGCTCATCTTCTCCGTTTGTATGATTAATTATGCAGGGGAAAACAAGAGAATTGCAGAAAACACAAGAAGGGTCAGATTGAAATGAGGCCAAAAAAAGGCCTGAAATTTTGAAACGGTTAATTCTTTTTAAGGTCAGGTGGTAAATGATTTAATCCCCAGGAAAAGAAGATAAAAATTTGATCTTCTCTATTCAGGGAATTGATTTCCTGTTTGTTTTCTCGTGAATTTTTGAGGCATAAAAAAAAAAAAAAATGGGGGGCAGAAATAATAACTTCCTTCCACGATTTTTACCATTTGTGAGTTTCTTTTTCTATCAGAAGCAATCGTTTTCGGCATTAAGATATTTTGCGAATTTTAGTAAAATGTGTGGGTAATTAGGCAAAAAAAAAGAGAGGCATCTTTTCTCCAATATCTTTCTCTTAATTTGAATAAAATTCATTTGCGATATTCATATTTTATAAGTATTTATAATTTTATTGCACAAAAAGTAGTCATCAATTGATGAAAACTAAGATTTATAAGGGAAATAAAATGGAACATAACTGAATTTTTATGGTATTTGTGGTTTTGTTTATTTATAACTCAGAAATAATAAGCAACAAAATTCTGATTCTTAATAAAAGTTTTCTGACTTATAAAGACAGTTGATGAAGTATACGCGAAATATTGATGATATATTAGCCGAATAATGATTAGCACAGGAAAAATGACAAGGAAATGATCTCACCTATTATAATTATTAAAACTTTCCTGACAAGGTTTATGCATGCATTTAAGGTCATGACATAGTTTAGATGTTGACACAACATTCTTAGTCAATTTTTGTTGTCATTTTTTTTTTTGTACCTATCACTATTCATACTAGCTCTATAAGTAATCCGCAATGACATTTGATTTTCTCAAAATAAAAAGTTTTTCAAGTATCGATGATACGGAATAATAATAAAATAAAGTTCTCAAGTTTGGTTCTTCATTTTGTTAATGAAATCAACTTTACGTATCCTATTGCCCGATTTCCATCACATTTTTGCGGGTTCAACTGGTCACACTTACCATAGAAAGTATTATTAGCCAACTTTGCTTCCATACATACAAAATAAATTGTACTATCCTGACCAACTAGTCCACCAAATGTAGAAGTTGTTCTAACTAGTTAAATACGATAATTTTTTTTGCTTTTTATATAAGTTTTACGTTACGCTTATATTTGTTTAAAAAATACAATGCAATTAGATGTATCCAAAATGAATATAAACAAGGATATGATACAAGGCCTCATTTGACTCATGACTCAAATTGAAGAGTTTCAGTTTCTGTTATCTTCAAATGACCATCACGATCTTTCAATGTGATAATGCTTGGAAAAGTGACATTTGTCTTGAAAGATTGAATCACCATTCACAACCATTAAGTCCGACATAGACACATTTATTGTTGTGGAAGAAAAAAACTTTTAATCTCGAAATAATACGTATTATATATCGTGTTATAAACTAGTAAAAAAATAACAAACACAAATTTGGTCATTTAAAAGAACGCTAAAATTGTCTTTACAAATTTTTGATCTGGTCATAATCATCGGTTGACAAATACTGAAATAGACATCATGACTGACAAGAGGACCAAATTGATAGTTGGAGATATTTTCAGCTGGGTATGTGATATTTCTAAAAGTGCAGGATGTTTTTGGATATTTAATTAAACCTCAAGGAGCTTGATATTTTTATGATCCCAACTATAAAAAAGCGAAGAGGAGGCAAAAGGGTTAAATTTAACCCGGGTCACTATTTCAATAAATAAATAAACATTTTAATGTAAATATATATCATCATCAATTCTAGGGTTCTTTCTTCCCTCTGTTACCTTTCTTCCGCCCAATCCTCTCTCTCCTTCCCCCTCCCCAGAAAAAAAAAAAAAGACAAACAAAGCAAAAGAAAACACAAACACCTTTTTCCACGCAAAAGAAAAGTCACCGATCAAGATGACCGGAAAAGCGAAGCCAAAGAAGCACACCGCCAAGGAAATCGCCGCCAAGATCGACGCCGCCACCACCAACAGGGGAGGAGGCAAGGCGGGGTTGGCCGACCGGTCCGGAATCGAGAAGGGCGGCCACGCCAAGCTCGAATGCCCTCTCTGCAAGGTCACGGCTCCCGATGTCAAGTCGATGCAGATTCATCACGAGGCTCGCCATCCGAAGATCCCTTTCGATGAATCTAAGCTCAACAACCTCCACGCCACCGTTGCTACTGCCGTTGATCCCAACAAGCCTAAGCCCGGTGTCCGTGGAAGCCTCAAGAAGTGAATTCCCCTCTCCGCAATCGGGAAGGATTCTCGTCGTCGTCGTGGTCCTGTTTCTGTTGTTGTTGTTGGGGCTAGTGGTGGTATTAGTAAACCTACTGCTTTTGTTTTTGGCTTGATTGCGGATGGTATTATATTAATAATAATAGCTGGTTTTATAATTTTGATGATGATGGTTATCGGTGTGGAGTTCCCCTTCTCCTCTGTTGGAATTGTGTTTGTTATTGGTGTAACTTTATTATTATTATGGATACTGATATTAATATGTGCCGAGTTTTACTGATGTTTAATTCATTTCAATTGCTTCATCTTTGTCTTTAGTATCTTTTGATAAAGCTCTCTCGAATTAGCTGATAGTAAGAAAAGCTTTTTCTGCTTGAGTAATGGGAGATTATGATGATATACTATGGCTTTTCGGTGCGATTGCAACTGTTTTTATTTGAGTCGGATGTAATATTTTATCCTTTATGGGGTGCCTATTGTTCTGGAGTAAGATTATTTTGGAGTAAGATGTTAAGCTTCTGCTTATTGTGTTGGAGTAGGATGTAAACTTTTACCCTTTAAGTTGTGCTTATTGTGTTGGAGTACGATAAAGTTTAGCCCTGTATAGTGTGTTTTTATAATTTACCCTGGCCTTTTCTATTTGATGATTATAGTTTTATCATGAATGGTGCGTTTTCAAGCTGGTTGTGTAGCTTTGTGGCTTGCCGTAGGTTCGTTAACTCCTAGATTTAGATAGCACGGGAAAATGTAGTTGGGTTTGTTATAACTTTTTCTTTTGCTTGCGGGCTTTATTCATTGACCAAGTATGTTTGTTTCTTTGACTTTGCCGTTCAGATTTCTGTATATCAATGATTTCATGCTGGACACCATTACCGAGCCAGGCTACCACCCCTTCCTGTTCCCCAGTTTCCGAGTGTGTTCCGGTTTCTTTTTGTATATGGTAATTGGTGTTCTGCAGGCCCTTGTTTCCGTCATTGGGTTTGGCTTTATTTGTGGTGGGCTTTTACCATTTATAGAGTTCACTATGTCTGTCTTTCGGGTGAGTAGTCTTACATGCCATGATAGTTATTCTCTTTACCACTCAAGAGTTTGATACTGTTACTGTTTATCAAATCATACAATGGAGTCAATTTACTTTTATGATCATACTGGTACAGATAATTGCTCTGTTATCCCTGTAGTTTCATGGTCTTAAGCTGAATCTAAATTCATGCTTAGTTTGCAACTTGAAAAGGAAATCCTGATTGCGAGTTTTCTTTGTTTTACTTCCTGTTTGGCAACATGTTGCGTTTGCCTGCTGTTGGTAATTGCTTATACTTTTAGCTGGACAGAACATAAGGAATGACAATTTGGTGTCTATATTCCTTCTGAGCTTCTTTGCTAGCTTGTTAAAGGTCTTCTGAATTATGCATGGCTTTATTAGTTTCTGAACTAAGGTTATTTTCTTGGTATTTTCATAGTCTAGGTGGGGTGCACCCATTGATTAAGAATTTCATTAAAGGATTGGATAACTGATAGCCATCCCATTCTCACTGTAGTTCTGCAGTTGTGCCCGAAGTAGAAGCAAGTAACATTTGCTGTGACTTCTTCCCCCGCCTGAACTCTGTTTGGCGAAGGTGTGTCATAGGGAGCTTGAAATTGTGTAAGCTCTATTATGATTCAGAAGTTAATTCAACTCCGACCTATTGATGGTAATGTTATCACGCTATGGTGCGAAATCATGAGTTAACTGGTTAACACGGAGTCTATTAGTGTCTCTACTATCCTGACTAACATGACACTCTGCTTTTTTCTCGTTTCATTTGAATAATTTACATGTATTTTCGTTCAACAAAATTGTTAAAATTGGATGGAATGAGTGCTAGTGCGCGGTTGTGATTGACATATGACAAGCAACTCAACGTCGACCTTTCTCAGATGTGCATTTGAAAACAGCAGAAGTTTAACTCAAGAGCAACGAAATAGAACCTCCGTCGATGAGTTATAAATGCGGCAAAAGATATACTCAGATTGGCGTAAATAAGAAACTTCTTAAGAAAAACCAAAGGCAAACCAGATCGAAAATCTCTGGAATTGCCTGGTAGAAATATCACTAATTAGAATTAGCTACCTAATAGATATCCGTAATTGCTACAAATACGTTTATTATTAGTTCAGAAACTGGAACTGAGGCTCATTGAAACTGGAAGTATCCCTCTCTGACCAACCCGTCATCCCCATTGGAGCTTCGGAGTCCAGATGATAAAAGTCTGCTAAAATAGTCATCTGGTTCCGTCTGCATTGCCTCTGTTCCGACACCATTATCACCTGTGACAGCAGCTTGTAGAGGTATAGGGTACAAAATATACTCAGCAGGAAACTCGCCATGAAAGTCCATATTACCTCTCCTGCAAGCGTCGCCACCTTCCATTAACGGAGGAGGATATTGACTGAAAACTGCTTGCTGTTGCGGCAGCCATTGTGGAATCTCCATTGGGACGACGCAATTCGAGTTTTGATAACCTTGCGCAGCATTTGAGTTTGGATATCCAACCTCCATCCTACTTTGACTCACATGGTACGGATTGTTCGGATTCATCATCGCATTAAGACTTGTTCCTGTGGAAAGAGTCCGAATATCATCCCTCATGAACTGAACTCGCTTCCTTGTAGCCTCGAGTTTAACATTCAGAAAGCCGGCGAGTTTGCTCACATCTTCACGCGAGAGATCCTCGTACATTTGTTTACATATCGGATGCTTGTTGGTACGACATTCCTGGCGTAGTTTAGCAAGATTTCCACGGACTTTCGCGATCCGATCCTTTAAATAGAAAGAAAGATCGTAAGCCTTGCACTTGCTATCATCGTCTCTGACCTTGTTGTAGGATTGAATGAGGCCATGAATGGCTTGATGATGATCTTGATCAGGCCAAATGCTAACAGTTTCATTAATTTCGCCCTTATCATTCTCCATTGGGAGGAAACTGATGAGACACAGTTTAACATCACAAAGAGTTGATAATTCGTGGCCCTTTTTCTTCAGAGAAGCAAATCTTTTCTTGAACATTGTTGCTCGTGGTTTCTTACGCTCTATCATCTGCATCGCTGTTGTTCCTTTCCGCCCCATCTTCGGAGTTACTTATTCTGCCATTAATTAACATATGGATTGTTAATTCTGGATCAACATTCTCTTAAAAAAACAAAAAATAATAATATATCTAAATTGAGGTAGTTGGTTATACGATGATGAGTGCGATATTTTAAGGGTAATAATAATTTGTAACACATATGCAAAAGTTAAGATCTTTGCAACTCATAAACATGCATTGTCTTCTGAAAACATAAAATAAAATACTTCAATATTATTAAAGTTTTAATCCAAAATTCTCAAATACAAAGTACAAATTACGAAACACCTTGAACAAACTATCAATTATTTGATCTTCAACTAGTTTTTTTCATCATCCTCATTAGCTCATACTATTGCATAAAGACGGGGAGACAACTTCGAACAGGTAAATAAACTAACTACTAAACACATGACTGAGTTGTCGGATAAGAGGGACCAACAAAAAAATTTCAGACGCTCCATCCGTTCCAATAAAATAAAATTGTTTATATTGCTATTTTAATTAAACAAAAATAGACTTCTTGTTGTTGGGGTCGAAGGGAACAGAAAAAAATTTCTACTACAAAAAAGTAAAATTGGTTTTGTTACGAATGCATGAAAATAATAGCAACAATAAATATTGCATCCCTATTTTTGATCAGAAAACACACAATTGTGGTAATTATCACAACTTCCATAATGAAACAATAAGAGAGATAAGCATGAAAGGAAGAGAATATAGGTATACTTGACCTTGATTTTCTTTGAGGAGTTTGAAGAAGCGAGAGAAGCAATGGCTACCGATGGTATGGATATATTTGCTTCTATTGATTGAACATATATATGGTGAAGGCCATGCCGATAACTTGGCACCCATTAAAATAAAATATTCTATTATGTACAGAATAAAAGGAAATCTGGGATGTGATATATTTCCTATTAATTACTTCCCAAATTTATCAAAGCATCAAAAAGGTAGATTATTTACTTAATTTAAAATCAGATTACGCCCATAATAACCCGCCTTGTTGGCGGATTTCGTTGGTTAAGAGCGCCTTTTGGTATAACAAAAGAAGGCTACGCTTAACCAAAATTAAAAAAGGTGTATACAACACACTAAATCACAGGCGTTTTAATGAATTGTCAATCCTCTAAACTCTTACGAGTTTTAATACAATCTAAGTAATCTGTTGCAAAATTGACATTGGACAACCTTAAAACAGATTCTTTCCAGCCTCTATTGAATTTGTCTAGATCCCTCTGTGTTGAAAAAATAATTCATATTGAATTTTAAAATCTATAATAATGGGGATTATTTTTTTTTTTTTTTTGGACGGAGAGTAACTTTTTGTTGCGATGCATGACATCTAGACAGCTCTTAGGTAGTTAGCTTAATGATTTTGAGCATAACTTGCGTTCAGAAACTCGATTGATGGCTCAAGAGTTTCTGTATATCGAAAGCATCCAAGTTCTAATAACAAACACACACACACACACACAAAATGTGATTTATGTACCTTCTCAACTATCTTTAGGGAAAAACTCAATAAGGAAAAGCAAATAACACGGGCTAGTATTTGTTTCAACATTTTTTTCTGCTGCTAAAATCAGAAGCCATTTAGCTAATTACAGAACTGGCTGGCATCAATTAGAGCCGACAAGATCAAAATCTACCTTGAATTCTATTTCTAGCAATAGAGAAACATGAAAACAAGAAAGAAATTATATCATTAGATGATGATGATGCATCCCTTTACTCTAGTATGCCTTGATTCCAACAAGTTGCAAAATCCATAGTAGACATGCTCCTGTCACTAATGATAAATGGCAAATTTTAAGACTGGACAAAGGAAACTTGATTATTGAGAAGGAAAATTTCCCATGGCCCTGCAAAATCCTGTGGAAGATGTAATATTTGAGTTAGTATCAGGATTTGTCTGAAGGCAGGTTTCAGATACAGAGCAGTAATCCCTTTTCTCCTCTTTAGGCCTGCGAAATCTTGGATCACCCGCTGACTCTTTAATGTGTTGATCTTCAATGGAAGAAGATTGAAGAAGTGTGCTGTTTTGCACTGCATGGTTATGGTTGTTATAAGGGTGGAAATTGTTGTTTAGAGCCATATTTGGTGAGGGTCTAGGCACATTCATTGGTATGGACATTGGAAAATCTAGCATTACTGGCGGAAATTTCTGGCATGATTCGACGCCATTTGAGTTCATCATGTAAGAACCATATGGCATGTTGCTTGGTAAAGGAGGAGTGGGAGGGAACTTCAATGGGTATATGGAAGAAGGTCTGATTTGCATGTCACTCACTAAATCACCAAGTAAGTTAGGCCTCAAGAAGTCCCCTCCTAATGCTGGTTTCATTTCATAATGAAGTGGTGGAAGATCTTGAACTTTCATTTCGCGGTTAGGCGCATTTGGATTTCTTGACACTGAGAGGGCAGTATTCTGGTTGGACGCGGCCTGATCAGGAGGGGAATTGAAGGTACCAGTAGGTAGTCCAGTACCGGTTTTGGTTGTTGGCACTTCATGGTTGTGTTTCCCCTCATATGTTGTTAGTACTGATTTGATATCATCTGAGGCTCTTTCAACATGCTTCCTTACAGGACATCCTGCACTTGTGCATTTGTAATAGCTCCTGTTTGCAGAATCATTTGTCAGTGTCAAATATAATCTACATTGCCAATAACTGATCTTAACAAAAGCTGCTTGAGTTTCTAGCTAATTTTATGTTATCAATGTACCTTGGGTTTGGATTTCCTTTCACCACCTTTTGCCCATACTTTCTCCAGCGATAACCATCATCAAGCACATCAATCTCACTTTCTATCTGGACGATAACTCTTGGTTCACGGTTGGACCTTGATGGTAAATATGTTTCTGTTGAGTAGGCCTCTTTTTTCCTGGCATAAACCAAAATGAAGTAAGCAAAATGTGGTTGTTCTGTTGCTTACGTGAAATGTTGAAGAAAGCAAGCACAAGTGTATAACCCTAATTATATGGCGTTGATATGTAAGAGAATGCATATACTGAAACTTATCGCATTGCCACATTCAATGGCAGGAGGGAATGTAGCGGCAAATAGTACCTCCTTTTAGGCTCCGATTCATCAGCATCAGCTTCATCACCTTGCGACGTGCTTCCTTGCGTTGTCCCATCTTCATCTTCACCATAATCTAGACTGGCTATCCTTGATGAAGTAAGCTCTGTAGTGTCAACTGCAGATCCTAGTAAACTTGCGGACTTGTTACCTTGAACAGCCCCCATTAATGGATCCAACATCTCTGTCAAAACAGAAGTTGACGATGTCCTTTCCAAGCCATCAGGTGGCCTCCAATCTGAACTACCAACTCTACTAACATCCCTACCCCTGATCAGTTGATTATTGCTATATTTCCAACCTGTACCACTTTCCAATTTTATACTATTAGAGGGTTCATTCCCTAGATCACTTGTGTCCATCATTTCACATGATGTACTTGGAGCACCGGCCAGGTTTATCCGAGGGTGAGGTTTTGGATGATTATGAGCTCCCTTGTAAATAATTTCGGTTATTTCGCCATCATGAGAACGCTCAACCTTTTTCTTAACAGGACAGCTAGAGTTATTGCACTTATAGTAGCTTCTTGGATATTCACTCCCTTTAACATGTTTTTGTCCATACTTCCTCCAACTGTAACCATCTTCTGCATTCCGCGATAATTCAGCTGCAGCTGCAGCCGTACTATATGCTCCTTTATGCTCTTCCGGCATTGATCCTTGTGATACTCCTGTTTCTGCTTTGATATCTCTAAGTGGTGGCAATTGAACTTTGATGGTATTGGTGGAATTCTTTTGCACATTATTGTGACTGGCCTTTTGAGTACTCATCTTCCCGCAAATTTTTGCTTCTGGAGATGTCTCTGCAGCAGAATTCTTCAGAGAGTCATCTTCTTTTGCAGACTCCATTGGAGATTTAGAAGCTGTAGTTATCTATATAAGGAAGTTTCATATTAGTTATGTCTCATGAGGTTGAGATGTACTTTGAACAATTTCAGAACATAAATATTCCATCATTACTAGTCAAAAAAAAGATGCAACTTAGTATGTGATTAGCAATTCATATACCTTATTCTCGGCACTAGGTTTACTTGGCATTGTTGCGGTAAAGAGAGCAGATGTATGATTTACGCTGTCCTTGTCATTGCTATCTACAGCCGGACTAGTGGAGTTAAGCACTGATAAGAAGCTGTCGTGGTTGGATTGAGGAAAATGCAAGGTTCCAGTGGTCGGCGATGGTTGTGCCTAAGCAAAAGAAAAAGTACTGAAAAAGGAACAGAAGAAATAACTTCAAAATGCTGGAAAGGATGCCATGGAGGGACTACATAGAAAGTGATTAATTAAAGCTTATTGCCTCATTTCTGCTGATGAATCCTGCATTTCTTGTGGTTCTACAACATTGAATTCCAGTTAATGAAGCCTGTTGTAATCTTCCTTGATGGATTCCTTTTATCATTGATCAAGCATTTCTTTATTAGATTTCAGATATTCACTATCACCAAAGATTTTATCAGTTAATATTAGTCAGAAACATTCAGGCATTTCAGTGGTACTCAAAATTAGGTTTCCTTAAAACCAAAACTAGTTCAGAGATCCGAATAATGTTTTGTTCATCTTCCATTAGATGCAGATATTCTCCAAATATGTTTTTATCTCTAAGAAGTTTTCATGGATGGGTGGCAGACATGCTTAAAGGAAACATCCGCCAGAAGTGGAAATCATAGATGATCCAACATTTTTAACATTTTCACCTATGATCCCTATTGAAGACAAGCAGGATAGTTTTTACGCTGATCGCCAACTTAACAACAACCTACATTGGCTGATTCCATTCTGGGGAAGAGTAACTATAAGCCTGCTTTTTTATGATTTGTTCAAAATAGCAGAAATGATGCATGTTACAGAAGATTTCTAGATCAGTATGCATCTAAAAGCTCATAACCTAGTACTAATTAATTAAACAGCAGAAAAAGAATTTGTAGTCCCTCTTGCATCCATATTGAAGAAACTTTTTCCACTGTGTAACCAATTACCTGATAATTTGGGAGCATGACTGGAGAATCTAGCAATGCAGCAGGGCTAAGTCCAGGAGGTATGGTAAGGTAAGGCGACCGGACAGGAGGCGAAGTTGGAGGACTAACATGAGCTTTGAACTTAGCAACATTGATTCTTGAAGCATCAAAACCAAATTTTGCAGCTCTCCTCTCAGCAATGCTTCTTTTCTTGTATTCATCAACCTCGTGGCGATGATGATGATGATCATCAGGTGGTGATGAAGATGAAGAAGAAGATTTCTTGGACTCAATTTCCATGGCTGCCACATTTGGTTGATCATTGTCTGAAAATACATGATTCATTAGGCCATTCATGCTAACCCCATCAATAATATTGATCCTTTCAAACTGAGCAGCATCAAACTCATGAGTTTCAATAATTGGTTTGGTCTCAAATTCCTCCACAACCAATCCTTCCCAATCATTAAAAGGAGGAACCCCATTGATATTCTCTTCCATCTCCAACATAAAATAATCATGCATTTTCTAAACCACACCAGAATTCACCTCAACATTCAAAAGGCAAAGATGCCAGCCCTAGAAACCACCCCCCACAACACAGTATCAATCAAGAAACCCTACTATCTAGGGTTTCCAAATTCTGATTGATACTGTGTAAATTTGTGTATCAATTCTTCCCTAACAACCTAAACCTAGCTCGATCGAATTCGAGTATTGATCCTTTGCTTTTAATTCTGCAAAATTGTGAAAGAAATAGAAATTTCAATCCAATTGATCATAAATAGATTGAAATAATCTTCATAATCATGGGTAACAATGTTTTGTTAGCTAGTCATTACACTAACTTTTTATGCATGTACAACTCTAGCTCAAGCTCCAACTCGAACTCAAACTCCTTGACATTGAATCTTTTACTAACCAAATCAACATTTATATAAGGAGGAAGAAATCTGATGACTTCCTGATTTTTCCAATCTTTATTTGTGTGTTTTGTCCATGTTGTTTTGATGCATATTGTTAGAGAATTGCGGGAAATTTGGATAAATTGTGTGGCTTCCCGGGAAAATGAATAAAGGAGGTTTAGATACAGAAATGGAAGGTTGAGGTGCCGAATCTAACCCCCACTTGTAGAAATTTGGGTAATCCTAAATTTCGGGTTTTGTTGCACAAATGTAAATCCACAATTTTTGCTATTTTACACATAAATCTTTGACTATTTCTAAGGGGTTTTTTTTTTTTTTTTTCTCATTTTTGGGGGTAACTTCAAAGTTTATCACATTGGATATATGTTCTAAATATAGCTCAAATAAAAAGGGATTGGTGCCCCTGAATTGTGTAACAAAGTGGTCGTTGTTATCCAACTAACCAGCATGTTAAATTCAACACTACAAGAGTTAAAAAATCGAATCTGTTATTCCGCTTTTCGTGTCTTACTTGTGGATCGTCATCAATAAAATTTCATTTACAATATTTATAATTAATTAAAGAAATTGGTACCATCACACGATGTAATCCAGAAAACGTAGCTTTGAGAAAGTGATACACAAAAATGTGGGAGAAAAGATCACATCTAAAGACAATCCGTGATCCTAACCAACTCAATTTGGGAGTTTTTATCCCTTTTCTTTCCACCTGGAAGACGACAATTAATTTGTACAAGAACTAGAAGCCTTTGTTTCATGAATTCTTATCCGGACAAGTGACAACCTATGCAAATTTTCATTTCCAATTTAAAAAAAATAAAAGCTTTATTTTTGAAATAGGATTCCAGTTCTGATATATAATCTCTTGATATTATTATTAATTAATAATTTTAGTGTTTGTTCTGACCGTTGGATTTCATTAGGAAAGTTTCATAATTATTAGAAGTAGGTGTCAAGTTCCATTCACAACATAATTTTAACGTGGGATTTAAAGATCGGTAAATTACTTACGGTCAACTCCCTCTTGGTTTGATTATGGATTCTTCTTTATTAATTCTTTGTTGAACCAAATAAGGGAAATTTGAAAAGATTCGAGAGAGAAAGAACACCAAATTTACACACAACCCCGAAAAGGAAACTCTATAGCTTACTTTTTCTTTTTATTCAACCACAATTCCCCCTGAGTAATTCAGAAAAGTCAAAAGGAGTAAGAACCACGAACGACACCCGACTATCAAATGTATGTGCAGAAGAATCAGCATTTTCGAATAAAGAATCTCTAGTTGCTAATTCTCGGAAGGAGGCCATCCTATCCAACAAAAACCAGGATGGGGACATCACATCTAAGCAGAAGTTATTCGCGGCTTCTGTACAAGCTCTTCTTTGTACAGCAAACGCCTTTTCCTTGATCCGTAACCTTGGTACTGATACAAAAGGTTCTGAAGACAATGCCTTAGGGACGAGGCATCGTACTTCTCCAAAAATGCCAAGTCAGTTAACCTTGATTTTGCACCGGCATAACGCTTGTACTCTTCGACCACAGATGATAAACGCCAGTTCTGCAATATTCTGAGGGAACCGACCAAACAACCGGTCCGATGCTGCAATAGAAATGAGAAGAATGAGCTGCTGATAACTAAGGATTCGTTCATTAATTAAGTACTAAGACAAGTAACTGAGATTTCAGACAAGGGAAAGTGTAGATCACTCAAAGGTTCTAATTCCAGAGAGGTAGAAAAAGTCCAAATTAGACATTGACATCACCAACTAACGTACTCCAAGTCACTTAAAAGTTTTCATCTTTTTTCAATCTCGCCATAGAAAATGAGGAAGAAGAACCACCGGATAGCTTAATGCAACTATTATACAGCTGTTTATGAAGGTAGTGAAAAATTCAAATCATCAAAGAATGTAATGGTTCAAAGAACAAGAGATTTCAATCAAGAAAACCAGTTTTTTTAAACAACAAGTGTCTGCGTCAAATACTGAGGTAGCTCATCTATAACATAATATAGAAAGTATTAACTTTTTGGATTCATTGGAAATTACAATTCAGCGTTTGCAGGATCCATAACTAGCCACACAAATAAACCAGAAAACACTAGGCTAGTACAATTATTCAGAACAATAAGCCCAGCAATAAAGATATTTGAGTCGCAGTTAAGTGAAATTAAGAATGCTCAGTTTCTAGCATACCTTTCCACTTCGACAGTGAATCAAGATGGGGTGATTTCTCACATCTGAAACCAAAAGTCAAAAATCAGACCAAAAGGCAAAAACACAAAGGCATCCTAGTTCAACAAAAAACAGCATGGCAAGAAACAAGGTCCACAATTTCATACCAATTAAGACTTCTAAAGCCTCTGTTATTGTACTCCTAGGAATAGATGTTGGTTCCTGCAATCACATCGATATGAGTAAGTAAACAAGACATAAAAATGTGTCAATTATATTGAAAGAAACTAAAAATCTGCAAGAGGTGACTATCAGCCGATAGAATAAAACAAAAAACCAGCTTTGACATAAAATAAAGAGCCACCAAACATATGTTAGGACTTTGCATGAAATTAGAACATGTGACAATGCAAGTCCCTAATGTTTCAGGTCAACATTGATGTGATAATGCAGTATATGACCTGTTCCCAACAGTAGACACACTTACCACAGCATTAATATAATGTCAACTGAATTAATTTCTTTATAATACAAAAAAGAAAGTGAAAATCCAAATAAGAAACTGGAACTTCTAAAGGCAGCTCCTTTTTCACCCAATATGCAAAAATGAATCTTTCCTTGAGGTCCTGTAAGCATAGTATTAGTTTTTACTAGAATATTCCTCAGTTATGGAAAAACAAAGGTTCTCCATTGAAAATTAGCTGGTCAGGGGTCGAACAAAGAATCAGCCTATTCCAAAAAGCTACTTACAGATGAAAGCATGAGTCGAGACACAATCAGACCAACATATACTCCAATAAAAGTAACAGGGGATATGGACTAAAGCATAATTCCAGATTACCTTAGTGCCATCAATTCCAAACTGAAAAAGCTTTATGTTATTAGATTTCAGAAACTCAAGATTTCCTTCAGGGTACGGTTCCGTACACAAACACCTGCAGTCAAAAATTGATGGTTAATTATCTCAAAAAACCCATCAAACCAAATTCAATAGACCCAAATAACCACAAGTAACCCCCACACTAAATTCTTTGCATTTGTGGGTACTCTGTTCTGCAAACTTAAAAACTAAAAACAATCCAATAATCCAAATCAGCCATAAAGCTTAAATTTCAAAAAAAAAAAATTAATCAAAGAAGAGAAGAAGAAGAAGAATTACAGGATGGACTTGAGATGAAGGGATTGAAGGAAAGAAAAATTGGAGGGCTGAGGAAACCCAGATCGATAAACGCTGTTATCTTCGACGGTGGCAAAGTTAGGCGGCGGCACCGGCACCCTTTCGGCAAAATCACCTCCCTCTTCTTCCAGAATCACACACATTTCAATTCTCCAGCTGCCCCCAACTTCTTCTCTTCTTCTTTTTTTTTTATATTATCCTTTTTCTTCACCTCCCCTTGGGGTTAATATATCGATTTGCCGTTTACAGAATCAACAATGAACTGTGGCAAAAGGAGCCCTTTTTTTCCCCTAATTTGTGACGAAAATCTAAAAGGGTTGAATTACTTTGTTTCTTAGAATCCTCATTGTTCACCGATTCCTATGAGAATTCCAGTTCTTATGGGGCTCGTCCCATGCCTATTTATGATTATTAATTATTTATAGTGACGGCTTCTTTTCTCCCTTTTTTATTAAATCCTTTATTTTATTCCCATTTACCACGTCGTTTAATTTTCAAAAAAGGAAAAGAAATTATTAAAAAAATTTACAAATCCTATTTTAGAATGTTCTATTAATAGTGAGGCTGTATTTTTACATATAAAAAAAATTTGGATTTGTACACCTAAATTATACAAAGTATTTCATGTAATGATGATGTGACTATTTCGAGAAATTATTGCAATATTATTTGACATATTCAGAAACATTTTCCAGATTTATTTTCGAGAAGTCAATTTTATTTAGTTTTGTTTACAGATGTGACAAAGGAAAATTAGTCTAACCAAACTAAGGCTCTGTTCGTTTGCATGGCATTGGGGGGTTGGATTTGGAATTTGGGCCCCCAATGGCAAATTCGGTATTCGGCTGTCTAAAAATAAGATGGCATTGGCATTGGCCCAATGCCAAAAGGCTTCCAAGGCCATGATTTCAATTCCGGGCTTGAAACTATTATTTGGGATTCCAAACTCTCATGGAGTTGAACAGTACGCGGGTTATTATCGGGTCAATACCGAGTTATAAGCTATTCGGATCTCTTAAAATTTTTTACGGCTTAATTTGTTATTTTTCTTTTTCTTCTCCTCTCATCTACGAGACAAACTTTTCCATCTCAATTTTACAGCTAGCCCATTTAAGATTGATGAATAAATCACAAAAATATCTCATCTATCAATTCAATCTGAATAGCTCTCAACCCACCCCAACAAAATCTGAATAGCCCTAAGAGATTAATAGCAATAACAAGAGGCAAAGAGAAGAAAACACATCTTGTTTCAGAACGCGTGATTTGGAGGGAAACAGATTTATCGTCGTCGTTGGAGGAAGGAGAAGAACAGAAGACTGAAGGAGCAGGAGTCGGCGGCGGAGGCGAATACTTGGAGAGAACAAGGGCGGCGGTGGAGGTTTCGACTTCAGGAGTACAAGAAACACAACATAAAGTTGGTGATACTGAACGGCGGTGAGGAATTGCCGGAGCATAATCTCCGTCACCGCAGCGGCTTTGGCTACCATATTGTATGTTTTCTTCTTCTCTTTCCTTTTCTTTTCTTCCTTTTGAATTTTGGGTTCCGATGATTTAAGGGATAGATTAGGTTCTGATATAGATCTAAGCAAAAGATCTTCGATTCAACTCATTTTCTGATGTTTGTTGTTTGGAGATGTCCTCTCTGCTTTAAAGGGTATGTTGAACTTAATTCCACAATATATTTTGATCAGGGTTTTTGTTTGATTGCTTTGGATTGATTGTATTATTCATGGCCACTGTTACTTCGTTGTTATTGGAAATGAACATTCTTTTTTTGTCATGCTAAGTTTTTTTGGCTTTTGTTTCTGTTTTGATGCCCTGAAGATGTCATTTGTACTTCACAATCCGTGTATGTGTAAAGGGGTCACATCTTCTGTGTATTTTGTGGATTTTTGTGGACTTTTGAATCCAATTGAATCATTTAGTGCAATTAGTAGAAGTTGATGATAGTTTGCTAAGTCATTTTTATAGTGGAAGTCGTCTGAGTATTTTTGCAATTGACCCTGGTAAAATGGCTACACATAATCTACTTGACAGAAACCTGCAGCTTGATTGGGACAGTATTTCTCAAAGAGATGATTTGTTTGGAATTTTCGAAATCCATGAAGCTGTGAAATTATTTAATAAGGTGGGAAATTCCTGGGCAAGTTGTGTTTTACCTGGAATGAAATATGAGCTCCCAAGAGCTACATTGATTGAGAATTGCACCTTTCGTGTTGCTTGTGTTACTCTTTAGGAGTGTATACTGAAAAATGAGAACAATGAGTATGTTCTTATGATTGCAAAAATATCAGAGGATTTAAATCTTCCGGGGAAATTTATGTTAAACCAATAGAGTGAAAAATCTGAATTTTATGGAATTAAATGCCCTGTTGATGTTGCTAGTATTGATGAGCCCTGTCTTGATTTTGGTTTAATGTTTGATAATGATGTTGGTTTGTTAGCGATACTGAATGCTCGTACTCTGGGTTGTGCAAAAGATGTTCCTCTGTTCTCGAATGTTATAAGTGTTGATTATGGGACTGACAGAAAAGCTGCAACTATTTTTAATCAATTGATAGAAACTGATAAAGAGAGTGGTGTGTTTAGTCATTTTAAAGACAAAAATCAAGACATTTGTGTCAACCTTGGTGTGAATCCGACTACTATTGGGGAGTTTGAATTATTCGTAAATGCTTTTAAAGAAGGAACTACAAAGTTAAAAGTGAACTCGGACAGTAGGAATCATTTGGTTATTATTCCTGCAAGTTTAACCAAGGAAAATGATAAGTTTGTTTTGGATTTCACTGTTTGGGAAGTTGCTTTGTTACTGTTGATTCATATTATGACCTTGAGATATTAGAGATTGATATAACTAGGAAGTGTATGGTTTACTATAAGTGGCCTAAGCATGACTGCTTTCATGAAAACACACATGGTTCTCATTTTTGGGTTAATGTGGTTGGTAAAGGGGGAAGCTACATGGTTTTTTGCATGCCGACTGCATTGCTATCTAAGATTCTGAAAGCTAAACCGAATGGAAATAGTTCATTCCGTGTTAATTTTGTCAAAGAGAATTACTGTGCATTTCATATGAACTTTGGGTGGAAAATTGTTTGGTTCATTTTTGAAGTTGTAATAGATTGTCATGATTTGGCTGAATCTGTTGAGGGATATGGTCCTGACATTACTGCTACTGAAATGGACTTATTTGGTGGTGATCTTTATGCTATTATAAGTTGTAATAGATTGGATCCATAGTTGCCTTACTTTTATGACTGAATGGATCTTCTTATGGTCCTGGTATTTGAGTTTGGATTATGAATAATATTGTTGCGGTCTTCATTTTTCTCACATCTTGTTATCTGAAGTTCATGTTCTTTTTATTTGAGATGCTGCTCAGATTTGGACAGCTGCTAAGAGCTTGCCTTTTGCATTCCTTGTTTTAACCTACTCTTGTTTTTGCAGCCAAACCAATACCTGCAGTGTCAAAGTTTGAAGCCCAACTGTAGATTTTGGAGTTGCCGGATAACGTATGAGTTTGACTATCTTTTTTTTTCCCCTAGCTTTCTGCACTTTTCATTTTATGCTATTTCAGTGACCTCTATATTCTCGCTGGTCATACATCATAGATTGAATGCCCATAATTTTCTCTTTCTACTTCACGCAATATTTACAACTGGTTACAAGGCTGTATTGCACATTCATGTTGTTGTGGAGGAATGTGAAATTGTTGAGCTCAAGCAGCAGATTGATCCAAAGACCAGAAAACCCATGAAAAAGAAACCACTTTTCGTAACAAATAAAGCCATTGTGGTTTGTCGTGTTCAGGTAAAACTCTGCATGATCTTATTTGATCATTATGTGGATTCCTTGTATGTCTCTAAAGTAAGCATCTTAAAGAACATTAGTTTTAATGTTTTGTTTTTTGTTCTTTTTCTTCCCAATCCATCAAGTTCTGAAAAACCGTTGAGATTCATGAACATGTGTGTATATATTGATTGATAATATCAAATTAAGAACAAGGAAATAGCAGGAGATTTGTAGGATGGAAGAAGAGCATGACATAAGCTTGACTTTTGGGACTTTAAGTTAAGGAAATTGTGGGGGTGACAGTATTATTGCTGGGAGTCTTCTTTCTCTGTTTCTGCATCTTCAGCCTGCTGGTTTACTATATATTTTTAAGAGGGGAGGGGGTGGGTGTTTGATGTGCTTATAAAAATTTCGAACACTACAAGATTCAGAGTTCTCTGTTTTGTCTGATTAAGGTATTCAGGATGGTTAAGACAGTCATTAAAAATCTCTATCACTGGTCTGAAATGATAACTGGTACACATGGTAAGTTGCTTCACAAGAGCTCAGATTGGATTGAGAGATATCATAGCCATGCGGGTGGGGAATGTCCCTTTGTTTTGCCAAAAGAGCAGTATGGAGGCCTAAATTTAGGTGGTCTGATCCTTGGCAATGGAGTTAAGCATCAAGATCATTGCTCGTTGGTGATAAGTTTGTATGTTCTCCCAGTTGGTGCTGTGTTTATCTTCCATGAAGTTCTTCTTGAAGGTGGTTTGTTTGGAAATTTTCTTTTTGGACTGAGTAATTATAATTCTATATGGCGTACTGCGATTCTATATGATGAGTTTACCAGTGTTGGAGATCATGTTGATTGTGGAAGTAGTGAAGACGAGAAGTCTCTTTTCCAAGATACCGAGAGTTGTGTGATTAAGTGGAAGTACTTTATGTATGCAATTGAGGCAAAACATAACTCTGTGAAGCATGATATGCTGAAATTATTTTTGGAGCAACAAAGAGGCTTAGGTTATGGGATAAGATGGCTATATGCTTTAGTGGTGGAACCTCATTTCCTGCTCTATGGAATTATTGTGCTGTTGAGCTTGATCTCAACTATGGGTTTGTTCATTTAGCCACTGTACTCGAACTGTACAGAAATGGTATTTTGGAAGAGAGCAAGTCAGTAAGCATTTCTGAAAACCTTTTGGACAATCTGTGGGATGGTTTGTACAAAATTCAGCAAGGAGTTACCAGCAATGAATACATTTGTGCCTCCACAACTCAATGTTCAGGTTGGAGAGCAAGGAAGCTGAAAGCATGGCCTGAATCGGTGTCTAGTTTTGAAGGAGGAACAATCTGTCATAGAAAAATAGTTGTTGTTGTGATATTTGATGAGAAGAACTTTATTTGGTTGATTGCTTGGCGCAGTTAGAATGCTCTTTGAATCAATAATCAGCAATGAAGATGTTCCCAAATGCTGCAAGGAAAGGGATAGTAACTGCTGTGAACCAGAGTTATGTTTGCTATATGCCGTGGAGATGTCATTTGCTTAATCTTATTTTCTGAAATTTGATGAAATGTAGAATCATTTGGTTTTAGTGGTAATAACATTGTTGGATTAGTATTTTTACAGATTCAATGTTTGATAAGAATACATAAAATGTTTGGGTGGTTGTTACATTATATATAAAATTGGGTGATACCCCCCTTTTATTTTATAATCAGTTTAGTTTCTTTGGTTTCAAAACAATCACTTTAACTAAATTAATTACTACATACGTAACCAATTTTTGTAATTTTTATATTTATGTTAATGTAACAGTGTTGGAACGACCTAAATTGATCATTATAATGAATATTTAAATAATTGATAAATTTTAAAAATAAAAATTTAAAGAGATTCCTCTTTGTCACCTTAAATATGATAACAAAATATATTATTCTAGAAATGATACTATTTAAAACAAAAATTAAAAGTTGAAATAATTTCAAAATCAATTTTTTCCTTTTTTTCTTTATTTTTGTAAAAAAATCAAAAGCCAAAACTAACTCAATTACTTGACTATCCGAACAGAGAATTTTGAATCCTAATTGAATTTGTGGCCAATTCCATGATTTTGCCGAACGGATAAATTGGCATTGAATTAAAATATCTTGAATGCCGATTGAATCCCAAAATATTCTAATGCCAATTGAATTCCAAAAACATGTAGCCGAACACACCTAAATATATTTAATGGCTTTTACAGTTGCACGAATGTAAAGTTATTTTTAAGATATGCTCTTTTTTTTTTTGACTAGTTTTCCAAGAACCGAAATTGTTAGGCAAAGTAATACATACTAGATGCTTGCCCCAGGCGAATGCCCGGAGTGTCGCCTGTATTTTTAAATTGATTAAATAAAAAAAATACGAATCATTCTTAAAAGAATAAAAAAAATTAAAAGAATAAAAAATCGATTGAAAGGACAGAAAGTAAGCTATTACACATAAATCTATGCCCAGATTTACAACATTTAATTTATAACAGTTAACTTATGCCCGAGTTTACATAAATCATAAACCAATATCTACAACAGAAGAATAAAAAAAAAATCATCCTTAAAAAATCAAATTTCTTTCATGACAGCTTATTTTTTCTCTGTTGTAGAAAGAGATGGATTAGTAATTGATGTCAGATTTTAAGTAATTGATTTAAAGGCCCGGGTGTGAGAGAGGAGCGGAATGGAAGAGATTCTTTGAAATTGGGGATTGGGAAGACATTACTGGTGTTTCACTTGATTTAAGGGGATTTCTTTACATTTGATTTTATCAACTAAATATTGTTGTTTTAAAGGATTAGTAGATACCTATAATTAAGATATTTTTATGTAGCTATAATTAAGGGATTCATGTATTTATCTATTCTATCTTTTTTCTGATTAGTTAAAGTGCCACGTGTCAAAAATAATTTTATACTGAAAATAGTTTTTGGCGTAAAAATTTTTATTGTAGTGCTGACACATGTCCTTTTTGTTTGTTACTTTAATTAATTACTATAGATTCCAAGGCTAATAACCATTCAATGATTCAATTACTTAGGCCCAAAGCATGTGTTAAATTTAGTTAAAGGATGACAATAATTGGTGGTACGTACTAACGTTTTTATTATACTGTTGGTTTACACGTTACAATGCATGATTTAGAGCAGCCTTTCCTAGAATCTCTTTGCACGAGGGCTAAGTAACAGCATAGTAACTTTCAATAGCGTACACGATAACAATTGGAATATTAGAGTGGAGTACAGATGATTATTGAAAAAAGTGAAGAGAATTTATTTTTCGAACGTAACCTAATTGAAAAGGATATAATAATGTGTAGTACTTTTATATGCAAAAGAAAAACCGTCAAACTATAATTTAAGGTAAAAGTTTCCATATTGGAAACATAAGACAGTGGACCTTTTCAATAATTGTAGTAGAAAACTCGCATAATTGAAGAAAGATTAGTTGAATTTGAACAACTCTGCTTTGCCCACAATATGTAAGATTGTGGGCATATGTCAGTTTAAAAAAAAAAAAAATAGAAAATGAGGAGGTAGTCGGGTGTTGGTTAGGCACATTTTGTTTTTATTGCAATTTACTAGTACATTTGCCACCTATTATGTTATACACTTTGTGGAGGGAATAAAAGAGACAAGAATAATTTAGAGAATATATTTAAAGAAAATGGAAGAATTGTTTAGACATATAATTGATCTTGTCTGAAAATGATATTCCCTCTGTCTCGTAATTAGTCATGTTTGAGTTTTCATTTTTAGTTCAGATTGTACTAAAAGTGAAAACATAAACTGAACAATAATTATGGGATGGAGAGAGTATTAATTTTTCTTTTCCTTGTCATGCAAGATAATTTGACTTGTTAAAATTCTTTCAACTTGATTTAGTTAATCAACGCCATAAGAACGTCGAACTGTAGTGATATGAACTTTCCCATCTCCTAGAGTTGGCAAGAGATTTATTCCACGCATTGGTCAAATGAAAAAATCTAACAAATTAAAGTTATTTAAAGTATCGGAATTCGAGTTTTGCCTCATAAATTTGTGGAATATATAGTCAAAAAAATTAATGCATACTCTTTCTATTTCGAAATAATTGTGTAATTTAAGTTTTTACTTTGTATTAAAATTAAAAATCTAAATTAACAATCATTTTGAAACAGAAGAGTATATAAATTCAAATACGATTTTAATTCCTTTAAAACTATGATATGTGTCTAAATAAACCCATTGACACCCCTAGAAATGATTAAAAACAGAAAGCGAAAATGTATGTTCTGACCCATGATTGGAGTGAGGTTTATAGTAAATAGAAAAGAAGCATTAGTTTATTGATTGGAAAAAATTAAGCCAATTTTTAATTGATAATGAAAACTTATTAGCAATTCTTTTGCACTTCTTTCGCTCAAGCAGTACCCTTTATAATCTCGTGCATGTCTTTCTCTTTAATTATGTCATGTTAAAAACTTCAATTAAGTGTCTAATGAATCCTAGCGTAAGTGCACACTCATTATAATCTGATAATTTCTTAACTTCATGTAACAGTAAGATTATAATAAAACATGAACACTTCCTGTTTTGTTTTTTTGTTTTGTTTTTTTTTTTTTTTGACAATAACATCAAGCAAACCTCTTTAGACAAGTGATTAAATACATTAAATTATATCGATGAAATTCTCTATCTTATTTTTGTGTATCACTTGCGCATCATGAAACAATATTGTTTGTACTTTATATTAACAAATAGAAATTTATTTAATTTCACTGGGAATACATGATTTTAACACGTATATATTAGAGAATAAGGTCTTGGTCCGGTGGTAAGGCTCTAAATGGATCTCCTAGAAATCCATAAATCCATGCCTATCTGAGATATACAAAGGGAGATATTTTCATATTTAAGTGAGATCCATTGGAGTGGATTTAAAAAAAAAATACAAATATTACCAAAATAAATAACTCTTGAAACTTAAATAAGACGTATTCTTTCAAGTTTTATCGTGTCGAAAAGATAATCCATTTTGATGACAGAAGACACCGAATTTATATTCACACATTATAACCGATATATTTTATATCAAATTATTGTACCTAGATGACTAATAATAGTAAAGTTTTGAAGAGATGCACAAGCATGAATCATCCTTTTGCCCCCAAGAAAAAAGAATGTAAGAAATGAAAAGAAAAAAGAAAAAACAGGAATCATCCAAGATAGAAGAAGTATATGGTCAATGTTGAGCGGCGGGGCTCATGCTGAGCTGATTGATTATGAAGAAGAGAAGTCACTAGTCACGAGTGGGCCGGCAGGATGTGGGCCACAATAAAGTCATATTTGTGGACGTCTAGAAAACAGTCTGATGTAAGTGGTGATTCGGCCCTTACGTGGAGTTTGAGGTGGTTAGTTATTGGACTTTATTGCATTTTCTTTCCTTCTTTCTTTCTCATTTGTTGGTTTTGGAAATTTGTTGGATTTGATGATCCAAACTGAATCTTCAATCTTCTTTTACCCTTTTTCCTCCGAGCCTCCCATCCACATCCACTTGCGGACTTGCCTCCCCCGTCTTCATTTCGTTTTCGAAACCTAATCTTAAAAAAAAAAAAAAAAAAAGAGTAATGACTCAGCTGGTGAATACAGACTCGGCAAAGTAAAATGAGAAAATGAAATGTAAAACGACACTCTAAATGCTCTATTTGCAAACTCAAATGGACTTTTTCTTCTTTTTTTTTCCCCTCCCTAGTTCTAAAATGCTATATACTCCCTCCGTCCTATAATTATTGTCCAGTTTGAGTTTTCATTTTTAGTTCAAATTGTACTAAAAGTGAAATTTCAAATTGGACAATAATTTTGGGACAGAGGGAGTATGTGTCATTATCTCATTTCGGTGTTTATTTTTACTTGTTCATTTATTTAATTTATTGAGATATTTTGGAAAATTTAAAATCACTTTGCTTTCACTTTCTTTCATTTTGCATTTTCCACTCTTTGAATTTTGAAGAATCTTCTCAAGAAATTCTTTGGTGAAAGATGTTAGGAAGAATCTTCTTACTTTTTTAAATAGTACCTCTTTGACTAGAGTTCATTTTCAAATTCCGGACGGGAAATCGCATTTATGATGGCTTGAAATTTCCATTCCTAGTTTCATCATAGTTGACATTTTACATCACGTAGTTTGATCTCTTGCACCAAATCCGGGAGAGTCAAGCTCGATTCTCGTTGATGACAATTTGAGAAGGCCTTTCAAACATTGGATAAAAACGTGTACTTGTAAAGTATCTTCAATAATTCAATATACTTGTACACATAACTTCGGGGGGGATAAAATCTTTAGTTTCATGTTTTACATTTTTAATTATTTTTCTTAGAAAAAGTCAGACTACCTTATCCTAGGGCAAATGTTGCAACTTCTGGATTTGGAAAGTTCATATCTTTGGAGTGTTATGCTAGAAATCAATCAAAATTTGAAGGCATTGAAAAGAAATTATTATTATGAAAAAATAGACTCAAATAGTTATATTGGAGCGCCAATATTTGAAAAAAAAAAAAAAAACTAAAAGGTTATAGTGAAGTGGTAAGAACTCCTCCATTCTTGACCATAGGTCGAGGGTTCGAATCTCGTAATGGGCCTGGAGCAATTTTAAATCTTTTGGTTACCTCTTCTATCCATCGAAGTGTCTACCATGAGCAAGAGAGATTAGTCACTGTTGCCGACAGTGGACGCCCTGCAGTATAATAAAAAAAATAAAAGAATAAAAGAGAAAAGATGACGTATATCTCTTGTACCAAAAAACGAAAAGAGAAAAAGAAAAAGAAAAAGAAAAAGAAAAAGAAAAAAGATGATGTGTGTATGTCTGAAACTCAACCACAGAAGTCGGCCCAGTTAACTCCATTATCACTTTTGGGCCTAACTCTCCAAAAGGTCTCGCGAGAGAGAAAACTCGGAAGCTTATGTTGTTCGTACATGGAAAAAGAAGAGAAAATTGAAGACTTGTGGATAAGAATCAAGAGATTGACAATGTGGGAGGTTTGGAGTTATTTCATTTGTGATTTTGGGGCTTTATTCATTCTGTGTTGAGTGTTTCTTCGTTAGGAGAACAACCCGACCACCTTGTTAGTTTACATGAATCAAGTATCTGTGTACGAAGGAGTTTATATATATATATATATATATATATATATATATATATATCGGCTTTAGAACCAACATAGTTGTGAAACGTGTGTAGTAGTTGTAGAATATGACAATTTGTTGCTAATGTCATTTTTACATCAGAAATGCAGTTTTGGAATTGACAAGTGAATTGATTGCATCAATGTTCTCCTATCCACAATCACTTTTTTTTTTTCCCCTTGCTCTTGATGAAATGTTAATCTTTTACCACCTTTCCATTCCACACAATCGCATATAACTACTATTATAACAATCCTTATCGAGTGTGAATTGAACTCGAAAAAATTTAAACTCATTGTATCAGGGTCGTGATCCTTATTCGCATTATCTATTTAATCGAATAATCAATCTTACCAATCCTCAATAAAATCCCGATCTTCTAAAGGTGCATGAATCGCATTATTATCTTAGAAAAGAAAATTAATTTTGAAGAGGATCTTATCGATTCTGGATAATTAGCACTCTATTAAACAGAGGAGGTGGACTTGGGTGTAGGGCTGCTAATTCGGTCGGTTCGTCCGCTAATCGGTTCGGGTTAATCGATTTTTTTTAACTTCCTAAACCCGACTGAAAATCGACCGAAGTTTATTAATTCCCGAACTGAACCGAGCCGAATAAGCAATTTGTTTTTCGGCCGGAGATCGGTTAACCCGAAATAGGCCAATTAGGCCATTTACAAGATTTTCACTTTTCAATTTTCAGTCACACAGAAATTCTGAAAATGACACAAACAAATGCAAATTAGTGAAATCACTGATCACATTATCACAGTAACACAAAATACAGAAATAGACCAAGTTTCAAACCTAAATTTTTGACATTTCGACATTTTGAGTTTCGACTTAAAGTTTCAAACTTCAAAGTCCACACTCCACAGCAATAACATTTAACAACAATACAGCAGGACAGAAATGATCCAGAAGGCAGAAGCCACAAACAAGAATTACAGAAACCACAAACCACTAAACTAGAATTACAGAAATGATCTCCCAAAGGACCCAAACTGAGTTCATGAGCCATTAGGCATTAACTAGTTATAGAAAAAGTTTAAGTTCAGAACAGAACATCAGTTCAACTTCACTAGTTCATTGTCAGTCTTCAACGTTTCAACGCTTCAATTGGTACTTGGCAGCATTGCAGGCTTGCAGGCTTGCAGCAGGCATTAGGCATTAGGCAATCAACATTCAGCAATCTGGAATTTTACGTTCAAGTCAGCAAATTAAGAAATAAAGAAACTCATGCAACAGAGTGACAGACAACAGTTTAAACTCATGCAACAGGCAACAGTCTAAACTCATGCAACAGGCAATCTGGAATTTTACGTTCAAGTCAACAACCATCTAAATTTTACCTATCATTGAAGCGTCCCAACAGCTTGTTCACGACAAATCCACAGTCTCTGATTCACCAGCATTCATTTCCTTCTCAACAGCTGAAAAGAGGAAACACCAAAATAAACACAAACAGTCAATATTCAATAAAATGAAAACAAACAGTTAAAAAAATAAAATGAAAACACAAACTGTAACAGTGTAACCTTCTTCAATCTGTATGAGTTCTTCCCAGCTTTCTTCGACACTTTTCTTCTTCAACTTCTCCCCGAAGCCAATCTTGAGTGCAAATTAAGCACTGAACAGTCTTTGGAGTCAAAGAACTCCGGAATGGATCCGATACCGTCTCACTCGTACTAAAGCAAGATTCGGAAGCCACAGTTGAGACAGGAATGGCCAAAATATCCCGAACCATCACTGCAAGAATGGGAAACCTAGGACTATTAACGCACCACCACTTCAGTAGATCGAAAGTTGGACCACCTGGTTCATCGTGCTCCCTGAAATACTTGTCCAATTCTGATCTTTTATCAGCTTGGGAAGCGCCACCAGCTTCTTCATTTTTCTGCTGCCCCAACACCCTAAATCTTTCTCTAATCATTTCTGAAGGCTCGATATCAACAGGGGAAGGCCTTTTCGAGGATGAAGTACTAGAATTAGGCTAGGAGGAAGGCGAACTAACACTAGGTTTAGGGGCATGGATTCTCACATAATCCGCAAACAATTCATATATGGCGATTTTAATAGTTTCAAATCTACCATTCCCATCCACTTGTCCATAAACATCGACAAGTACAACATCCAAATACCTCAACTTATTTCTAGGATCAAAAACATATGCCATTAAAATAACCAGATTCTTAACCTCACCATAGTATTTATCAAAATTTCCCTTCATCATTTCAGCCATTAGTTTTTGATCCTCATCATCACTTTCATTGATGATTTTCTTCAGCAATACATCAATACAAGTAAGATCAACGAAAAAAGAAGTTGAGGGGACGGATTTGGTACGAGATACCCTCAAGGTTATCTCGTAAAAATGATGAAGAATCCCAGCTACCCTCCTAGCTTCTACCCAATCCGCTGCAGTAGACAGTCCAGGACCCGAATTTGGCACTAAAGGATCATATTTCAAAGCATCTTTGTAGTGCTGATTACCAGTTTCGAATCTCCTAAAGGCTCTTTCATACTTTTGAGCAATTTCCAACATAAAGCTGGCTATTCTTGGAACTACCAAGAATCTAATACTAGATTCTTGGAACTACAACACTTCTCAATTTCAACACATCTTTTAAAGTTGGCTATTCTTTTAGGAGGCTACCGAATATACTTAACAGTAGCCCTAATCCTATCAACAGATTTACCTATATATGCCAAACCATCCTTAACAACTAGATTAATCACATGAGCCACACAACGATTATGCAACCATTTTGCACCTAACACATAATTTTGTCGAACAGCAAACTGCTTTTTCAGATAATCCAGAGCAACATCATTAGAACTAGCATTATCAACAGTTATAGAAAAGACATTTTCATTTTCAATCTCCCACTCCATCAAGCATTTTTCAATTTGAGTCCTGATATCAACCCCCCTATGACTTGAAATGGGAACAAAACTTAAAAATTTTTTTCTCAAAACCCATTTATTATCCACATAATGCCCAGCCAGACACATATAATTAATCTGCTGCATAGACCTCCAAGTATCTGTCGTCAAGCAGATTCTACTACCCAAACCCTTAAGCTCAAGTTTCAATTTTGCTTTTTCAGATAAATACAGCTTGTAGCAGTCATTAGTTACAGTCTGTCTACCCTTAGGAGTAAACAATGGCTGCAACTTCCTAACAAAATACCTAAACCCAGGTTTATCAACAAACCTAAAAGGCAATTAATCTACTATTATCACACTAATCATTGCCCTAATGATTTCAGTTTCATCATACTTCCAAGTATCTATATTTTCCTGTTTTCCCACCCCAGACTCAACAACTAGCTTAGACTGACCAGAATCATGCTTCTGAGCTAAATACGCTTTACAAGACCCCAAATGGCTATGAAGACTACTTGTGCCATGTTTCTTAGGATCAGCCATATAGGCAGTCTTACAATAACTACACGTAGCCCATATTCACCATTAGCCAGTGTAGATTTGGAGAAATGAGCCCAGACAACTGACCTATTACGAGTTACCCTGCGCCGCTTAGGAGATTTTTTGACTTTAGCGTGACGGCCTTGACCTTCAGGCTTTTCGTCTTGGTCCTTCGTCTCAATCTGGACATCTACCATCAGTGAGTCATCAGTAGGCAAATCCAGCAGAGGAGGCACTGAACTATCCTTCACTTCAATCTCCTCAAGCTCATCGAAATCTTCATCAAAATCAGACATCTAAAACACAAATTAAAACATATTAGTTACAGTTCACAGAAGCAACAAGCAACAAATTTTTACAGTCACAAATTTCTGCAAAATATGTAACTAGTCACAAATTTGATGCAATAGAACTGACTTCAGACAATCAGACGAACAGAAGAATACAAACACAGTTAGTAATGATTCTTACATGCAACTTTGCAATGAATGAAAGAATTAAAGAAGTAACATTGCATCTTTGCAACACAAGTACAGCTACAATGTCATTTGCACAACTCAAACAATGACACAAAACAAACACTGGAAACAGTAGAAAGAAATGCCTAGCTAGAGCAGTTACAAACAACACATACAAACAACACATGCAAGCCTACAGCACCAAACAGAACACAGTCACACATAACACCACTGCCACAATCAACAATTAAGGTACAAAACGAAAGGCTATACAACAGTTTCAACAAAAGAAGTAAAGAACCAAATCTCCAAACTTGAAACAGGTGAAAATTTTACCTTATCAAACTTGAATATGAATCCTGGTCCTGCATATTAAAGGACACAAAAAGAAAACTCAGTACGTATATATTATTAAAAGACACAAAAACAGTTAACTCTCAGTCCTGCAAATAGTATGATTACAATGACACACAATGCAGTTCACTATCTTCATTGGTTTCTTCTTTTTCATCATTGATTCATTTCAGAGTTAAAACAAAAGGCCAAAGTATCAATATAAGCAGACGAGCCACTAAGTTGAATCAATGTAAGACATGATTTCATAAAAACAGAAACTATAATATGCAATACTATAACATGCAAGACAGAAACTATAGCATGGATCAAACACAAGACTTCCAGATCAAACACAAATGCTCAACAAGACAGCAACGACTTACATTTTAATCAAATCTAAAACTATTCAGCAATAATCAGTACAAAACCCAACAAAGAAACTCCAAATAGAAATAGGACAACATCAGAAACGAACAGAAAGAAATAGAGAAACAGGACAAAATTTTACCTTATCAAACTTGAATATGAATCGAATCCTGGTCCTGCATATAAAAAGACAAAAAAAATCAGTAAGTAATGCTATCAGACTTCAGTATTGATTTCGTAAAGGAACAAAACAAAGTAATGATCAACAGGATAACTTTCAGTAATGATTTTTTACCCTAGATCTGAGCTTACCAGAGAAAAATCAGCACGGAGCTCCGTCAGCGTCAAAATCCTAGATCTGAGCTATCAGAATGGAATCGATCTGAGCTTCGAACCGTCGATTTTCAGAGCACTAGAGCAGCATCTCTTTGATGAATCATTTTTTCTTTAAAAAAAAAAAGAAATCGATTTGAAAACAACACCCTAGATCAGTAGATCTGGACCGATTGGTGTTGGTGGCAGATTGGACCGATAACTAGAAGGAAATGGGAAGTGGTGAAGTGGTGTGTGTGATTATGGTGGTGGGTTTGTGGTCGGAAGACGCCGACGACCGAGAGAAGTCGAGATCAAGAAGAAGAGAAGAGTGGCAGCCGAGAGAAATGGAGGAAAAAAAGAAAGAGGGGAAAAAAAGGGAACCCTAAAAGATCATATATATATATATATATATGAAATACAAAAGTTAATAAAATAATAATAAATTAATTAAATAAGAAGTTATCCGGGTATTCAGACGGGTCCCGAATAACACCCTCTATAACTGAAAACCGACCGAGAATTTATTTCGGGTAGTCGGGTGTTGGCCAAATGTCCCGAATTCGGCCAATTGGCCGGCACGAATAACCCGAAAATGGAACGGGTCGGTCGGGTTTTCGAGTAGACCCAATTAATTAGCAGCCCTACTTGAGTAAATTTGGATTTTCTCTGCTAAATTCGCAGGAGATTAAGTTTCTTTTGTGAAGGATATAGTTAGTGTATTTAAATAGGATTCCTTTTGTAATCTTTTTAGCACAGTGTTCGAAACGTATATAAAAAAAAAAAGAAAAGAAATTTAATCATGTCTTTACAAAAAATAAAAATAAAAAATCAAACAAACATTAAATAAAACCAAGTGGACAATTATGTATAAAGTTTTAAACACATTGCTATTTGTGGTTCCAAAATGTAACAATGAAATGATAAACATAGAATAAGATTCTTGTTCTTATATGACCTATGCACTTTTTTCTTTGCTTTTTATCACGAAAAGATACATGGCAATATGTCAATTGGCCGATCCTCATTGGGATTTGTGTTAGTTTCCAACACAAAAAATTAAGTAAAAAGGGAAATTCCACAATGATAAAAAGTTGGGCTGCACTTGCAAAAGCAGCAGAAATAGAATCATCATCATCACCCAATAACAATAAGAAGAAGTGCCAATTCCCAACTTTTAAATTCCCAAATTCACCCCAACTTATTCCATTCCACGCCAATTCCCCGTCTCCGGCATCTCATTCTCTCCGTCACAGCCCGTCCCTTCTTCCTCCGTCGCCGATGGACGCCGTTAAAGGAAAAATCGTTCCCGAGGAGAATACCAGGCTTATCTTCACCTACGGCACCCTCAAGCGCGGATTCTTCAACCACAAATTGATGGAGGAACTCTTCTCCACCCGTGACGCTTCCTTCGTCGGAGAATACACCACCGTTGAATCCTTCCCGCTCGTTGTCGGGCCTTTCGGAATCCCTTTTCTGATTAATTTAAAGGGTTTGGGCCATCGCGTTTCCGGCGAGCTTTATGCCGTGTCGGGTCGCGGTTTAGCCCGGCTGGATGAGTTGGAAGGGATTACCACCGGACATTACGAGAGGCTTCCGGTGGAGGTGGTGGATTGCGACGGAGTAGTGGTGGCTACGGAGGTTTATTTCGCTCACCATGGATTTGGGGAAGCCATGTGGAAGAAGTCAGGGGAGGTGGCGTTGAGAGAATACACCAAGGAGATGAGAGCCCGGTATGTGAAACGGGCTGATAGGCCTAAGGACATTAAGTTTATTGATCAAGTTTGGAAATTTATTTCAAGTGTAAATTGATGATTAGTTCTGAAAAATGTAATTCTTTGATTGCTCTTTTCGTTAAGAGCAAGATTAGAGACGGCAGAATTGAGGGATTGAATCAGAATTGTCCTAGATATGCTGTATAATTTGGTAATGAAGATCTTTTTTTGATTGCTGCTTACTTAGCTGATTCCATGATTTGAGGTGAATAAATAGTTTTGCAGTTACTCTTGCTGTTTGCCGAGTATATTCTGCACAATTTTAGCTGGATTCACGAAAAATTTCTATTTTTAAAGCTGTTATCTTTCCGATGGTTCAGTAAATCCTGTCAGCTAATACATGAGCAGGGTTCCAGATGATGAAGATGGTCATTCTTTATTCTTCCACCACGGGAGGTATTAAATTCCCCATTTTTTCCTGCTTGTAAATCATCCATGGACCTGGTGCCTGGCTTTGTAAACTTAATGTGTTTTTGTGTTGCTAGATGTTTGAATGATGTGTGGTTTCCTGTTGCTTTTTTGATCTACAATTTGGTGTTACTTATGGCATTGGAGGATTAAAATTGTAGTTCTGATGGAGTAGGGTATAGACCAGAGAATCATATTTGTCCCTAAAAGACTGAAGCATGTCGATTATTTTATTAATTTGCTAGGCATCATATTGCAGTCTGATTGAGTCCACTTATCGCGAGGAATTTTACTCATATCGTTTCCATTGTTGGCATGAGTATGTCTACTTATGATTTATCTGAGCACTAGAGATTTCTTAATGTGATTTAAAATAAAAAGAAAAAAAAAAGAAAGAAGAAAATCTAGGTTAATATCTAAGCACTTAATGAGCTTTGAAACTTGAATTAGTGTGACAAAAAATCTAGGTTAAGTACATCACTACCTCTGTAAAACGAAATGCACCTTTGAATTCTGAAGACACATTGTCTATTCGTAATTTCATATGAACATAGTAACAATGATTTGGGCAATGAAAATACCACACAAGAAATATGGAGTCTGTACAATCATTTGGCCTATGCATTCTGCACCTGTGCTCCATGATAGACATTCACAGAACCTGAATCTAGAGCTGCAGTTTAGGCTCCCTTGACATTGAGTTGGCGAACTTCTGATGGAACGGAATGCGGGGATTGTATCAAACGACCAGGGGAAGGAGCTTGTGCTTGCATGAGCCGCTTGGCAAATGGGGATCGTGTCGGCTGAACAGCAGAAAAAACTTGTTTTGGTGTGCCAAGTGGGGATGGTGTCAAATGAATGGAAGGAGCAGGGAAATCAAATGGAACTTCTGCTGGCGTCCCAGACAAGGATGGTGTTGAATTAAGTGGAGAGCAACCACGCACGTGAGGAGAAGCTCTTGCTGGCGTGGCCAGAAAATCTGGAGAAGGTCTAAAATGAACAGGCGGAGCAGGCCCATGGAAATCTGGTGCTTTGAGATTATCCCAACCTTTGGACAGAATAGATGTGGCGGAACCATCTATTCCTATGTGAGTGACATGCTTGACATCAGTTGGTAATCCTATATCCATGCTGAAGTCTTCATCCTCCATCTCATCATCCTTGTATGCTACAATATCAGATAGAGAAACATAGTAAACACATGAGCTGAATTGTCTCCAAATTAAGATGCTTATTTTGAAATGATCCTTCTTGCATTGGACACATCTTAAGCACCCAGATAGAGTTAATGCTTGAACTTACCAAATAACTGAGAAAGACTCTTGAAATTCTTGACCAGCCTCTGGAATTTTGGAGCCGAAAGAAGGCCGGTTGGGCTCTTCAGGTCTTCGTCGTCTGCATAGTCCTCTGCTTCTTCATGGTGTTCTTCTTTAGTTCCTTGAAAATTCAAAACATCAAAGAGAGTGAGCCTTTCTTGAACGAGATACCAATGCACATATAAACATGATTTGTGCGTGATGGATCATCATTCAGGGTGCATTCTGTATCTCAAATGTGAGAGGGAGAGACGAAGTCTACATACTCATGGGGGTCAATCTTTCGTTGTGTTTTGATCCATCAGGAAAGTGTCCTCCAACTGCGATGCTAGATTCAGAGATGCAACCAATAGAGAAGGGAAGAAGAACCAGCCTCTCGATTCGATCTCTCATTTCTTTTGGTCAGCAAGCTCACAGACAAAGTTCATACACAGCAAAATTTCACTCTGCTAACTAATCTCTAGAATATTCAGAAAACAAAAGAGAAGTAGGCTGAGGAGAGAAACAAAGGAGTTAAAAGGTTGGTGTAATGTTATAATGTTGCAGCCTTTGTCACTAAGTTAAAATGATACTAGTAGTTCATGTACAAGAGGTCAATATCTACACTTGAGTTCTATGAGGAAGAAGTCTGATATATAGGTTCACCTAAATACAGCAAGTTTCCATTTTTTGGATTATAGAACTCTGGAATTTGTTGTGGTTTTTTAGCAGTGGATGGTGGGTTCTCTCAACATCTGCCTCTCTTAAAGGAGAAGTTACCTGTTTATATGTACTGTTAAGCTCAAAGAGCCATTTTTTTGTGATAAAGTTTCTCCCACTATCACTATCATCCTTTTTGTATTAAATTGTCCTCTTATAAACAACATGAATAAACTTAGGTTTAACTCTAACTCAAAATGAGTGGAATACAAGCAAACTTTTCGTAAGAAAAAGCACTTCAAAATACGCAAGTGGGGGGAGATTACTTTATTTTGAAGCAGTGGTAAGTACTGTGTAACCGATCTCAAAATATCACTAACTACAGCCTACAAGTGGAATAAATGCAATATTGGTCATCAAGAAATTCTCACCGTGCATCAATCTCACCAGTCAAATTTAAATATTCCTTCGTTCTATTACATTTTAATCATCCATATTGTTGTACGGTTGTAATTAAAATGATACAAAAGTAATATGAATTCACATTAGACATACGGTTAGGCCCCATAGGTTTGAACAACGAACTGGTGTCATTTTTGTTTTGTTTTGTGGTGAGAGATATCAGATTGTACTGTGGGTTTGGTAATCACTACCAAACTTATATAAATGGTAAAGAAATTCGAAAGAAAATAGTACTACCTTAATCCCCAAAAAAATAGTCCACATTGAGTTTTCAAATTTGTACTAAAAATAGTACAAAATTCAAAAATCAATGTTGAATATTTTTTTTGGGACGGAGAGAGTATATCATTTATATTTGTATCTACCAATAATACATTGTACATTTGTAATGAAACACCTTAATGATTAAAAACAATCTGGTGATTTGTCCTGTTAACGATGGAAGCTCCCTTAAAATTTGTTTTGACTTAGCTTAAGAACCTATAATTTTGATAACTCTTCGCCAATCCATTCTGGTATACATAGTTCCTTAATTGTATTGTTTTTAGTTTAACAAATGGACTACTTTTCTGGCACAGAGGGAGTATATCATGAGAAATGAAGGACTCCATTGAGAAGTAGGATTGAGTTGAAGAAATTATCATTCGAAAGCTCCAAAAGTTTTGAACTTGATGAAGTAGGATTCAGATAATTCACTGTTCAATGAAATGTGGGAAGTGTATAGTTACTCGTATTTTAATAAGTTGCTAAAGAATCGAATGGACTGTACCATACAACTGATTGTATTCATGATTCAATTTGTGAGGTTTCCTAAACTTGAGGAAATAGAAGAGTTGAAAGAATTAAATGACAAGTCGAGATAAGTTAAATGCTTGAGATAATTCAACTCACTAGCTAGGTCTTAGTTCCACCAAATGTATGTGTTGTTTCCCGTATCAAGAAGTCAGGTTCCCAAGGAATCTGGTGATCCTTCAAATTGATTCTCCTTAAGATTCACACAAGCGAGAACTCGAGAACTTGAGAATTGAGAAGGAATAATCTTCATCTTCACTTCTAAGATCAAGTATATATGCTAAAACAGTAGGATGACAAACAGTATTCTAAGAAGCGAGGTAGAGGCATACATTCCAGGATGACAAACAGTATTCCTGGTGATCCCTGATAATTAATTTTACATTGATACTTCCGTCGTCCCAAAATGAGTATCGTATTTGTTGTATGAAAAGAACAATTATTTTGGGTAGAAGGAAATAAGCTATATAGTGTATAGACACACCAATGAAATTGTTGTGAAACAAGAATCTCGTCTTGGGATGAGTTCTAATAGATTTGAACCTTATATGATCACTATTAGTTTCATAACAAAGAATTGCGGATTCTAATAGCTACCATCTAATATCTTTATCCATCATCATACAGAAAAACATAGCTAATTTACAAGCAATCGACAACTCGAGAATTAGGCCCTGAACTGATCAAGGAACATCTCTGAGTCCAACTCATTCAAAACAGAGATTTCATGTGTGACCTGATCATCAACTTCCACAATATCTAGCTCAGCAGGAACAACATCCACAATGTGATTGTGACCTCCACGTAATTTCCGTCTTCTTCCTCTACTGATCAACTTTTCAATCAGACAAACCACATCTGCATCCAAATCCCCTTCATCAATCACCTCTTGAAACCTCTCTAACACAGTATCCATCCCTCTCGGATTAGATGCATAGACTACCGACCCGCATTGTTCAACAAATCCAGCAGCAATTTGGATGTTAAAACTGCTGGGAGTGCAATCCAGCAAAAGAAGAAACACAATCTCAATTGCTACAAGTTTTCGAACAACTCCCTGATTCACTAACTGGGCTAAGAGCTTCGACAGGGGAATTAACTGGACCGCGTGTTCCTTTTGATTCAGAGCAAACTTGAACTGGTTTATAATCCTTTTCAACAGAAGGTAACCCACATCAGGAAATCTCGAATTGATTGCAGCCACCAAAGCGGCCAAAACTGGTTCGGAATCCGGCGAGTATCGGAGAACTGCAGAGCAAAATAACCCTCTTCCCCAAATTAAGTCCTGGGATAAAAGCTCCTCGGAAATATCCCTGACGTTGGACGCGTTCACTTTCCGGACCAGCCCGTTGATTTTCTTCTTCAGGGCATCCCACATCGAACGTTCATCAGTCCGGTGAGGAACGGCTTGGGACTCGCCGGAAACCATGCCCATCAGTCCGGCGGCTGTTTTTTTTTATTTTATTTTTATTTTCGTTCTCTTCTTCCTGATCTTGCTTACAACGTGGAACCAAAGTGTAATCGGGGGTAACTAGGGGTTGTTAGTACTTATAATTGACACGATCCCATGAATGAATGGATTTTGGAAAGTGCTAAAATCAGGGAAATCCAGTTAGGAATGGGAAAGATATTGTAGTATTAGAGAGGAGTGATGATGCCATTCCAGTTGGGGAATTTTACAAGGTCAAGTTTCCTTGCTCCCCAATTAATCCTAACACGCTTTAAATGCAACATCCCCAGTTCAGTATACCAAACTCTTTAATTTATCTTTACATTGCTACAAGTAGTACAAATGGCCAAGGTTGTTTACCCTTGAAGAGGACCAAAAACACAAGGAGTAGGAAATTTCAAAAGAATAAAAAAAAGGGGTTGATTCTTAGTAGATTTCGCTGTGGAGTCAATAATAATTTTGTGGTTTTTGATTAGTATAAAGTGACCAGCACTTTTTTTTTTTCCCTAAAATAAAGCAGAGTCAACTTTTAAAAATGGATAAATAGAGAAGACAGGGAACATCTGCAGTTGTGATTTACATCTGCAAATACTGATACACAAGAAAGAATCAGTAGCTGTTCGTTTTGCTTCCTGGTAAACATATTAACGAAGTAATCAGAGCTATAAGGTGAGCTTTAAAAGTCCACAATGATTCTAAAGAATCAAGTTAATCTACAAAACTGTAATCACAGCGGAGGGTAGAAGTATGAAGACACTGAGAATCCAAGGAAAAGCAAGCCACCAACTGTCGCTACTGTGCGTTGAGAGATCTTCGACGCCAGCATGCTTCCTCCGACCACGGCCACTGATGTGCAGATGAGATGTCCAATCGTAGCTCCTACGGCAACTCCAATTGCATTTTTGTGAGTAGCCAACTGCAGACATCAAAAAACACACTTTGCAATCAATATGGATATATAGAGTGCAGGGCAATGGTTATGCCTGAGAAGAGTTAAGAACAGTTTCGTCCACCAAACAGAGATTTCAAATACCATCACTTCTAGGGTAATTTTATTGTCAGACAGAGCATGCAAACAGAAAGGCAGCTCATGGGATTGACAATAAAAAATCAAAATCAAGTAAGCTAGGGCGTGTCGTGCCCCGAAAGGCCTTCAATGACATGATCCAACAGAACCAATTTAATAGAACGAATTCCTATATTCTTTAAAGATCAAAAGCTAAGTGCAAATTGCAGCAAAACATCAAACCCAATACTTGAGGCTGCCACAGCTTCATGTAGGAAGAAAAACTTACAGCAATTGTCGCTATCTGGCTACGATCTCCCCATTCAGCCAAAAACGTCAAGATGAATGACTGCATAAACAAACAAAAAAAAACAGACAAACAGTAAGCTACATTTATCAATACCAATTCCAACAGGAACCAGATTAAAACTCAGATTTCATTTATATCTATAAATAACCAGTTTGATTGACAATGTTTTACCCTCAAGCACCTTGTAATAGGCCAAAAGCATGTTGTATTTACACATCACTTTGTTTTTGGGGAAAAAAAACCCCGTGATAAAAAGACAAAAAAAAATCCAAATTCAGATGCGTTCCCATCAATTTCAATTACCATCAACATGTACTAAAATATGATGTTAGGATGCAGACAAACCTCCAAAAAAATTGGGGTGCAGAATCGAGAGAAAATTCGCCGAACCATTGTCTTTCCTTGTCCAGCCTCGAGTTTCTCCTCCACCTAATATTTACACATATAAATTTTTAACTTTATTATTACAAAATAACAGAGAGAAAAGGACCATCCAATTTCTTGAAAAAGAAAAAAAAAACAGAGAAAAAAGGACTTATAGATCACAAATTAAGTGGAATAATGTTTTAACAAATTCTTTCTCTTTCCTAAAGTTGGAAGTCTAAGTCCATGAGTAAACTAATTTGGTCAAAATAGCTTCTGACTCAAAGACAACAAGCACAGCCACACAGCAAACAAACATGCACAGGAGGAACTAAATCATTTACTTAACAAGGTCTAGCACAAGGAGCACCACGATTGATCTATGCATCACCACACTACATATATCTTTTCTTTAAAAAGTAAAAGGAAATCTGACCTACAAGTTGTTTGTTAAAAAGGATAACTAAAAAGATATTGAAAAGGACTGGAAGTGAACATGGGCAAAAGAAGCAAACGAAACAAGAATAGAAAACTCCACTTTCATGGTGAACCTCCATTGACAGAAGAGACTATAAAATGACCTAATCTACAACTCAATAACCAATGTGAGGACAAACAGCTAGAAGCATGCCAGATAAATGATACGGGATGCCCACTTCAAATAATCATCAACAAGTAGAAAGACATCCCCTCATAACAAAGAAAGATATTCTTGTATGGTTTCGAACATTGAAAAATAAAAGGAAAATAAAAGAATTGTATGTGTATCAACAGTGAAAGAAACATACTTCCTCGATTTCCTTCTTTTGGGAAGCTTTAGGATCTGACCTCCAAGCAATATAGAGCAATCGCAGCCCAAAAAATGCATAGAGCACTGCAATAGCACACTGAACATCAAATTCAAACAATAACTTGAGTTTACACGGACAAGGACAACTACCCAAAACAAAAAACAAAACAAAAAATCGGTGGTATCAGGGAGAACACTAACACCATGGTTGTGCCATCACAAACTGGAGAAAATGGCATACAATCCACACAATTTGGTTAAAGTATGAACCCAATGAGAAGATTTGACAAAACACTATCACCCATTAATATCATAGGCTGCTACTAGTCGTGCCAACGTCCACCAAACTGCCATAGCTCAATGAAGCAAAAGATGTCATGCAGTACAAGAAAAACTAGAAAGATGGTATTTCGATGAAACTAAAATGCACTTAATCTGAAGTAAATATCATACAAAAAAATTCACTCCATAAGTCTTTGGAAAGAACTGACCAGCTTAAGCATAAATGTTATGCGACAACAAAACGATGAGTTTGATGCTTTACCATTTTATTATGTATGTACCCAACTCCCAATCAGTTATTCAGGTAAACAATCAATCAACCCATCAACCCGGATAATGACCTTTACTTCGCAATGCACTCACAAGAGAAGAATCAAACCTCACAACAAAAGAAGACAGAAATTACAAACCTGTTGCTGCACTGTTCGTATGCTTTCTTGATATCAAGTTTGGCACAATCCTACCAAGCCCAGTGGAGAGTACCTGAAAGCATATAAAATTCCTCATTCAGTATCGCACAGAAACACAATAAAGCTGAGCAACCAATGGAGAATTAAACTTGATAACAAAGTCAGTGGGACAGTTCCCAGAACAAAGGGCTTCACATATTACATTCCAGAAGCCAAGTGAACATAATATAACATAAAGAAAAACCAGCAAGATTAAGATTCATAAACTTACAGTCATCACAAACAAGGCACTAAGGGCACCAGATAAAACGATGGACTTGGGATGACGCATTGCCATAAGAGCTGCTATTATGAAAGTCTCATCTCCAATCTAACCACAAAGCAGAAAAGAAGATTGTTAGAGTGGTTCCCATTATTCTAATCAATACATAGCTACAGGGATGGCCAATGATTCACTGAAATCACCAACCTCACTAACGAGGATCATTGAAAAACTAGCGAAAAATGCATCAAATAGTCCAAGTCCTGAGTCCAATGGGACACCAAGAGTGATTGAACCACTCTCATCTTCTGTAATACCAGTCTTCAGTCTGTCCACGAAAAACTGTAAAAAAACAGAAACACAATTAACATCATCCAACCACGATTACCAGAGTTTATCAATTTGGACACAGAAGTGTGAGAAAAACCCAATGAAAACACATACAACTAGCCGGTAATAGAAGAAGCGCCACCATAACACTAACAGCCCCCCCCCCCCCTCCCCCTTTTTCCTCTCACACCCTTCCTAAAAGTATTCTTCCTCTCCCTTGATTTCAGTTTATTATTAATTTTCCTGCAACTCGCATCTTCCTTCTTCCTCAATATATTTTGTTAATGAGGCCCCTACATCTTGTTCGTGCCAAAAGAAAACAATGACCGACAAATTATAGCAGTATTGGAACAAAATGCAAGAAATATCCAAGCCATCATATAAGAAAGAATCCCAAAACTCAATCTGGAACAGAACACTTACTTTACTTTTCCGGCCCAGATCTTGAATTCTCCCAGTTGTTTCCTCTTCTTCAGATTCCTAATCCAAAACAAAGATAGAGCATAAAACCAAGAAACGTAATAAGAAACCAAATACTCTTCCCATGTATAACAGTGCGAAAAATTGTAGCCACCTGAGCAAAGATCGACGGCACTGAAACAAAGAGTATGAGGAGCAGGCTGAAGCAGACAAAAGCGGTTCTTTTTCGGGTTTTTGCCGACAAACCCATGTTTATACTGATTGTTTCTGAACTGGGTTTCTCTTCAGATACTGGGAAGAGGGGATCCACTGAATTCCCCCTCAAATTACTAAAAGTACTCCACAAAAGAGCCTCCTTTTTGCTTCGTACTGGGGATGAAGATCCTTTCTTGAGGCAATAAAAAAAAATACAAAAAAAAAAAGAAACAAAGAAAGCGTATTGGACCAAGAAGAGAGAACTGGGATCTACGAGGAATCTTTAAAAAAAAAAAGATGTAACCTACTACTACTTAGGACTTAGGAGAGAAGGAGAGGGGATCATGAGAACTCTGCATTCTTTTTTATGCAGCAAGATCTCCCTAAACCTTGGCTTCAAAATAAGGAAAGGTTCCATTTATTTCATTTCTTATTGTGAAATTCCGATTTTTATAATAAAATAGTAAATGTATTTTGGAATGATTAAAGTAAATTTGCTGGTTATGATTGAAAATGCCGGCCTGGTCGGCGGCCCGGATGGTCCGATCACTTGGGCTTAGTTTTTCCCACCAGTCGTCTTGTTTGATTACATTACACCATTTATTACTTAAAATTAAAATTATTTTAACTTTTTCTTTTCAGTACAACATAAATTTGAAATTCTTACAAGATTAATTAGTGCTGTAATTATAACACAAAATACAAGTAAAAAATAAATAATTTATTATTTCTTCCGTACAGAAAAAATTCCAATATTTATAGAGGTCTAAAGCGAGACCTATCAAAAATTTAAAATGCAAAGTAAAAAATCAACTTTCACTATATAATTTTTAATGAGAAGACTTTTTTTCATTACTAAATTTCTTCACATTGCATATGTTCAACTTTTTTTTTTCCATGTAAGTTTGGTTTGGAAAAATAAACTATTTCTAAAGTAACAATAACCAGTGGCGAAACTAGAGTTTTGGTATTGAGGGAAGGGGGAGCGGATAATGTATATATAGATTTTGTTTTTCTTTTTACCTATAATTAATATAAATGTATTTATGACAATATTTTTTGAAAAAAAAATACATTTATAATTCTATTTACAAGTGACTATAAAGTGTTGCATCAATGTTAGACACCAAAGTATTCCAAAAATTTTTTAAAAAAATGTCACTTACATCTACATTTTTTTTTTCAACAAGAACAAAAATTACTTTTTAAAGGATTTAACATAAGTATATTAATTTCACATTCTCAAGACACCTTTCACATTCTTAACACTAGCCATTAATTTATAATAAAAATTTTAATATGTGTATCTTAAAATGAGGAGTAAAATACTATTCATCCCTGATATTTTAATAATTCAGAGTGAAAGCAGCTCAACCACGAATAAACTCTTGGGATTGATTAACAATTACTTAAAGCTTTTATTAGGGTACTTTTGCAAAGTTAAAGAACTACAGACACTAATTAGTAAAATTTAATAACTTTTGAAGTTGCCACATCATCTTATTCGTCATCAGACTGGCGCTGCAACTTATGCTTACCGAAAATTTATGGCACCAATCCTCGTAATCTCCTTCATATACAGCTCTTCATAGCCCTTTAATAGTTCTTCTTCGTCAGAAAATCAAGGGGGCTAAAAGGAGCCGGAGGAACCATTCGTAGCTCACGCCATGTGAACTCATATGAATATTCTGGCCGATGGGGGGTCGACTGACTCCCTTGGCACTTAATTAGGTTTGCCCTGACAATAACAGAATAATTCACTTAATTTAATACTCCCTCCGTCCCATAATTATTGTCTACTTTGCCCAAAAAATTTTGTCTTAAAATTATTGTTCAATTTGACTTTTTATGGATCAAGTTACACATTTGTCCTTAGTAAAAAACATTATCCATAAAATCTTAGTGGTTAAACAATTACTTATGCAGGGGTATATCCGGTTATTTAAGGTAAAATATAATTAAGTTTGACCAAAAATAAAATATTTCATTTTAGTAAAACTGGATAATAATTATAGGACGGAGAGAGTATGTAAAAGATAATTTCGAAAAAAATCACTATTAGCGTTACTTTGTACATGTATGATTTCTGTAAAACAATTTAATTTTCTAACATAAATCTAGACCATTCAATCATGTAACATAAACCTATATATCACTTATACCCTGGGCGGAGCTATATGTAAGGGAAGTGGGGCAATTGCCCAGCTGGAATTTTTTTTTTTTGCTATTAACCTCTTGAAATTTTAGAATTTTCTTTAAGAAAAATTAATTTTTGCCCCAACTGAATTGAAAATATTAGGGATAAGCATATTAGATTAGAAATTTGAAAAATTTTGCCCCATCATATGTAGGGGGCTTGGCTCCGCCCCTGTTATACCTACATGTTGTGGCCTTGCAAATACAACATTTTTTTTTTCTCGTTTTGATTTAGATTTAAGATGTGGTTTATAATATGTTTTAAATAGTAATTAAAAAAATTTTATGAATAGTTTTAAATAAAATATTGCTTTTATTAATTATTCCCCATTATATGAGCCCACCTTTACCATTATTCTCTCTCACTATTGTCTCTCCTCCAATACTATAATATTGTAAAAGTTGTGAAAATCATAATTTTGCTTCTATTAAACTCTAAATTGTCAAGTTCATGTCAACAATATATTTGCTTATTCTCCTTTATTAATAGGAAAGAATTTTGTTCACTGTTTCATAAGGTGTCATACTAATGTTATATTTAATTTCAACCGTTCATCTTACTAGTAATATTGTAATTATGATGAGTATGAATAATCCTAAGATACAAATTTGTTAGAAAGAATAATAATGAGGAGGAAGGTTTAATATCGTTTTTAGATATATGCGTATGAATTTTATTCTTGAGATTTTTTTATCATTATTTGAAAATAAGGGAAAATTTTTAAAAATATAGTAAAAATAAGTTAAAATCAATTAATAATAATGTGCCTTTTTTTTTTAATACACACTATTACAAACACGAGGTTTGGAGAAGGGGATAGTATTATATAGAGAAGTCTCCACGCGTGTTGATGCCTCGTTCGGTGCCTGATGTATGAAGAGGACGCCTTCTGGCAAACCTGTAGGAAATAGCCAGCAATTTCTTACTGTCAAGGGGTTTGAACCCGCGACCTGACGATTGGTGTCATGGTCTTTCAACCATATGAAATATAAGAGAATTTTGTATTTCACAATGTGTCAATTATAAGAGAATTTTATGAAGTCAAGTATGATTCTTCCATGTGATAAGACCAATAGTACACATATAATAGAAAAACATTGTCTATTATGGATAGTAGTTTGGGTACTAACTTTGGAGGCGATTACATATATTCATTAATGAACTTGATTGTAAATATTTAAAAATAGAGAAAATGAAATTGACCGGAAATTATTGTTCAAAGTTTAATAATATTATGCCTTCAATTGGAAGTTTTCTAGAAGTTCTTTATGAAAAAGTGCATATTTAAATTTTAAAACTATAAAAATTCTCCAATAAATCTGCATTCATACGAACAATATCCTTGAATAAAGGAAGAACAAAAAAAAAAGAAAATGAAAAGAAATCAATAAAATTTTTTCACAAATATTAAATACTATATTTTCTTTAGAAAAAACACAATGTATAGACGTTATTGTGCAGAAGGTCGTGGCGGGTAAAATAACGCGCGAGAAGTGGGAAAGGGCAGAAAGCGTCGGTTAGATAAGAAAAAACGCGGGTAGTAAACCCAAAAAGGCCAAAAAGAAAACTTAAAATAAATTTTTTTTTCCAAAAAAGAAAAATTAAAAAAATAGCAACAAAAAACTGGTGTGTGTGTGTGTGTGAGTGCGTGTGTTGGTTGGTTCTTATTCTTCTTCTTCTCCAGCTTCCCCCATTCTTTTTACTTTCTCTCTCACACACTCACACACTAAACCAAAATTTTACTTTGCTCACTTCCCCTGCTTTCTCTCTCCCCCTTCCTCCTTTTTTTTTTCCCCTTTGTTTTTGTGGAGAGGAAATAACGCCATTTCTCCCCTTTTCCTCCATTCCATCTCCTTCATTACCTTCTTCTTCTCCTTTTCTCTCTCTTCATCTCCATTTTCTGCGTTTTCATTACTTTTTTTTTCCTCCCCCTCTTTTTTTTTTCTTTTGTTATTTAATAATAATATATATAGAACGTAGAGAGGGAGGGAGAGACGGAGGAGGGGTGGGCGGTGGGTCGTTTTTTTTTGAAATTATTAATTATCTATAAATATTATTTTTTCCCCGGAAAATAATTATAAATTGAAGCTTTGAAGGAAGGATCAATGGGGGTTCCGGCAAGTGTTACTGCAGGAGTCCATGTTAGCTTTAGTCTTTGGTGATGGAAATCATCGTCACCGTTCAATTATTGCTATGGATTTCGACGCCGGAATTCCGATATCCCGAGCTTCTGTCACCGAAGGCTCGTCCTCTCTCGACCAAGGTCTTCTTCAATTCTTCTTCTTCTTCTTCTTCTCTCCCCTTTCCCTTTGTGTCCCTCATTTCTTGTCTGAATCGTTCGCGGAAATGCAATTTGGGGGAAAGGTTTCTTCTTGAAGATTTGGGTCCTCTTTTGGGCGTGATCATGAACGGAATTGTGATTTTTGATTTTTGAAATTTTTGTTATTTTTTTCTTGATATTTGTTTCGGTTATTAAATTTTAATTTGTTTTTATGTGGTCCACGTGGTGCTGTGGCCGATTTTTATTTAATTTGTATTTTTTGCATTTTTTTCCCTTTAATTTATTTTAATTTTAATTAATTAATATGTATGTCTTACAAGGATGGATCAGAGCTTCCATGCACGTGAGTTTTTTTTGTGATCATGCTCAATAATTCTTAAAATATTCCTCTTTAATCTTTTTGTTTGTTTTCTAATGTTTTAAATCTTTCCCGCTGAATGTTCGCGTTCAGTGATTTTGGTTATAATATAATGGAGTTCGAGCTAACAACATAGAAAAATGAAATGAATGCATAGTCTTTATCAAACAACTTAGGAAAACCAATCCAACTCCTAGGTTTTGTCATATAAAAGTTGGGGTTTTGGAAGGACGAAAAACATTGAGAAATGGAAGGCATGGAAGTGGTTGAAGCATTGTTTTTGATTTCATCTTTGTATATGTATTTTTTAGTTGCTTTATGGTTTTTTCTTTTTTTGTTTAACTCTTGAAAAATTTGGCTTTAAAACGTTGGGTCATTTCTTGCATTGTAGGAAATGTAGTATTGCTTGTAGTTTCATTGTTGAAGAATTTATAAAGACTCTGTTTTTTTATAATGCTGGCTGGCTTAGAATTTAGTTATTCTGAAACTGATTGGATTTTGGTGTTTAGATACTCTGTGGCAAATGAATTTGAGATCAAGGGAACAAATGGAAGGAGGTACTTATCCTGTGCGTGAAGGTGAACCAGATTGTTCTTATTATATCAGAACAGGACTTTGCAGATATGGAGCAACATGCCGTTTTAATCATCCTCCCAACAGAAAACTGGTAAGTCGGTGCATCATTTTAAGATCTTAAAAGACGCTTTGGCATCCACTTGGCATTTTCTGTTTCCATTTGTTACACATTAGTGGCAATTTGGAATTTTGAAATCTGACATTGTTTGTCCACTTATGTTATTGGCTTTCCATCTAGTTTTAGCTAGTCAATTAACAAAATCAGCCCTTAACTACAGCTTTGATAGTTTTAAACATGCCTTTTACTGTTAATGGTAATATGTGCTTAACATACATCAATTTTAAATTAGCTTCGCAACAATTTTTTTGTTTATGTGGGTCTAAAGTTTAGAGTGGTTATATTATCTCCAAATCATTCAATCGTTAACTTTATGAAACACTAAATGTTCATGATCAACCAATTCCTTAATTATAATTTACAAAAAGTTTTGACAATCTATTGTGATTTCAGCAGATAATAAGATAAGGTTATGGATACTAGTTTGATTACTCTAAATTATGAAGAAAGAATTCTTGCCATAATTTCATTTTCAATTTTATTCAATGGCATTCTGAAAGGGAATGTTTTTTAGTAGAAATTTGGTTGAGTGCCATTAAATTCAACCACTTTTACGGGCATCACGTATATCTGTAAGTATAGAAAATTGAACCTCTTTTCAAATGTTAGAACGAATATGGACTTTGAGGCAAGGAGTTAGCAATTGGTTGCGACCATTTGGGATAGGCCTCTTCTTTGCTTCTCCCTTCCAGTAGCATTTTCCATCATGCCTAACGATTAATCAATGTCACTGTAACATGAGGACTCATATATAGTATTTAACTCCAGGCTATTGCCACGGCAAGGATGAGAGGAGAATATCCAGAAAGACTAGGACAACCAGAATGTCAGGTATGCTCATGAAGCCCGTATTTCATTACTGTTGGTTTTTTGTTGTGTTGAATTCTTTCGTTTGGCTGAGGAATTTCAGTTGTACAGTCATTGATATATGCCATGTCATCCATCATCCTATTGTCTGGTACTGTCTAGTTGTCAAATTCTCTAGCACACTTTACCTCATGATTTTTAGATTTTCCTGTTATTTGCAGCTCTCTATTAAACCAGTTTTTTTGTTCAAACTTTTTTAGTTGATTTCGCTTTCATTCTGTTTTCGCCTGGTTTTCCATTGGGGAGAGAAAATTTGTGTTTCTTTTAGAGTACTGAAGTCCATAATGAGCATTTACCTTAAAGATGATTTTTGTGTGCAGCTTTAATAGATTTAGCTTTCAATATTTCGCAATATTTTGGTGGTAGGCAAAGTCTGAAACTGAAGTTAATGATGATCTCTGTCTTTAACTACCAATCTTGGAAGAGTTTTTATCATATGGCACAGTCAAGTGACAGTTAATGTTACAGTTGATGCATGAATGTTGTGCATGGCTCCCTGCTTAAGGTTGAATATCTAGAAGATGTCACAACTTGGGTTGTATAAAATGTGGTTGTATTATGGCTAAACTGGTTGACATAAGTTTATTTGAATATATGATCATGTATCAACTGGTATAAGTGTCCACCATTATTTACCAAGCTGTTCTTGTTGAATTCTCCTGGTTGTAATTTATTCAGAGTGTTTGATTTCATAGATTTGACACACTTGGATTCTCTCTGGTACATGATACCTTTTATCCTTTTATTGTACGTATTACTTAAATGATTTCTGAAGATTTTCCCTTTCACAAATGTTAATAATAATGTCATTAGACATCTGTAGAAACATTCCTTCTATTGCTCTTATCGTTTGTATTTGCACCATTTAGTAATGACACTTTGATACAGTTCTTTATCTTCCGGGCTTTACTAATAGAATATGAGGATTGAGGGTTACAACTTGGGTTACAACTTTTCTCCTTAAATGTTTCATTTGCTGATAAAGATTTTTGGATGTGATTAGGTTGGAAGATTTACCTCAGTATACTATTTAAAGCTGCAGTAAACATGCATCGTCTTTACAGGCTAATCCTAATTATTCTTTTTTAATATCACTGTTAATGCTTGTGTGGTTGAAGGAGTTTGTGTGTGATTAAGTCTGAAAGTGTTTTCTTGTGTACTGGTTTCATCAAAATTTAGCTTTAGCAACAAATCGATTTAAAATTGCAAACATAACATGAGCTTTTCTTAATGTTATTCGTGGGTAAAATATCAATAGTGATATATCACTAGATGTTGTACTTAGTCCCCATTATTTTTTATTAGTTTTATTTTCAGTAGCTTGGTATCTTTTGATTCTCAGTTGTGGTCCTCATTCCAATATGGTTTCTGATCTAAATTCCAGTATTACTTGAAGACGGGAACTTGTAAGTTTGGAGCTACGTGCAAGTTTCATCATCCCAGAGAAAAGGCTGGGGTTGCTGGAAGAGTTACCTTAAATATCTTAGGCTACCCGCTCCGTCCGGTTCGACCCTAACTTTGTTACTTTGCTTGACATTGCTAATAGTACCTGAAAATGATATGTGATGTTTACTTTGTGTGCTACCTATCCCTTGCTTTACCACACACTGGTATATAAATTCGGAAGCCATCATTTTGGAATAATTACACCTGATAGTGACCTCTAAGAACAACCATATCGTGTCGTATTGTCATGCAGAAAGCCAACTTAATGATTGGTTCTAATGATCATTAGTGCTTATAATGATGTAATACTACATGTGTTGTATTGTTTGAAGATCATTCATAGAAAACCTGAAATCGGTTCCTCGGACTTCTATTCTTGGAAATAGAAAAAAGAAATGGAGATAAGTGCCAGGAGTGTGAGAGTTAGAGTAGACCTATTTATTCTTTGTTAGTTTCAGTCAAGAGTGTTAAGAACAACCATATTTTCTTATATCCTTGGGAGATGTTTGTCAACTTCATCATGCTAGTCTTAGTTTGATTCATTTGAAGCCTAAACAACTTTATATCACAGAGCTGTATATTGTCTATCCAGATCTCCAAATGTTTATGTTTCTTCGAAGAAAACGGAAAAAAGAGAAAGTGTGAAGAACAACCATTTTTTCTTATATCCTTGGGAGAAGTGTTTGTCAACTTCATCCTACTAGTCTTGTTTGATCCATTTGAAACTTAAACAACTTTATGAATCATGGGCTATAGATTGTCAATCCTGATCTTTAATTGTTTATATTTCTTTGAAGAAATCGGAAAAAAGAAAAAGAAAAAAGAAAGATGTGTGTTCCATCATGCACTTTAATATGACAGATTTGGTTGCATTTTAGGCTTGATTCTAGCTAATTTTTGTTGCATCAATTTCCAGAATGAACTTGAGTGCGCCTATTATCTTAGAACTGGCCATTGCAAATTTGGGAGCACTTGCAAATTTCATCATCCACAGCCAGCTAACATGATGGTGTCTTTACGTGGATCTCCTGTCTACCCTCCTGTACATTCACCTACAACTCCTGGTCAACTGTCATATCCCATGTCCAGGGCTTCTTTTGTTCCCAGCCCACGCTGGCAGAGTCCTTCGAGTTATGCTCCAGTACTCCTCCCTCAGGGTGTGGTTTCAGTCCCCGGTTGGAATGCATTTGGTGTAAGTTTTCCTTATTACCACAGAACTTTCTCCTTGTACTTTCTAACAATTAAGCTGTTGTCTGGAAAATTTGTTTCTCGCTGAGTATTCCTAATCTTCAAGAAGCCCTTTTTATCCATACTTTAAACTGCCCAGTTATGTATATTAAAAACTCAATAACGGGACACTGAACGGGAGGTCTCCAGCTGTCCAAGTCTCAGTATATAAATATAATGTTTAATTAATGTGCATGTTTTACAGACTGGAGTAAACAAGTGGCTCCTTAAAAAAGGGGGATTAAAGAGCCAGCTAGAGTCTAATCTCACTGCTGCCATTTTGTATACTTCCCAACATTTTTAGCCTTTTTCTTCAAAATGAGATGAAATTATCAGTAATATGTGGGAACACTTTGAAGAACAATTACCATCAAGCAATTATAATTAAATCATCAAACTAGAAGGAAACGGGCATGCGCCACTTTTGTAGTCACTGATGATCTTGGCTAGGAATAGATTTTGCTAGGCATGTTAGTTTACTTGAAAAAGGGTATGGGTCTGTCTGTGCTTAGAATTGTTTGGGTGTAGTAATGTATCTTTTTCTCTGCCCTATTCTTATGAGCATAAACCTGATGAAATTCAACTCTATTTATTTTGAGTCCATTTATGTCCTATAAAGTGCTGAATTTTGTTTTGTTTTGCTATGACCCTGATTATGAAAGATGTCTCTATGAGTCTTCCAGCTGCTATTGCCTTTGACCAATAGATATTGCCGAATGCTTTTTTTCTTCGGGTAAAATGTAAAGTATATTAAGCTCAACTTTTCAAAGTTACTGTACATAGACTCACATAATTACACACACCAGTGCTTTGACTTACATAGCCTTCTTTTCACAAAGACTTTGTGAAGCCACTGATGCTTTTGCTTATGGTTATTTTATTAGACACATTATTGTATAATGAAGTGAATTTGCATTCAGGAAATAGTTTGTCTGTTGTATATCAACATGAACTAATCTATAGAACTCGGTGGTTCTTTCCAGGCTCAGCTTGGTTCTGCTTCAACTTCTGAGAGCCAGCAGCAAATGGTAGGAAATGGCTATGCTCATGGTTTTTTGTCTGTTCTGATTCAGAAAATGTTGGATCATTAGGGATGTGTTCTTCCTATATGTCCTCTTCTTTATTTGTGGTTATTATGCTTTGTAGAGGGAGACTGTATTTCCTGAAAGGCCTGGACAGCCCGAGTGCCAATTTTACATGAAAACTGGAGATTGTAAGTTTGGTGCTGTGTGCAAATTCCACCACCCAAGAGAGAGAATAATTCCTGCTCCTGACTGTGTTCTGAGTCCAATTGGGCTTCCCTTGCGCCCAGTGAGTAATATTTCAGCTTGCAGGAATGATTGTTTCTTTTAAAAGCCTTTGACATCTGATCTTCAACTACACAAAAGAGTAGTTTGAGAATGATGATAGAAAGCATCATTTAGGTAAAAGCTAAACACACCCACGGGGAAAGATGAAATCTGCAGAGTAGGGATAACTTGAGAAATTTGAAGTGGAAATGAACCATCAGTTTCAGCAGTGCGATCTTTATGTTCTTTTTCTTTCTTCCTTATTTGCAGGGAGAACCTTTGTGCATTTTCTACTCTCGATATGGAATCTGCAAGTTTGGCCCCAGTTGCAAGTTTGATCATCCCATGGGTGTATTTACATACAACCTATCATCTTCTGCAGCTGATGCTCCTGCTGTGCGACGTCTAATGGGCTCATCATCTGCAGCTAGTAACTTGACTTTGGGTTCAGAAGGTCTTGTTGAAGCCAGCTCAACAAAGACAAGGCGAGTGCCTTTGTCTGAGGCAAGAAATGATCAAGAGGAATGACTATAGTTCCTCGAATATAATTCAGTTGATATCATTGCCATCTTTTAGAGGATAAGAATGCTCCCCTGTAAATTTGTCTCCATTGCTGGAGATGTACAGAGATCATAAGAAGTCAATCTAATCTTCTGACTTGAATATCAGTTGAAGGGTTGACTTCGTTGAAACATCTCTTTGCTGCATTGTATGAATCTGCTGATATTTATCACTTTTGGTGAAATCAAATGTGAAGATATTCTCTTCTCCAACTGTCCTTTTGTTTGCTTATTAGGGCCCATCAAAGTGTCTTCTGTGAAGACTTTTCTCTTTCGTTTTATTTCTTCTGCATTGGCTTAGTGTGCGGCTGACACTTTTGTCCAATCTGCTTCTGGTTAGTGCATGATTCAACTGGTGTGATTTCGTGCTCTGAGCATAGGATTATCTTCTTGGCTGTTCAGTTTTATAATCTCTGTTGATCATGTGAGGGATATAAACACATTTGATGTTTTGGCTAATTAGATATTTATTTTCAAGTGCTGTTTTTTGCTCTTTAATTTTGCAGCTAAGTGGATCACCTGTGATTTTTTCTCCTTGTCACTTTTCTTGATCAGGGACTTGGTCTGGGAACAGTAGAGATTTGTTTAGTTTAATAATCTCTGTTGCTCATGTGAGGGATACACATACATTTGATGTTTTGGCCAATTGGACACATATTTTCTAGTGCTGTTATTTGCTCTCCAATTTTGCAGCTAAGTGGATCACCTGCCATATTTTTCCTTTCCACTTTCTTGATCAGGGAGTTAGTCTAGGAATGGTAGAGATTTGTTTGGTACTCGACTTTTCCTCGGTAGAATTAATGTTTTCTATTAGCTTGGCATCTCTAGTTCTGCTGTGTTCTGAGTGAACATTTTTTGGGTCCTGTGCAAGAGCATCTTTCAAATAATTGTGTGTAGCTGCTTTTTGCTAACAATTGTTATTCATATTTAAGAAAGTTACAGCTAGGCTGGGCGAAGGAGAGGATATGCATTGTCATAATCATCCTGGAAATTGGAAGGTCAAGTAAGTGCTTTTGTAGCCCTTTGGTATGCATTGCCATTACGGAATTACGATTTATTTGAAAAAGTTGTCGTCATTGCTTCTGAAATATATACTCCCTCCGTCCCGAAATTATTGTCTAGTTTGAATTTTTAGTTTAGTACAAATTGAATTGAAAGTGAAAATCCAAACTGGACAATTATTTTGGGACAGAGGGGAGTAGTTTATTATGAATGGTTGTCTAGCTATCACATTTCTCTTATTTTTCACTTCTTGCTCAGCTGGAACTTTGGGCTGCTGATGGATGGCTGATTCCGTTATCATAGTGAGTATCAAGGTCTCGGGGAATAGAACTCATAAGCTATGCTTCCGTATTTCTAGGTACAGCGATTTTTAAAATACATCTCAATATTATATAAGGAAAACAAAAAAAGAGCTCAAAGGAATCTACCGTGCATTCATATATCAGGCTTGACTAGACTTCTGGACTGCTACCATTTCATTGCCCTTCCTTGTTGGACTGGAATTCTTTTTTTATCTTTTTTTTTTTTGGGGGGTTGGGTTGGCTTCCTGGGGTTATTGTTTTTCGTGGCTCTAGGGTTGAGACTTGAGACCATCACAACAAGTCCAGCCTATACACTTGGCTAAAGAACATGATATCTTTCTACACAAAAGTACTAGAGAGACCATTAGTGTTGCATCACTAACCTACGGAACCACAAGGCGGTTTCTCTTTGCCGCTGGGGACCAGCATAATTCTACTTCTGTTATTAAATGGATATAAAATTCACAATTTCACAATTTTTAGGCTTCGTGATCTCATGCTTGGTCTGAGGACAATTTTTGGCTGTAAACTGCCTTACAATCTGGATGGCTGGAAACTAGCTTTTAAATTTATATGCTCAACTGCTTAGGTCTCTGGTTGGAACTAGTGTTTTTTTTTTTTTTGAAAAGGTGGTTGGAACTAGTTGTAATGCTTCTGGCACTGGTCTTGGACAGGAAGTTTAAGCACCATTCTGGAATCTGGATTGAGGTCTTCAATTTGATCTTACTGCTGTGTTGACTTTCAATGCCCATCGATAAGGTTGGGGAGGTGACAATGGTATTTTTCATGAATAGAGATGCCTTCACTTGTGGACAAACAGCAGGCATTGGATACCTTGATCATCCCAAGCACCTTATTATCTGATTTACACTAACGAAAATAGTTTGTCAAGAGAGCTAACTTGGTGTCAGGCCGCCTGGCTTCAAGTCCAATGTGGGCTCAGGAGTCAATTTGTTGAGCATGATCATGGCTTGTTCTATTTCATGGAGTTTGATCTTTACAGGGAGAAGTTAAGCATGTGGGTGAATCTCTGATATTATAACAAGTGATATGCTTCACTTATATAAAAACTTACAGCATTATTTTGGTCAATTTTTTTGATCTCTTGAGTAGTTAGTTATATGGTATCATGACATTTTGCTTCCCTTCTGAGTGGTTAGGTCTCTAAGTAGTATTACAGATAGTAGAAAACATGGAAATTTTCGGTACAGTTACTACAGTAAGTGATCCTTATTGCAACTCTGCACGTGTAGATGTGATTGAAAGATCAACTAAGGTCCCCAATTCCCATCATCAGACCTGGACATACAAAGACTTTAACGGTAAGGAATCATACAAGAAGTGGGCACCGTGATTATAGTCGGACAAAAACGCGAAACAATTGATTTTTTTTATATATATATATTTTTCGAAACCCATAACAGCCATTGCTACAAAAATACCTTTCAACCTGTTAACGAACATAGATAAAAGTTGTAAGGTTCTAACAAGAAATAATGATAAATAGTAAGTTATAACCAAGTCTCTACTCCAAGCAGCTAAAGCACCATCAAATCAACATGTTGAGGCAGCCATGTCTTGAGCCCCTAGGCAAGTTCTCTATATCACGAGGATCAATAATGACTCTCTCCAAGGCCACCGCGTTCTCCACAAAATACTCTATAAGTTCTAATTCTGTTCTACGTGACCCGTAAGTACCCCAAAAACTCCACAACTTTAAGACATTCTAGGGGAAAGACAATGCCTTTCTCGGAAACCCTACGTATCATATCAGTTTCTCCCTGCCGATCAAACTGATTGAGAAAAAGAAAAAAGAGAGGAAAGACAGGACGGACTGTTATTATATACGGAGAGCGAAAAGTGCATATGTCATAAATGATCCTAGAACGGACTGTTACTATATACTCCCTCCGTCCTATAATTATTGTCCAGTTTGAATTTTCATTTCTAGTTCAATTTGTACTAAAAGTGAAATCTCAAACTGGACAATAATTTTGGGACAAAGGGAGTATAATAAAAGAGATACATAATAGACACCTTGAGCACAAACTTCTCCAAGTTAGGGAATGCCCTTATCAGAGAAGTCAATGGAATCAAGCTGATGTCGTCAGATGGTTGGATCGAACACAAAGTTAATTGCTTCAGTTTAGTTAACTGAGGAATTTCTGTATTAGTATCTATTTCCTGCGATGATGACAATTCATATTCAACTAATCATTTGTTTTGGGGAAAAAAAGTGTTGAAAAGAAAAAGACATAAGAGTAGCTAATCAACCGGTTCTGCGTGTAAGTCGTTTATGATTAAGGTAAGAAGCTCCAATTTTGACCAGCAGCAAGAAAGCCAGGAAATAGCCCTATGGACAAAACTTCCATCTTAACGGATCCTGAAATTAGGGGTTCCATCAACAGAAACATCCACAAGCATAGGAACATTCTTAAGCACCAGGTAGTCAGCCTTTGTTGGTTTTAAGCGACACGATATTTGTGTTGCATACGGTGAGGGAAAGCAAGCAGTCGGAGTTAGTTATCTCCAGATGTTTCAGTGCAAGAGACGGACCACACAGACTCTCAATTTTCCCAGAGTGTATGAGTAACTCACTAGCAGATACTCAAGAAAAGGGCAGTTGAGTAAGAAATGCTGGAGAACTTTGCCAGTCACATTCATACTTCTCAATGTCAAACTCCTGAGGGACTTGAACCCATTGTTCATGCCATTACTTCCATCACCCTTCAGGCGAGAAAGCAAGTGACTGGTAAGACCATAACGCTCGCATTCATCACGGCGCTCTTCGTGATAACTTGACCAACTCAAATCCAGATTGTGTGCACTCTCCTCCTAGTAAACACGAAGCCAATCCATCTGTTAAGATCACGGCTGGAGGATCTTAAAACCGAATCCTGAATAAATCAAGAACATCGCCCCTCAGGTCTGTGTGATTGAGATTGCAGCAGCACATTGTCAACCCATTTGACATAATTGCAGCGCTTATTCTCAAGCAAAGTCTCATCGTATGCTGCTTTTGATAAACCTTTCCACAACTTTGGCGAGTCAAAATCGAGTCTGCCAATATTCAACCAGACATCTGTCCAGCGTTTCGACAAAACGCTAGTCTTGGCAGCTTCTTCAAGCGTCAGAAACAGAAGGATTCGGGCAAGAATGTCATCTGAGAGCTCACTAATCCGGTCCATATTATCTTTCTTTGCACACTACTGATCAGGGGAAGAAGCACTGCAAATTTGCCAACTACTTTTATTTTATTATCTAGATTAAACCATAAAAACTTCACCTACATTTAGGCAAAAAATCATTTTCGTCCCACACATTTCAAAACACACATTTTCTTTCCATTTCGTCCAAAAAAAAAATGCGATTTTTCGACTATTTACGTCCCAAAACAACTTTCCGTCCAACTGATCGTTAAATAGTAGAGGTATTTTTGTCTTTCAGTTCGGCTTTTGGTTTTTCATTAATTAAAGGATAAAATAATAATTACTTAATAATAAAATTAATAAACATATTTTAAAATTCAAAAAAATCAAAAATAAAATGGTAAAGTTAGCAACAATCGGCGAAGTTAATTAATTAATTATTCCCTGGTAGTAATTCCAAAGCGTTTTTATACATGGGACGGGACAATATAAGCAGTTCATCGAGGAGTCAATAATATCGTGTATGCAACAAGATGTTCATTCTGTCTTGCAAATTATTCTTCCCTTTACATTTTTATTTTTATTTATTATAATCTATATCTTTAATATGTTAAAGGACAGTTTTTAATTAGACATATGTTACGATATTAGATAGGTTAATCCACGTGGCGCAAAATTAGATACACGAATCTACATGTTACAAGCACATTTTTTCATCATTTAATAGTAATTTTTTTATGTACAAATCCGTAAATTTATAAATAGTAATTAATTTTACCCGGTTAATACTCCATATTTATACCCAAAATATTAAATTAACTACGAGTTAATACGGGAAAGCATTAGAGAAGAAAAAAATTGGATTAAAATTAAACTTTGTGTTTTAATCCGTGATTCACTTACAAGGGTAATTTATTTTGTGTTTATACGGGACTATTCCCATATACTAAGTTATAATCATGAAACTGTTGATGGTTTCTCTCGCTTGCTCTTTTGTTATCTCTTCTATCCTCCAACTAGAAGTCTAATATTCCGTTACTCTACCACTCTTGGATTTTTTTTTTGTTTGTTTGTTCTTCCTCTCTTTTTTTTTTCAAAAGAAATTAAGTATATTTTAGAAATTATTCGAGTAAGTTTTTGGACAGTTTTTTTGTATAATAATATCCCTTGTCGAGCCAAATTTTCATGTAATTTTATATAAAATCACAAAGCAAATATCCACAACATTATAAAAAAAATGAGTCTAAAAACTTTTTACTGTAGACATATATTAGGTTTGTCATTAGTATCAATATATGCATATCTTAATGAAAATCCCTAATTAAAAACACAAATGAAAAACCAAAAAAAAAAACATAGAGCATCAAATCATATGAGAAAAAACTTATAATGAAATAAAGTTGCCAAATAATATATCCTTTCGTTGCTGGATATGTATTAACTTAGTTATGTGTTGATTACGTTTAAGATATATACAAAAAAGTGAAAACCATGCAATCAAGAAAAAAAGATGTAAATACTACATTATAAAAAAAATATACGAACAAACTTTTAAGGAAACATTACACAAGGTATATAGAAAGACGGTAAAGAAAGATAAGTTTATGAAAAAAATAATGAGAAAACTTCCTGTTAGCAGGATCGTTTAAAAGATATAAAACGAATAGAAATATGGACAATCATTATAGCACGGAGGAATATGCGATATGGTACATTTTTTTTAATCTTTTTATTTTTTAAAAAAAAAATAGTTAAAAAAAAAAGTAGCTAACCAGTTAACACATTGAACCTTTCTTGCAACTCTGCACACGAAGATGAGGTTGTTAAGTTCAACAAAGGCCCCCAATCCCCATCACCGGACGAGGACATACAAAGACTTTGATAGTAACAAATACAAGAAGTGGTGACTGTAATATATTTCAGACAAGTTCTACATTTCGAGCCGCGTGCTAGTAAGGCCACCAATCAGGTCCACCAGGTTTCTTTACAAGGATTTGATTATATTCCGGTCTTGAGGTCTGCAAAACAAAGTATTAAGCCTTTGATTGGGTACAAGCAAGAAAAGCTTCAAAAACTGATTTGGTAAAGAAGCATCAGCAAGTATAGTGCATGAAAAATGCCATTGATTAGGCTTTCATATCCAATGTAATCTTATGAGCATTCAAACGTATAACTTCTGCCATCTGTAGAGAAGAATATGTACATATCATCTTTCATGCAAGAAGAAAATGCACCATAATAAAGTATATAACACAACAGTTTAGAAGCTAGCAGCTTTTGGAAACAATTTGTTCATCAAAAAACTGAAACAGTTAGTAAAATCGAACCCAATAATTCCGGTAACAAGTGAGTAGCAGAAGCAGACAAGGGAGGGGCGGCAATAACCATCCCAAGTCCTTTGAAAGCTACCAACTAAAGGAACCACATTTCGCTGTTGCCAGTATTATTGTGACTAACCAAATTAAATTAAGAACACATTAGATCACACTCATCGACAAGAGCCAAGGTGGATGGAGATGACCTGGCCATTAATGGGTGTTAGTTGTAACAAACAGATGGTACAAGAACAATATCAATGTCAAAACAGGTGCAAGCACAGCCACCAGGTTTATAGGAAACCTCTCCAAATCATGTATCAGGTTGTTGTAAGTTTTATTTCAATGTTCAAATCATGCAGAGAAAATTTCTCGTAAGACAACAAAAAAATATGCTTTTATTTTTCCATTAAAAGATACGTGTTCTGGTGAGACATGAACTAGATAGCCCACCACACATTGAGCGTAAAAGCTCAGTTGTTGTTGCTGTTGAATCATTCAAAAGAAAGGCAAAAGAGAAGATTCATGATTGAGCAACAAACGCGAGAAGCATAAGAATGAATGCGAACACACATTGCTAGACTTCAAAGGCACACGATCCTCTTAACAATGGTGCTTTTTTGAGCACATGAATGGCAACTATAAAGTTCCAATTTGCGAAAAGTTCATCACTATTTAACAAAAGGAAGTCAGTAAAAAACACGCTCTTCAGAGGTAGTTCAGCAATCAAAAGAAAATACAGGATACAATACATGTCTTTTCATCTTATTTTTCAGATAACATGGTACAACTGAAAGCATACTTCCTGGTCCTGCATTCTTCTTAAGGACCAACAATCACTACATATCTTTACAAGTGACCAAGAGTTAATAACAAAAACTACTTTTGACCTCAACTTAACAGTTAGGAAGCAAAATAGAAAAAGAATTAACCCTTTTGAGAGTTAATTCTATTTCCAATCGGCTAATGAAAATCAGAGGGGTAAACAAGATCCCTCCTTTCTCATAACCCCCAAGGTATACCGGACACAATCTTTCTTCTTCACACTAAACATGCTAAAATATTAAAACAGAGATCTAGAAGAACACAAATCTAATTGATTGATGCGGAGCATATAGGGGGGAGAAAACCAGAAGCAAGCCTCAGCATAAGGATAGACAACTTAGTCAGGAAAAAAAACAAGAGTTTCAGGCCCTCAGAGTGAAGTCATCAAGTCCATCCTCCATTGAAATAACAGATATACATTATCACAGTAAAGTCCAACAACAGCTATGAATAAGGACAATCCTAAACATAGAGCTTAAAGTTCACATTTACAACTTCAATTATGGAAGTATCATTCCACTATTAGCAAAGTAATACTGCTTGTTTGATCAATTGAAAAACAAAAGCGCAAAATTTGGGGCAGCAAGATACAAAATAGTGGAAGATTGCTGAACAACTACCAAGAGATGCCATATAATCGTTTCGATCGAAATTCGAAAGCTAATGGAAAATGGACAGGGGACAAAAATAAAACTCGACCTTCACCAATTAAACTACAATTCTTTTCTAAATGACACAATATTGACGGAACAGAAACGAAAGGCTAGCTAAAGGACGGGAAGAAGCAGCTTACGAGATCTTTGAAGATGATATAAGCGATGACGAAGAAAAGCACGAAGAGGATTTCGAACTCAGCAAATCGAACGAAAGCCATAACTGAGTTAACAGCTCGAGTGAGCGGCGAAGGGGAGCCGTAATCTCTTCTTCCGGCGCCGCCGCCGACGCGGCTACCAACACCACCGCTGCCTCTCTGCTTCGCCATCATGAATTCGCCGCTCTTGCCGGGAAACGGTCAAATCAGATTGAACCCTTCATATAACGTGTTAATAGCTGGGCCCCATCCAGGTTTTTTTTTTCTTTTTTACTTTTCTTCTCCCCGAAATAAACTTTAAATTCCATTTTTACATTTGACACCTCCTTTTTCTTTCTTTTTTGCTTTTTCATATTACAATTTTGATTGCGGTTATGATAAGAGACTTACTAGTTTGATTGCAATTTTGTCTAGTGCAATGATTTATAGACACATGAAAGATGTAATTTAGTTGTATGAAAATATAAATTAAAAAGAAAAGTAAATTCAGCCCTTACAAGTTACACATACACTATTGTGTTTTTTCAGTTAATTATATGACATTCATTCACAACACAAACTAATTGTAGTAGATATATTCACAAAATTCTACTGCGTATATGTGCTTTTTATGGACAAGATGGGTTTAAACAATCTTTTAGTGTAGGTTTTTAACATGCATGTATATAATATGTCACATTAATCCATTTCTACATGGAAAAAAGTAATCCAAAATTTAATCAAAAGTGAAATTCATTCAGTCCTCCCGTCTCAATATATATATATATATATTTACTTAAACCAAATATGATAATTATTTTTTTGAGAGAAAAAAGAGTCACTTAATAATGTTTGAACTCCGGAAGGACAAAATAATTCACATTTTATGTCCAGTGAGGCAAAAAAAATATCATCCTCCATTGACACGGGAAGCAAAATTTCAACCTTGATAGATGAACAAATTCAAGTTACCACGCTACCACGTGACATTGCAGTGTTTGTCCTTTTAGTTTTAGGTTGATGTATGTAATTTTGGAGAATTCCTCAATTTATTTTTGTTGAAAAAAAAAGTTAAAAGCAATTATAACAAAGGAAGTTCACACTTCCACTCATCGCTTCCACATCCATCCTCCTTGATGAGTAAAGGGAAAAGGAAATTTGTCATTTTGTAGTTTGTTCAGCTTTTCTGCACTGCACTCATCTCATTTTTACACCAAAAACCCCAACTTCTCTTTTTTCTCTCATTCTCTTCTTCTTAAATCACACTTGGATTTCTCCAAATCTAAAGGATTCATCCAATCAACTCAAAAGGGTGTTTGTTGATTTTTTATTTTTCTCCATTAGGATTTTGAACACTTATTGACAGTTCAGACAGCCATCATTTAAAACCCCCCCACATTCCTATCCACTCCAAACCACTTTCTTTATGAGACAATCACACCAAATCAGGGACCTCTCCAAACAATCCAACTCCTGCGTCATAAACCTCATCCTCCCACCAATCTCATTACTGCAGTTGTAGTTTTATCACTATCGGTTGTGTAGCTTAGAGTAGTGGCAAATTGGCAATACAACTCATCATTAGCTCTACTAGAAGTACTAGTAGGAGTAGTAGTAGTGTTCATCCACCATCTTCCAACTTTGGGTTTTGTTTTCCAAAGCCTACATCTTTGGATTAGTAGTTACTCTACATTTCTTGGTACAAGATACTAAAAAGATGCCTTCTTTCCTTAAAAGGGTTCTGTTTCCTGCCTTCATGTTGCTGCTACTGAGCTTCTCCAGATACCACTCTTATGTAAGTTCAAGTTCCTGCTTCATTTGTTCAGATTTCATAGATCCCAGAACTTTTCTTGTGCAGATTGTGTTTATTTAATCAATTTATTGCTACCCTTTTCCTTCCATTGATGAAAAAGATTGAAACTTGGAGAGTTGCTTATTGTTCATTATACTTGTTTGATGAATTGCGCAGGCAAATGAGTCAGTGGAGGCAGTGAAAAATGGGATGGCTGAGGAGGTGGAGGAACTGGTGCCGGTAATTGAGCCCGGAAAGGAAATGGTGCTAATGTTGAATGAGACCAGGAGGAAGCTAGGGAGTTTCCAGATTTGTGCATTATGCACTTGCTGTGGTGCTAAAGGAGCCTATTGTGTACCAACTCCTTGCTGCTATGCCATCAGCTGCAACATCCCAAATCGACCATTTGGTTACTGTTCGTTCCTTCCCAAGGCCTGTAATTGCTTTGGATGCCATATCTGAAGAAGGCTCAGATAATGGAGTATTCAAGTCACTACTCTTCAGGCAACAAATTATTATTTATATTTTTCTTAGGGTTTTGATAGTAGTAAAATAGTTTGATAGTATTGGGAGTGTCAAAATGGGGAAAGAATATCTGTTCTAGTCATTAATTGTTTATAATTATTTTGGGGGACAGCTATTTATCTATCCAGGCATCCAGCTAAGTTTTTGCTAGTTGATGGCACACTTTGTCCCTTTTTGCTGGATAATTTACTCATAACTCATGAGTAGAGTAAGAAAAAATTTGATTACAATCACTCCTCTTCCCACTTAACTAGCAAAAACTTGGCTGGAAATCGGAACCAGCACTGTTTTAGAGTTCTAGAATGTTGTGATGATGGTACATTGAGTGTAGGAGGGGAAAGTTTTGTCTCTCCTGATGAAAGCTAAAGTGGGGTGGCCAAATGTTGTTGTTGTAGTGTATATTAATTAATCATGATTCTTGTCCATTTTCCAATTTTTAATGGTTTGTTTAGTTGATAATGGTAGGATTATCTTTTTTTCTTCCCACTTCTTCTGTTATACTTAGACTTCTTGTAAGTGGGATTTTAGATGTGATTGTTAAATTGTTTATTATTCAGAATCTTTAGATGCAACAGTGACTTGTATTATCTTTTAGCCAATTGAGAATGTGTGTTTCTGTTTTTTGTTCAATTGGTTTATTCTATTGTTTTCTGTTTCCTCCTTGTGGTGCTGCTGTATAGTGTTCTATCTTTGACAGATCACAGATGAGTCAAAATAAGGTTGCGGCCACAGCTGTCTTTGATTAATAAGTTCTGAGATTTGGAACTTCTAGCTTGCTTATCACTCCCTGAAATGCATATATAAACATCAACCCAATTCTTAACTGAGGTTGGTGGAAGTTGGGTTGTGGCAATTATAGTCAGCTACCTTTCGCAACATTAACTGTTCTGTTAACTTCAGAGAGATTTTCCCATTTATTCATAGATTTGTTACCATAGATTAGGGGAAACTGAGGAATTAGCATTTTCCCTCATGAGTCATGACTTAGTTTTAGCTTAGTCCCAAGCAAATGAGAGGGGATTATGTGTTCTGTAGCCCTTCCAGCCTGAAAGGCAAATATTCTATTGAGGGTGAGAGATGACATTGCAGAAAAAAGGATAACTGTCTGCAACTGAGTAATCTTAAAAGACTAAACTGTATAAATAGTCTCTTACATTTGTCCGAATTTAAATTTTGGTCCCCTATATCAACATGTATATGGATTGAGCCTTTACATTTCATTTTAAAACTTTTATGGTCTCTTTTCACTGTTCCGTCACCATTTCCGTCTTGATGACCGTTGACTCTACCAAGTTAGGGGTATTTTACGTATAAGATCAAAATAACAAATGTTTAAATAGTCTCCTACATTTGTCTGAATTTAAATTTTGGTCCCCTACATCAACATGTATATAGATTGAGACTTTACATTTCATTTTGAAACTTTTTTGGTCTCTTTTCACACTGTTCCGTCACCATTTCCGTCTTGATGACCGTTGACCCTACCGGAATGACACATATAAGATCAAAATAACAAATGTTTTTATAATAAAATAGAATAAAATATTAAAAATTATTATTTTATAATAAAAAATTAAATAATTTAAAAATAAAAATAAAAAATTAAAATGATTTCAAATTTCAAATTTCAAATTTTTTTTTTTCACTTCCCACCTTTGTGGGTCCCACATGCCAGTCAATTTTCTCCTTTTTTTTGTTACAGTAAAAAAAATCAAAATTAAAAAGTAAACTTACCTTCACCCATTTTTTTTTAACTTTTTAATTTTGACGGGTGAAGGTAAGTTTGTTTTCAAATTTTGATTTTTTTTACTATAGCAAAAAAAGGGGGAGAAATTGACTGGCATGTGGGACCCACAAAGGTGGGAAGTGAAAAAAAATTTGAAATTTATAATTTGAAATCATTTTAATTTTTTTTATTTTTAAATTATTTAATTTTTTATTATAAATAATAATTTTTAATATTTTATTCTATTTTATTATAAAAACATTTGTTATTTTGATCTTATATGTGTCATTCCAAAATACCCCGACTAGGTAGGGTCAACGGTCATCAAGATTTAAATGGTGATTTAACGTGTGAAAAGAGACAAAAAGTTTCAAAATGAAATATAAAGCTCAATCCATATACATGTTGATGTAAGGACCAAAATTTAAATTCGGACAAATGAGGGACCATTTAAACATTTGTTATTTTGATCTTATATTTGTCATTCGAAAATACCCCGACTTAAGAGGTCAACGGTCATCAAGATTTAAATTGACTTAACAGTGTGAAAAGAGACCAAAAAAGTTTCAAAATGAAATGTAAAGACTCAATCCATATACATGTTGATGTAAGAGACCAAAATTTAAATTCGGACAAATGTAGGGGACCATTTATACAGTTTAGTCATCTTAAAAAACCCAAATCTGCAATGTATAGAGAAGAGTGCAAGAAGAATCTCAGTGACCTCATGCTGATATAGGGCTACATTGCATATGTAATCGTAGTCTCTAACAACCCATGTGATTCTTGGGCAATTTGACACTGTTAAACTACTTTTGGATGAACCTGGTATAGTGGTATGAGAAATGGTTACCATTTCAAGGTTTGCTGAGATCTTCACCTCCTAAATAGGGCATCAAGAGAACCATATCATACCAATATGGCTAACGCAGCTAAAGCTAATCTTAATCAGTTTAACTTGAGCTTTCCTAGTTGCTGACTGCCAGTCATAATTTGTGGTTCAAACTCTATCGAGCAATTTACAATCTTTCAGACCTATGATCTTGAAGCTGAAAACAAGTTTTGCTGTAGTCTGGATAGAATGCAGAAACTCAGTTGGCTTTCGGCTAGATAAACTGCAGTTTATGTGCTAATTGAGTGATGATAGACCATCCACGGATCATTTGATTGCGAGGGAGAGTTTCAACTTTCAAACCCTCTTCCTCTGCCCTGGTAATCTTTGCATTCACATTCCTCTAGGCTTCTTGTCAGTCAACATAGAACTATATGAGAAATTTGACAAGTGAAACTCCCTGTGTGTAAAAAGATGAGATGAAAAAGACTAGAAAAGGAGCATTTCCATTACAAGCCAGACCACATATCAATCATGCTAGTGTTATAGTATGAACATAGTAGTATTGCTCCTCTCTTGGAACTCGAAATCCTATAGTAAACCATCTTCTGATTTTCACTTTTGCACCCTTTTCTGCCTGTGGCTGGATCTACCTCAGTAAGAAAACAATTGGTAATAGATTTTAAGCGGGCCTTTGTTGAACAACATACTAATTCCTTTTGAAATCTCTTTGTGACCAAGATGGCAAAAAGATACAAAAAAAAAAACAAGTCAAAACAAGTAGTACTTCAATAAAGCCCATAATAAAAAGGGTGCCAAATCGATTGCCCATTCCTGAGTACTAGTGGCAGCCAAGCCAAGAGATGGACGTAAATCTAAAAGTTGCTGCATTGTCCCAATGTCAACTAAATGGACAGCAATAGGCTACAGAATTCAAGAAATTCTGACTAGTGTATTGTTCAGCCATTCATTACTCAATAATTGGATGTCAAAATCAGCTACTTATTGATCAAAGCTTTCCCAGCAGATAAGGTTGGGGGGAAGATAATGAGGAGTCAAATTAAGCTTGATTTAGTCTGCACTATAGAGTTCACAAAGGGGGAGAGTGCAAATGACCCTCTGCTTGCTTCTTTTTTCATAGTGTACACTAAAACAAACGATACAAACAGAGAATTTTATGCTTGCCCGTTTGATCAGAAAGCGTATGTTTGGAAAAAAATGTCGTTCCTACTTAAAACTTTGTCCTCATTGTCAATCATACTCAATAGATTTTCGGTTAGCTAACTTTACCCTAATATTTGAAATTTTCGCCAATTTCGTCCAATCGGTTTATTTTCCGTCCAAATTAACGGATTTTCGTTAGTTTTTTTAATAAAATAATACTTCCTCCGTCCCAAAATTATTGTCCAGTTTACATTTTCATTTTCAGTACAAATTGAACTATAAATGAAAATCCAAACTGGACAATAATTATGGGATGGAGGGAGTAAATTTAAATACAAAAAACATCCCCGTAGTTTGTAAAAATTTTAAAAATAACCCCTAAAATATATAAAAATAACAAAATAGTCCCTTTTCACTTTTTTTGTTTCATTTTCTCTATTTTTTTCCATTTCTCTCAACTACTTTTAATGACCATAAAAGTATATTATATGAGTTTTAAAAAATATTTTATTTATTTTCAAACTCTACCGTAAAAGTTAATCTTTGTATAGTTATAACACATGATTGTATTTATAAGCATGTTAATCTTTTTAATAATATAGTTTAGCAATAAAGACACTATTTTTCTGATTTATTTTATTCTTCCTAACATAAAGATTAAAAATATTTAAATGAAACTAATATTTCACATAAAAATAAAATATTAGCTCAAATAAAAAATAATATATTAGTATATTTTAGTGTATTATAATTTAACTAGAGAGACTACATGGCATAATATAATTTATAAAAAATATGTTTATACTTATCAATGCGAGGATTTAACATTTTGTAATAATTATTTGAGATGTTAATATATCTAACTATAGAGGAAGTCTTACTAGCTTATTCTATATGATTTTAGTTTAAAATAAATGAATGGAGGTAACAATATGGTAATAAGTTGTTGTGATAGAAAATAGGTTTTAGATTCAAGAAGGAAAACTTATGTTTGAAGGATTTTTTTTAAGGTTTTAATTATTTTATATTTTAGTTATTTTTTTTATGAATTATATTAATGCAAGTTATAGTCTCTTGAGTCAAATTGCAATACAATAAAATATATTAATATTTTTCTTATCTGAGGTAATATTTTATTTTTATGTAGAATAGAGTTTCATTTAAATATTTTTAATCTTTATGTTAGGAAGAATAAAATAAATCAGAAAAATAGTGTCTTAATTATTTTGTATTTTATTTATTTTTTTATGAATTATATTAAGGCAAGTTATAGTCTCTTGAGTTAAATTGTAATACACTAAAATATATTAATATTTTTTTTATTTGAGCTAATATTTTATTTTTATGTGGAATATTTGTTTCATTTAAATGGTTTTTATCTTTGTGTTAGGAAGAATAAAATAAATCAGAAAAATAGTGTCTTTATTGCTAAACTATATTATTAAAAAAATTAACATGCTTATATAAATACAATCATGGGATACAACTATACAAAGATTAATTTTTACAGTAGAGTTTGAAAATAAATAAATATTTTTTTAAAACTCATATAATAGACTTTTATGGTCATTAAAAGTAGTTCAGAGAAATGAAACAAAATAGAGAAAAATAAAATAAAAAAGTGAAAAGAGACTGTTTTGTTATTGTTATATATTTTAGGGGTTATTTTTAAATTTTTTAAAAATTACTTGGGTGTTTTTGTAATTGAAGTTATTATTTTATTAAAAAACCAACGGAGATACGTTAATTTGGACGGAAAATGGACCGATCGGACACAATTGGCGAAAATTTCAAACATTAGGATAAAGTTGGCTAACCGAAAATTTATTGGGTATGATTGACGACGAGGGAAAAGCTTTGGGTAGGAACGACATTTTTTTCCATATGTTTGTCAATGTGTACTTCCAACTCTGAAGTTTAATTACTGAACACAACAAACAAAGTTTAGTCCAAAGAAAACAATAAAGCCCAACGAGACCCTTATGATTCTGGACAAAAAATCGGATTCAACTGACCCTTAAGATTCGTCATCACTGTAATTCGCCATCAATCCATATCCGTATCCTTCATCGTTCCTTTTCGACCTTGCCCGATTTCTTGCTACCTTGAGATCTTTCTATCTTTCCCAATTCTCATTCTGCCTTCCTTTTGTTGCTTTCCTCTTCTATTAAAGCACCCCACAGAAATTCGCCCCATTGACACCTCCTTATTCGACCATTTTCAGAGTTTATAGACTGAAAAAATGAATCTAAAAAATTATTCTCAATTTTCAACTAATTTAACACAAATCCTAACATCCCAATTTTTTTTTTTAAATTTTTTTTTTCGCACTATTAAAGCTGGTGGCTCACGTGACTAAAGAGTTTAATGTTAGTTTTTTGCCGAAATCCTGTTGAAAACTGAATGGTGCCACTATTTTGTTTTGGTGACATAAAGTAATATTTTTAACTTCTATGCTTGAATGAATAAAGTAAGTAATTTGGTGGTACTTTGTGTGTAATTAAATGCAATATTTAAAAAATATTTACCTTTTAATCATTTGTAAGCAGCATTAGCTGAACCTTGATCTTATTCAAACTTGCAAGAACTTCTTCTATGGTGCTTCTTTCCCTTGGAGACACATATGTACAAGACATTGCAATATCCATGATTGATGAAATTATAGAAATTATTTCGGGAAGGTGCTTATTTAATGTTGATAGCAAATCAACATCGATAACATTAACTAATTTATCGGGTATGACCTCTTCCACCCAACTTTTCAGGTTCAAATTTTCATCAAATGTTTTGTCATCGGGACTTTTTCCCGTGATAATTTCCATCACCATGATCCCAAAGCTATAGATATCGCATCTTGTCGACACTAAACCTTGTGAGGCATACTCTATGAAGGAAACAATTGATATGATCAATTTAATCATTAAAAGCTTTTAATAAAAACAGAAAGTTGAAAAGTGCAACTTGATAAATAGGAAAAGGAAAAAAAGAAAATTAAAGAAAACCTTACCCGGGGCGGCATAACAAAGTGTGGCTAAAGTGTCAGTGTATGTAATACTATTTTCCAAACCTAGCAATTTTGAAATGCCAAAATCACTTATTTTTGCAACCTTCTCTTGATCTAATAGGACATTACTAGGCTTAAGATCACAGTGGACAACCGGCGTCGAATTACCCTTGTGAAGATATAGTAAAGCACACGTGACATCAATCAGTATGTCCAATCGCTGTGTAAGATTGAGAACTTTATTCTTTGAATGCAAACACTTGTCAAGACTTCCATTTGGCATGTACTCAAGAACTAATGCCTTAAAGTCAGGTGTAGAACAGCCGCTGATGACTTTTGTTAGGTTTCGATGGCGAAGGTTGCGCAATATCTCGCATTCCTTGTCAAAACTCTTGAATGATCTTTCTAATTGGAGATTGAATACTTTGATAGCCACAATCTCACCATCTTGAAGGGTACCTTTGTATACAGATCCAAAACTTCCACTACCCAACAAATTATCTTGACTGTATCCGTCTGTTGCCCTTAGAAGTTCGTAATATGATATTCTTTTCCATGTAACCAAAGACACATCTTCATGATCATTATTTGTTCCTCTATCTTTCCTTTTACACTTCAACCATATGAACCACAAGCTTATCATACCAACTAATATTGCCACAACCAAAACTATTACAATTTTATGCATTCTTCTGTTACTTATACCATGGTGATCGGTGGATAGATTTGGGCATAGTGGTACGTGAAATCTTTCCTCTCCACATAATTCATGATTTGAAATGAAAGATTTAGCTGTCAAGTTGGTAAAAGGGCCTCCTGGCGGAATTTTTCCACTCAAGTTGTTAAATGACACATTGAGGAATGAAAGATCTTGCAGATTTTCCAATGACATTGGGAGGAAACCAGATAAAGAGTTGTATGAAAGATCCAATTCTTTCAAACTCAACAATTTACCAAATGTCTCAGGAATTTGTCCTTGTAATTGATTATGCGCTAAAAAAAGACTCTGCATGCTTTCAAGATCTCCTATAGTGCTAGGAATATCGCCTGAGATGGAATTGTTGGAAAAATCCATCATATACGCGTTTTTCAATTGATTGATTTCAAGAGGTAGAAAACCCGTTAACGAATTTGAAGAAAGGTTAAGCTCCAATAAATCTTTCAGGTTCCATATACTTGCTGGTAGGTTTGAGCTTAGTCCGCTGGAACTGAGAAGTAAATACCTCATAGAAGTAATATTCCCGAAACAATATGGAATTGCACCCTCATTAATAAGATTATGTTTTAGATCTAGAAACCCTAGCTTCTTACTAGGACAAAAGAGTTGAAGAGAAATATTAATTTTGTTCCTAAGAAGATCCATAATTTGAAGGTTCTGCATGTTTTCAATTGAATTTGGTAAAGATCCAATCAGGTGATTGTAATGAAGGCTTAATGTGCTTAAGCTGCTTAAATTTCCAACCCAACTCGGAATGGTACCCCTAATATTACAATTGTAAGCATATATGCGTACAAGGGTAGAAGAAAGATTTCGATACCAATAAGGCAAAATGCCATCAAGTGGATTGTTTCCCAGATTAATTTCTACCACATGTTTGAGACCAACCACTGAGGTTATGAAGTTTAATACAGGAGAGGAATGATCACTCATTAAATTGTTGTCATGGAGATGCAAGCCTTGAAGTAATGAAAGGTCTCCTAAGGAGTTGGGAATAAGGCCAGTGAAATTGTTTTTTGCAAGTTCAAGAACCTGAATATTTGAGCAATTTGAGATAGATTTGGGTATAACTCCACTAATGCTATTAGTGCTTACGTAAATTCCTTGTAAATTTGGAAGGGTGTAGCACATCGTTGACGGAAGATTACCAGAAAGGTTATTCACACCGAAAGCTATTATTCTTATGGTTGAAATGTTGAAGATGTCCACTGGAATAGAACCAGTTAACTTGTTCACCTGTGCAACGATGATTTGAACATTGGATAATTTACTGATTTCTTCTGGAATAATACCTGCAAAAATTTTTATGATATGTAAACTACAATATATGCGATTAAGAAAATATATTTTATAAGCACAACCTTCTAATGATCAACTCAATCAACCTTCAAAAAATCAGTCGTAGAAAAATTTATTCCTTTGGTCCTAAAAGAATTCTCTTTTATTTGTATTAAAAATAGTACTACCTCTGTCCTAGAAAAATAATCTTATTTAAAAATTAAATTATAAAAATAGATAACTTAATCTTTCAAATTTAAACATTAATATGAAAAATTGTATAAAGTTTCATGATTATTTACTATAATAATCAATTTCAAGTTATATTAATCACATAAGTCTAATTTTAAGATTTATATTCCTAAAAGGGGACTTTTTTTTAAAGCTGAAATTCAGCAGCCAAAATCAGGCTATTAGGCTGAAGGTGGCCAAGGACACATATGCATCGTGATTGCTAACAGGTGCAGCCGTGAATTATTTGGTTGATTTGGTTTCTTGGTTTGGCAGCTAAATAGCAAAAGGCCAGCGTGCATGATATGCATCAAGTGTAGCTACCAGTTACTGGCAATATGGAGTATGATGATTTGGTCGCCAAAGGCTAGGAAAGGTAGGTGCTGTTTTTTTTTTCTTCTCAACCATTACATTTTGCATCTAGTGACAATTTTATGGACGTTGTGAATATCTTGTTATGAATTAGCATAGTTGGTAAACTACATATATATGTGAATCCATTGTTTTAAACTTTTGGGTGTTAATGAGTCACCTTTTTACAGATGTGCTCTAAGTTACTGACTTTTGAATGTACTTTTGTATGTTTCTTGATTTTGTGATTCTGCTTTCTAGGTCTGTGTTACAGGATTGTGGGAACTTTAGACCCACATCCCAGCCTCCTGTTAAAAGATAAAGTACCAACGAGATACTATTAATAACATAAACTCTCACAGTAGTTAGTTTCGATCTAGTTGGTTACTTCTAGTGATCAACTATTTAGCTTTATTAATTAAATAAAAATTAGTTAGTTTATCGTGATTATCATATTTGTAAACTAAGCCTATAACAAGGCATATGTTGTATTTTATTCATTAAAGAAAAACAGAAATGTAGTTTTTATTTCTCTATGTTTTTTTTTTTAAAAAATTTTAATCTCAATACCAATTTTGTTCTTGGTATCAGAGTATGTTTCATCTTGCGGTTGATTTGGTTTTCCATAACAATAGCATCATTCTTTATGTTTTTTGAACATTGGGAACTTTGTCAACCAAAACACATCCCAGGTTTAGCAAAAAGCCAAAAAGAAAAGAAAAAAAAGAAAATTTGATTGATCATTTTACAATCATACCTCCAAAAAAATTCAGAAACAACCTCGAAAAAGAATACCCAAATCAGAATCCATCCAAAATTCAAAATTAACCGAAAAATCACATTAGAATCAACACCAAAAAATTTGTTCCTTGGCAAAAGTTTGATTATCTTTCACAATGATAAATCAGTGGTTTCCTTTCAAAAGAATTGACTAGACATTTTTAACTCACATATCTCCGCAAAGAGGACAACATATCTATTGGAAATCACATTTACACTTTCAAAAATGATTGTGTGACATATAGATTTCCTTCAATTGGTAACCTACCACAACACAACGAATTTATTGTCTCCTCACAATACTAGATCCAGATTCACAGTATAAAACATCACAACAAGCTCAGAATCAAGTTTCAAGAAATTCAACCATTTTCATCTAAAGGATGTGGATTTTATTCTACAACAAACTGCGCTTTTAGCCTTGAATCTTTTAGTCCTGACTAAGTTTGAGGGGGAATGTTAAAAGATAAACTACAAAAGAGATACAATTGCTAACAAAAAGTCTCATATTAGTGTCAATTTAGTTGGTTCCTAATGATCAACTATTTATTTTTACCACTTAAATAAAAAGAGTGAACCACAAAACATGTTATTGAACTATTCGGTAATTTCATCACAATTCATCAATCAAATTTATTTGTAAAATAGGTCATCGTACTAAGCAAAAAATTCATCTGAGATTATTCCGTTAATTTTAGCCGTTAAATAGTGATGGAAAGCTACTTTTCACATGCTTTTGGGTTCATGGGTATTTTTGCCATTTTGTTACTTTTAAATTTTTAATATTTTGATAATTTTTAATTTTAGACATTTTTTATTTTACAATTCTTCTTCTTATACTTCCCAAGTTATATATATTGGTAGTATAATTACTAAATTTTAGAAATTTATTTAACTTTTGTATTTTAACTTCTAGATTATAATTTTTTATAAAAATCAAGAAAATAAAAAAGAAAAATTCAAGTTGAAGTAAACAAAAAAAATCAATAGTTTATTATTTTAAACCAAAAAAAAAAAGAAACTAAAAAAATTAACTAAGACAACTTTTTTCTTCTAGGTTATTTAATTATTTTCAACTCGATTTATTTATTTAATTATTAATTTTCACGTTTACTTTAATTTGAATTTCTCTCCTTTATTTTTTCTTCATTTTTTTATAATCTAAAAGCTAAGATACAAATGACAAATTGATTTTTGAAATTTAGTAATTATAATAGTACTAACATATTTAAATTAGGAAGTAAAAGAAGAAGAATTGTAAAAGAAAATAATAATTAAAATATTAATATATTTTTTTAAAAATATAGAATGATGAAACTACCATTGGACCTAAAAGTATGTGAAAAGTTGGTTTATGTCATGATTTAATGTCCAAAATAACTTTCAACTAAGAGAAGTTGTTTCGCCTAAGTTATTTTGGGCTTTAAATCGTGATGGAAAGATTTTTTTCGCATACTTTTGGTTCTATGGGTAATTTTATCATTTTATTTTTTTAGAAAAGTATTAATATTTTAATTATTTTTTTTACAATACTTTTTTCTTTTACCGCCTAACTTGTATATGTTGGTACTAGTATAATTATTAAATTTTGAAAATTAATTTATCATTTGTATTTTAAAATCTAGATTACAAAAAAAAGGAAATATAAGAACAAAGTAGAAAAATTCAAATTGAAGTTAATGTGAAAATTAATAATTAAATAAGTAAATTGAGTTGAAAATAATTAAATAACTTGGAAGAAACAACTTGTCTTAGCTAATTTTTTAGTTTCTTTTTTGATTTAAAATGATAAACTATTATTTTTCATGTTTATTCTACTCGAATTTTTCTTCTTCCTTTTTTTAATTTTTTTTATAAAAAATTTATCATCAAGAAGTTAAAATACAAAATTAATTTAATGTTTGAAATTTAGTAATCATACTACAAATTAATATATACAAGTTAGGAAGTATATGAAGAATTTTTTTTTAAAAAAAATGTAAAATTTAAAATTTTTTAAAAAATTAAAATTTTAAAAATAACAAAATGATAAAAATACCCTTGAATCCAAAAACATATTAGTAATTTATATTTAACGGTCAAAATTAACGGAATAATCTCCGATAATTTTTTTGCTAAGTACGGTGACATGTTTTACAAATAAATTTCTATTGATGACTTGTGATGGAATTACTGAATAGTTCAATGAGCTATTTTGTGGTTCACTCAAATAGAAATCAGTTAGTTTACCAAGATTATCATATTTGTAAATTAAATAGACATCTGATGTATTTTATTCATTAATAAAAATGTACTCCTCCACTTGTCTTTTTCTAAACAGAAAATTTTAATCCCAATACTAATTTTCTTCTTCTGTTGAGTATTCCATATCGATGGTGGGAGATATTAGATATCAATATAAATCTCATGGACTACTCTTATTACTAATTGGTTTTGAGGTAGAATCCTATGAGTTTCTAATGGTATGAGAGCTAGTCCGTCAAGAATAGGAATCCAAGCCTAATGTGATAAACTTGTAAGGAGGAGACGTGAAGCGTTGATTGAACTGGTAAAAAAAAAAAAGACAAGCTCAAAAACCCAAAAAGATACGTTGGACTTATAGAGGAGTGTTGAGTATTCCACTTTGGTGGTGGGAGAGACTAGATATCAATATATAAGTTCTATAGATTATTCTCCTCATTTTCAATTGGTTTGAGATGGAATCTCATTAACTTCTAAAAAAAAAAACTGTATAAAGCATCAAAATTGTTTTTAATTTTTTAATTCTACCGCACGCGAGTCCATGATTATAAGATATATCCATGGAAAAAGCGTTTTATTGATCTGATTTGTTTACTTGTTTAGATTTGGCATACCTGTCAGGTTGTTCTGGTCCAGATATACTTCCTGCAGCATGGACATATTTCCAATTTCTTTCGGGATCGTACCTACAAAAATTGATTATAATAAATTAAATAGGAGTAATATTAATGGATGAAATTCAAAATTGAACGATGAAAAGGAAAGACAAAAAAAATGCTAAAGTAATTTCTGCCGCAAAATTTTGAGGCGGAATTCAAAACTAAAATGTGATTAACATGTACATTTTTTTTATAACGTACACAAGTTGATCAGTCATCAGCTTTGCAACCATTTTCCCAATTATTTTTTGCAATGGTCCTTTACCATATATTGTATATTTCTATAATCTTCTCATCAGCAAATTGAAGTCTTTATAAATGGAAACAAACGAAATTCGGTGTGTAGTACATTTTAGGTGTTTCTTATCGAAGAAGAGTGTTAGTATCTTAATTTAGGCCTTAGCCTTTTTTCTCTGTACCAAAAAAAAAAAAAAGGACAATTATTTTGAAAAAACATGCAGTAGTTTTTTTTTTTCCAGGGGAGGGTGTTACGAAAAAAAGACGTACCAATCATTAATTTCGTTGACTTTTGTAAGGGTCGATCGCATGTGGAAATTAATAAAATGAAATTGACCTTAATTAAGTAACACCTACAAGGAAAGAGATAATATGTGTTACCTTCTAACATGTTCATTGTAAGAGCCAACACCTGCAGCCACTTCAAGTTGGAAATTTGTTTAGGTATCTCTCCAGTAAGCGAGTTGAAAGGAAGGTACAGCCGCCGAAGCTGTGAACATAGTCCGATGCTCGATGGGATTCGACCGATTAATCCCACATGTCCGAAATCAACATGTACGAGCCTCGGAAGATGCTGACACATATCATCCGGAAGCGAACCAGCTGAAAACCCAATGTAACTCAAAGCAATCCTTTGGAGGGAGGACATATTGAAGATCACTGTCGGAATGTTTCCCTGCAGATCGTTGTGGGAAAGACTTAACGTCGATAACGCCGACATGTTAGAGATGGACGGCGGGATCACGCCGGTGAAGCTGTTGTTCCACAAGGACAAGTATTCGAGGGATTGAAGCGAGCCAATCCAGGACGGGAATTGTTCGCTGAAACTGTTGTCGCCCAAATTAAGGGATTTAAGTCTGCGCAACAGCGAAAGCTCTTGGGGTAATTCTCCGTGGAAATTGTTTGCCCTCAGGTTGAGAGACACAAGAAAGGACAGATTCCCGAGGTGGGGAGGTACGGTGCCGCCGAGATTCATCTCGGAAAGATCCAATGCTGTCACTCTCCGGTGCCGGGACCCGCAGGTGACGCCAATCCAATCACAAACCGAGGAACCAATAACCGTCCAGTTATGAGCCAAAATATGATGGGAAGGTAAATCGGTGATGCTGGATTTCAGGGCAAGAAGAGCTACCTCATCCGTGGTGATGTTTCTTGTTGTCATGGCTAAGCAAACTGTGAAAACACATAGCAATGGAACAAGTAATAGCATTATAAGCTTTGGAATAATGTTGGACATCATGTTTTGAGTGCGGAAATTTACAGGGAGAAAAAAGACCATATATATATTAGTAGACGGCCGTCTAATAAAAAATGATAAATGCCAAATTTAGAAAAATAGAGAGAGAGAGACCCCATGAACTCGATGAAGATAATACGCCGTGCCTAACGGGCATGACGGAACGTAAAGAAATTGTAAACATCACCTCTTACGTCCCTCGTGAGAAATTATTTAGTACAACTACTGTATCACGTGAGATTTTGCAGCCAGACACAATAATAGGAGTAAAGTATTAGTTTTAGGGGGAGGGAGATATCATCAAAATAAAAAAATGCTAGTACTTACTGCACTAAAACAAGGATACAACAGCTGTACCTAATAATTTTTCGTCCCTCGTTACGTTGAAATCAAAACTAGCTCTTCAACCACCAATATTGTTTACATAATTATTTGGGAATAGTCTCTTGTATTTTCCCAAATCTTTGAACTGAATTAAACGTAGGTTTTTTTCGTTGGATTTATCATCGAAGCTATATCTGAGTGTTGAAATCAATTTTTCTGTTAAAAGAAGAAGATAAATGGAGATTCGAAAAATATTCTATATGAGAGCTAAAAAAAACAAAACACTAATCGTGAATAATTTAGGAAAAAAAAAAGATTACCTTTTTCAGTTTCAACACGTATATGGTCTCAAATCTTTGCGGTGAGGGCTTATAGGAAATTTTCAAAAAAGATTCAAACAATTAAATTCGTTCAGTAACTTCAACTAAAAATTTTTATTGCATTGAAGAAAATTTTGATGAACTAAATTATAACTTCAACAATTAATTAGTGGGGGTCATTTCGTTGCGGAGTAGTGAAAATTTTCTAGTATAGTTATGTTAAGAAGTAAGTTGTCGGAGAATGTAGGAGTTAATCATGTTAAAATAGAACGTTGAAATATATCTATGTTATTACAAATTGAATAATTAAATTTTAGTTAACTTATCCCCCGAAAAAAGAAATACTAAATTCCAATGGTTCATAAGAAAAAAAATCATGGAAGTATAATATAGATTTCATCTGTGTGTAAAAGTTTTTAAACCAAGATATTATCCCATTCGATCAATCAAGAATAATATACCTGTATATATATATTGTTGGAAAAGAGTGAATGAGAATTAAATTTCTCACGAGTTGGAAAAATAAAAGTTAAGGGACTTTGTCCCACATGGGTGTTGGGAAGAGTTGGAGCTCACTTTATAAGTGAGAGCCCAAAATTGACTTGCAAGTTGACTTGCCAATACTATACCACATCTCTCCCACTCGCGTGCGCCCGCGCAAGGGGGGTGCAAATGGAGGTCCGAATCGGGGCCAAAATAGCTTAACTCATGTGTGCGCACGACCTGCGGACACGAATGCCGAACCGAACTCTAGCGGGCCTGATCAACCCACATTTTGCTACGGTTCAGATTAATGTTTTCCAGCTAAAATTTTAATGTGGAGATTTATGTTCATTCATTTCAGTCAAAGAGAAAACTGAAACATTGTTGTTGAATGAGCAAATGAATGGCGAATTTAATACTGTTTAAATGACAGAATGAATTCTTTTGACTGTTTGATTGTCAAAAACGTTTTGGCTTTTATGTGCCATGAATTCGTGACATTTTTAACAGAATTAAAACACCAAAACCGTTTGAAATTTTGCTTCCATTTCAAAGGTTTCTCCAGCCTATAAATAGGCACTCATTTTCCAAAGTTCAACACACCAATCCTTCCTCCTCTTTCAGTATTCTTTCGAACCTTTCTTTCCTTCTCTTTCAGTTTTAGTGTTCATCATCGTGTTCTAAGTTTCATTCGCTGGTAGAACTTCTTTGTGCTAAGTAGTCTCTACGTTTCCGTTGTATCCTGGGAAACAGTTGGTCGAGATCCTCAAGCACCATAGGAGGGGGCAAATCTGTTTTAAGAAAATCGTATTTTCACGAGCCTCGGATTTCTTCTTCTTCCATTTTTCGTTAGCCTTTGCAAATACTCTTCATATTTTCCAATAATCTTAAAACAGATTTTTTTTGATTTTGTGTATTCGTGATGGCTGATGTGGTTAGTGTTGATGTTGTTGATGCTGCTGTTGCTAGCACCACTCCCGCTGCTGTTGTACCCGGCGTTGCCATTGCTCCCGGGATTGCAAGCTCTGTTGTTGTTCCTGCTATGCCCAACGTTCCAGCTAGCCATGTGGAGAAGCCGGAGAAATTCAATGGGACGACTGCGACTTTCAAGAGGTGGCAACAAAAGATACTGTTCTACCTGACAACGCTGAACTTGGCAAGCTTTCTGACGGGTGTTGCTCCTCCGTTGCCTGAAGGTACTTCGGATGCACCAACGATTCATGCATATGAGGCTTGGAAACGGTCAGATTTCCTTTGTCGTGGTTATATTTTGAATGCTATTCATGATTCATTATATAATGTGTATGAGAAATTTAAGACGGCTAAGAATTTATGGGAATTCATGGACCGGAAACATAAATTGGAGGATGCTGGCTCGAAGAAATTCGTAGTCGGACGGTTCCTTGATTATGTGATGGTAGATTCCAAGACTGTTGATAGTCAAGTGCAAGAGATCCAGTTGATTCTGCACAACATCCAGGCTGAGGGGATGATATTGAGTGAAACCTTCCAAGTGGCTGCGGTCATTGAAAAGTTGCCTCCGGGCTGGAGGGATTTCAAGAACTACCTCAAGCACAAGCGCAAGGAGATGACCTTGGAGGATCTTATTGTTAGACTTCGCATTGAAGAAGACAACAGGAAATCAGAGTCAAAGGCATCCAATGGTGTACAGGCTAAGGTCAATATTGTGGAGCATGGTAAAGGCCAAGGCTTGAAGAACAAGGCCAAGAGCAAGATCGCCAACAAAGGCAAGGGGAAGCTAGGGACTACTGGTGGTGTCTCTAAGCAGAAGCATAGATTCAAAGGTAATTGTTTTATCTGTGGCAAACCAGGTCACAGGTCTGCTGATTGCCGCTCTCCAAAGAAGGATCATGAGGCGAACATGGTCAACGACATCACTAAGGATGTTGAGGATATGCACCTGGTTGCTGTGGTAACCCAAGTGAACATGGTGTAGTCCAACCCAAAAGAATGATGGATGGACACTGGCCCGTCCAGGCACGTGTGCACCCATAGGAGTCACTTCACCACCTTTGAACCAGTCCATGGAGAGAAGATCTACATGGGAAATGTTGTTGTTGCCACTGTTGAAGGCAAAGGAACTGTTAAACTCAAGATGACTTCGGGCAAGACTCTGACACTCACAGATGTGCCGTATGTGCCAGAAGTGCGCAAGAACCTTGTGTCAGGATTCATGCTAGACAAGAATGGATTTCGCATTGTAATAGAATCTAATAAGGTTGTTTTGTCTAAGGCAGGAATGTTTGTTGGGAAGGGGTATGCAACCGATGGGTTGTTCAAACTCAATGTAATGACTATTGTCGATGAAATGAGTGCAAGTACCTCTTCTGCTTATTTGATTGAGTCTTCTAATTTATGGCATGGTAGACTAGGTCATGTTAATTCTGATTCGATGTGTCGATTAATTAACTTGAACCATATACCAACATTCCAAATTGACTTAGGAAATAAATGCAAAATTTGCGTCGAAGCAAAGTTAACAAGGTCATCCTTTCAAACGGTTGAAAAGAGTACTGAACCACTTGAATTAGTTCACAGTGATATTTGTGATTTGAAATCGGTTCAAACACGAGGTGGTAATAAATATTTTATCACGTTTATTGATGATAGTACGAAATATTGGTATGTTTACTTGTTAAAAAGTAAAGACGAAGCTTTAGAGAAATTCGTTCTCTACAAAACCGAAGTTGAGAACCAACTTGGTAAAAAGATCAAGAGATTGAGAAGTGATAGAGGTGGCGAGTATGAAGCACCGATTGGTGACTTTTGTGCACAACATGGAATTGTTCATGAAGTGACAGCACCTTATTCGCCTCAATCTAATGGGGTTGCTGAACGGAAAAATCGCACATTGAAAGAAATGATGAATGCGATGTTGTTAAGTTCATGCCTACCTCCTAATATGTGGGGAGAAGCCGTCTTGTCTAGTAATTACCTATTAAATAGGGTTCCCCGAAAGAAAGAAGACAAGACTCCATATGAATTATGGAAAGGAAAGAGACCATCCTACAAACAGTTGCGAGTGTGGGGGTGTCTGGCAAAGGTAGTTGTACCTCCACCAAAGGCAGTAAAAATTGGACCTAAAACGGTCGATTGTATTTTTATTGGCTATGCACAGAATAGTAATGCATATCGGTTCTTAGTGCATGATTCGAAGATTTCGGATATACGCAAGAACACAGTTTTGGAATCAAGAAATGCATCTTTCTTTGAAAATGTGTTTCCTCACAAGACTAAGGATGATGACAATTCATCAAAACGAACTCATGAAGAAGTTCATGATTCAGTTGAGGTTCAAGATGTTGAACCGAGACGGAGTAAAAGGGCAAGAGTAGAGAAATCATTCGGTGATGATTTTGTAACCTATTTGCTAGAGAGAGAACCTCTAACTTACGCTGAGGCAGTAAGTTCTTCTGAGGGACCTTTATGGGAAGAAGCCATAAAGAGTGAGGTTGATTCAATTTTACAGAATCATACTTGGGAGCTTGTTGATCTCCTACCTGGACAGAAACCATTAGGATCTAAATGGATTTTTAAGAGGAAAATGAAACATGATGGTTCCATTGATAAATATAAGGCCAGGCTTGTAATCAAAGGGTATAAACAACGAGAAGGTTTAGACTATTTTGATACAATTCTCCTATGACAAGAATAAATTCCGTAAGGATGATACTTGCTATCGCAACTTTAAGGAATTTGGAAATACATCAAATGGATGTTAAAACAGCTTTCTTAAATGGAGATTTACATGAAGAAATCTATATGGAACAACCCGAGGGTTTCCGAGCTCCAGGAACAGAAAAGAAAGTTTGTAAACTAGTAAAATCCCTATATGGTCTAAAGCAAGCACCTAAAAAGTGGCATGAAAAATTTGACCATGCAATGATTACTAGTGGATTCAAAATTAATGAGTGTGACAATGCGTTTATGTCAAGGAGATAGAAAACAATTATGTCTATACGTAGACGATATACTCATTGTTGGTAGTAGTGACAAGTTGGTCAAATCTACCAAGAACATGTTAAACTCTAAGTTTGACATGAA